CCGACGTGCACCTGCGTAGGCGTCCGTTACCAAGCGCCTTGCAGTTGGATCTGTGCCTTGCAATCGCCCTTGATCTTGAGGCACTACATATCCATGGCCAACGTCGGTTGGTGGCTGGGACTTTTGACATGTGACTGTTAGAATATACCCTGCTCGTTCCGCTACTTGTCTGCTTCTGTCTAAACCTTCTTTAACTCCCTTCATCTCCATAACCAGCACTCAGCCATGGCTTCCCTGGTAAGCCGTATCCCATAGTCCGACTTGAAACTGGTACTGATAAGCCTACAACTAGTCTTTGATTTCCAGTCACAAACCCTTTGCGGTCGGGGCGGCCCTGTGTCTTTTCTATCTCACTTCTACTTTGAAAATGTGATTGCCCTGGCCCTTAAAAGGGGAAATCTCCAACGGTTACCGCGAAACATTATCCTAAAAAAAATGAACGCCGACCATGAAGCTCTTTTCGAGACAGAGAAGCGCTGTTACGATAAGCTACACCATCTTTAGGGTCGTTTTATTCCTGGGTAATATGGTCTCGCCAATATGGACGGGACGCCAGCTCTCGTCCTTTCTAACTTTGGGGGAATCACGATGCTTGATGAACGAATGCCCTCACTTGCTGAAGGCAGCTTGCTCGAGAAGCTAAGAGAGCCGTTAGAGGCAATTAGGGCTGCAGGCGTCTTGTTCTAAGATATCAGTCTTACCAACATGCATTATTGTACTGGGGGAGTATTTCAGGTCTTAGATTTCGAACTAGTTAAGATGGACCAACCGGTTGACCGCCCGACCGTGAAAGAAGACGTTAGTTTGCAGGTCAAAAGCCTGGTCGATCTTTATCAGGAACGACAAGCCGCAACCAGGGAACTTCAGTTTCTCTGGAAACAACAATCTCCCATTAACCAATGGAGATCCTCACAGGAAGAGGTGGTATCGTCAGTGGAACCAAATTCCCTAGGACGAAAGTCTGAGTCTATTACTATAAACGGTACTAGTTGGCAGGCAGGTGGCATGGGTAAAGAGCGTTAGGAAAGAGGGTTCTCCAGCCCGAACATTGTTTGTCCCAACGGCTGTCCAGAGCTCTTAATAGTCCAGACTTTTTAGAGGGCTAATAATCCAATCTGCTTCGTCGTCTTTGCCGTTGCTTTTTTCTCCGCGTCACTCCACACGTCGAACGCATCGGTGGCGACGGGCTGTCCGCCCCATGCCAAGGTTAAGTCGCCCACTGCCTACGCTACCTAATAGGCAATAGTCAAGTGGCCATCGAAACTATCGCCACTTACAACGTTGACTATTTGCCGTGCGTATAAATGGCCCGGAAGGTTCTCTTTCTCGTGTATTTAAAGTCGTCTAGTTCCCACTCGCTAGATAGAAAGTCGAGAGTCTCTCGTTGCCCGGTTCATTGGGGATCTTCTGCCCGATCGTTGTTCCGCCATCCATACTGTCTGTGTCAGTTGTTGTGTGACACGGTTACTGACACCCCACCCCGCGCGCAGAGCTCCGTCATGACTCTGGGTCAGGGCCACACACACGTCCAGGTCGTGGCAGCTGAGACACTAGGCCACTATGTTCTGCTGCGGGTTTACGTAGTGCGGGCCACATTAATGCGGGATAACACGGTCCGACAGTTATCCCTATAGACCTCCGGCCCGCTGTCAGCGGCATCGACAGATTCGGGTCGAGTATCTCGAGACTCCGAGCCCCATAGCTTTTCTCGGGCCGACAGCTAGAATAAATGGGGAACAGCCGGCTCAGCCCCACGATTTTCTGATCAAGGAGACTGCCGAAGTCGGCCGTCTTAGGCAAGATCAAGGTGGCTCCATTGCTCAGGCGCCTCCCATGCGGTGGCAACCGTGGCTATCGCCGTACAGGCGAGACCGGTATACACACTCCAGCAGATGCTTCGGCAAAGGGCTGTTGTACATGTATAGATCGTGCGACAAGGCGTCTTCACGTCTTGTCAGACTCCGTTGAGAGAACCACGACGACCCGCTTGGCCGGGCGGGGGCCCATGGTGCCCATCATGGCGTCTCGCCGACAGAGACGACGTAGCCGCAGCTCTGGGTCATTTTGCAGAACCTGCGAGCTACGGGATCGGCCCTGTGCGGAACCGCGTCTTCCTGCAAGCATGGAGAATCCTTATTACTTCTCTGGCTACCATTTGTGGCTGCTTGCCCTGGACGCCCTGAACAAAGAGCGCCAGCTCTGCGCTGGCCGATGGGCACGACGGAGCAGCGTGCTTAGAGGACTTTCCGTATTAAAACATAATAAATCGTCAAGATAATTCAGCTCCTGGTAATCCGAAGAAAGACTCGCACCCTCCCTTATTAGCCCGGCCCCTTGTCCCACCGTGTATATCATCTATCCACTCTACTGGCGCCGCTAGTGTATATAGTTGGACCGATCTATTTACCCCACTGGGGCTACCAGAAGGGCTTATCCAACAGTTCAGCACAGTGGTTTGCCACCCATGGTTAGCTCCAATCCCCGGGTGGCTTGCTAAACCGGGCTACTCTGGGTCCTTTCTCCTCGGACGACTCCAACCAAGTATGCGGCGCATTTTAGGACAGGAGCGCATAAAGCTGTAAACCTAGGGTGCTCGGTGTATCACCAGATCCCTCCGTTTTTCGATGTAGATGACGGATAGCTCACGTAGACGTGAAATGGCATCGTCCTGAAGCCCACTCGTAGCAGGAGATACAGACAATTATCATCAAGCCGAAGTTGGCCGCTAAGCATTCCTGCCTGCAAGGTCCGGGGAACATCTGCCACAAGTCCCTGCCATCCGGAACGCATTACAGAATCGAATCGGACAAACGCATCTCCTTGCCTTGAATTCAAGCAGCGGGAAGCAGCCTGTGGGGCATTGATACACAATGCTACGTGCGTAGGTGTACTATGCAGTATAATGTTACTAGTTTTCAGCTGGCTTTGCTTACTCCTTATGCGCCGTATGCCTCTTCAGAATCACGACGTTGTGGGTCCAGTAACCTGTTTGCTCCCCAGCCAAATGGATATAAATTGAAAGAGATGCCCGTTGCAATGGTCGATCTTCAGTCATCAGACGACCACCATCCTCTCAGACCTTTCCATCATCAGACAACCACCATCGTCTCATTACCTGTTGAATAAACGAGCTTCTCCTTTTGCGCCACTATGAAGACTTCGATATTCCTTTCGGTGACCCTACTCGGCATGGGACTTGCGAGCCCGCCTCCGTATGGGAGGCTGGAGGGTCGTGACTGCATCCCGCAAGGAGTGGTCTGCAATACTCAGGGTAAAAAGGGAAACTGCTGCCCTGGCTCGTTCTGTTTGCAAACAGGGGTAAGTGGCTTGACTTCGTTCTTGGAGCCCAGAGTTATGATCGTATCTAACAAAACGTAGCCATCTAGCGGTTTTTCGATCTGTTTCCCAGATGGGAGCAGAGGATGAGGACAAAAACGGAGTTGGCTTATGGTGGCCGTCCTGGGGTGATCAGCGCGTTGCAGACGAGCGTTGCAGACAAACATTCAACATCTCACACGGCAAGCCTTGGTCAATTCTCCATCTCTCCCTTGTTCCTGGCCAGTATTGAGGGCGACCTTTGTCTGCTGTTAGTTATCGGTTACCAGATAGTAGACCAGATGTGGTCGAAATCTGACGAGCCCGCTTCAACTTATCTGTATCGTGTCCTATGTGATATTGGAGTTTTCAGAAAGAATCATGCCTTTTAGGGTTTTGTATGTTCAGCCAATTATACATGTATATTATGCACATTTTAAAAAGAAAGAATAAGACATTAAAGGCGTAGTTTATAACATGGATCTAAGACTACTAACGTATAGCTTACTTATTATGTTAAGCTGCTAAGTATAGCACTAATTACTTGCAAGTCCTATTACGCTAAACCGTCTCTATTTTTCTGTAGTGAACCCTTGCGCAGGGCTCCTTTTCCTTCAATTTCGGCGGTGGCCTTTTCTGTATACGACCGGCCTCTTGAGCGGAAATAAGGTCAAGAACCAAGTAACACGGATATCCGCATTGAATCTGGCCGTACATGTGGCTGCCCATATTGTTGGGATCCTTGTCCCTATGAGTCTTTATCGTCATCATAAAACCAGAATAGATAGAGGTCTGCTTTTGGCCCTTTCGGCCACCCCGAGTATAATCCAAGCCTTCGTCCCACTCACACGTGGCCGTCACTGCCAGCCTCAACGCCAAGCTGGTGCGCCTGCCTACAGAAGGCTAACACGTTTCGCATCGCTGTTGGATGGGGTCGGGCTCCCTCCAGCCATTCTCTTCGGGTAAGCTCGTCTTGCCTCGCCTATGTTTTTGGAACGTCTCCGAGCAACGATGATCGAGGACGGCAGAGAGGAGCCTTCACAACGCGCATATCATGGATCGGTGATGGCGTTGACGAAGCGTATACACCTACGTGGGTATACAAGAGAGCCTGCGCCAGCCCAATCATCCGAATTCGGTCGGGCCAGCCTTGAACGTCAAGGGAAACACTAAACTCGGCAGAGCTGGGGTTAAATCTGAAACACACTCGGCTTGATGGATTCGTGCTTAGACTTGCGGCCCTTGCCTAAACAAGGCACACCCGCACGATGGCGCAACACCCGCTAGGCTAGAGAACGAGGATATCGGCAACGACCCATTGTGGCAGTCTTCGTTCCGATTATGCTCTATCAAGCATCACCCTGTACATGTCCCTCATGACCTATATGATGATTATTAACGGTCTCCAAGCCCCTATGTCAACTACTCTCGACTTGTTTGAACCAATATCGGTGCTTGGCAGTGGGCACCCATCAATGCCGCAGTGAAGCAAGCTGGTTTTCTGTTCCGCGGCCTTATTACTGTACGTATAGATGTTATTATACCGCTTCATCATCCCAATGCCAATAGTATATAAAGTCTGTTCGTTTCCTCGATGCTCTCGGCTGACCGACAAATATCAGCTGCTCAAAGCACAGCCACCTTCATTCATTCTCTTTCCCTCATCCTAAACACGGGCTTTTCCATCATTCCTTGACTCTTCTCTGTCTGCCAAAATGAAGTACACCACCACTCTCGCTGCTCTCTTTGTTGGACTGGCCTCGGCCCACCCGGCCATTCAGGTCTCTACCAGCGGGCAGGACGGGATGACTTCTGTCGGTGGACAAGGCGGAGAGGTCTCTGTCGCCGGAGACGGCGCCTGGGCCTCTGTCGGCGGCAAGGGCGGCAAGGGCGTCAAAGGAAGCGGAGGTGGCCAGGACGGCCAGGACGGCCAGGACGGCCGTGACGGCCATGACGGCCAGGATGGCCATGACACGCAGGTCTCTGTCACCGGAGATGACACCTGGGCCTCTGTCGGCGGCAAGGGCGGCAAGGGTGGCAAAGGCAGCGGAGGTGGCCAGGACGGCCAGGACGGCCAGAACGCGAAGGTCTCCGCCGTCGGAGCAGACGCGCGAGCCTCTGCCAACGGGAATAGTGCTGCCAGCGCCCCATGTGCTGCCCGAGGAGACGGCGCTGCCGGCGCGGACGCTTCCATTCATGGCGATGGCGCCGACGGCGCTGACGCTTTTGTCAATGGCTCTATTAACGGCGATTTCTGCAAGCCTCCCAGCAGCCACAATGAGCAAGCCAAGAAGCCCATCAGTGTAAGTTTTCTTTTTCCCATTGTTGACTTGTCATCGTGCATCATCCATTCCAAAAAATGTCGCCGGTTGCTAACCAATATGGCTTATAGTGCTAGGCGAGCAATGATTTGAGGCATGCCCTCATAGAGCTGGATTCTTTCTTGGCTGAGTCTGATGGGCAGGAAGCTTTTGTTCAAGGACTAACCTGAAACACGATGCTTCGTTTCTTTAGATGTTTTGTGGCTCAGCCATCAACGAGCTTTGCACTGTCAACCCAGCTCCTCAGAATTGCTAGTAGCTAGCTAGGTCGCGTTTTGCAGGATCACACAGTCCGATTTAGTCTTAACATACACTCTATCTCTCCGTTAATTAAAGTAGTAGTAATTTAAGGGGTTCGTCGCAGTAGCAGGGCTAGGATTTAGATCTCTCGCCGAGAGACACTCCTGCTTCTGAGAGGAATAAGCGATTTCGCATAAGGCTTTGGCGCCAATACACGATTTCTCCCGCTCGTTGCAAAGCCTTTTTCGACATTTCGATTCCGCATCGGCAGGAACGGAGGTTGTTTAGAAGAAGCTGGAATCGAGCAAGTCCTTTTTCATATATTGACGCGCCCCCAATTCGTCCAAGTCGGCTTGGGGGCTTCTCCACCGGTGCTTCAAGTTGACCTGGTAAGTGTCAAGCTGGTAAAATACCGCTACACCAGGCAAATAGCACCCCTAGTATAGGTGTTATTAACGCGTATTATAAGTCTATTCTCTGCACTGACAGTATGATTGTTCCACGCGGCGCTTCGTGACTGCCTCACGTTTTCAACCCCGTCGCTTTGAGTCCGCTGAGAGGGTTCCCCGAGGTGCTTTGAGCTGGTTCGGGATTTTTCCCCTTAGGCATTGACTTGGTTCGGGAGTTTCCCTCCCAAGGCTTGAAGTTGATTGGGGACTTGCCCCTCCGGTGCTGTTCGGCGCTTTAGTCCCAGCATCGCCACTGCTATGTGTCTTTATTTGGTCCTCAAGGGTTAGTCTCTCAACCGGGTAGGTTTGTTTTCTGCAACTGGGTTAAGAACCTTTTTTGCTGCTACGCGAAGCTGTTTGTCGATCTCTTTGACGCCTACGCTGTCGACCGTTTTACCGTGTACAATCAATGGTGGTAGAATGTTCCCACGATCGTCCAAACGAGTAGAAGCTGACTACTGTGGCTTCCTAAACACCGTTGTTCGCCGTAAAAGTGCGGTGCACGTGTCGCGCGTTAAAATAGATAAAGATAGACTTCGTCCATTCGTCTGCTCTGTTACCGTGTTATGTGGAATAGGCATACCGTAACGTTCGCTGGAAGGTCTGGTACAAGGTCAGCTGGAAAAGTCCTAAAGCTGACCGCGGCACTCCGTAGCTGCCTACATCGTACTGGTCATCCGTATAAGGCGGCGTCCTATGGCTAATTACATGGCCTAAAGCAATATGAGGGGACTACGGGAGATAATATAAATGTTAAAGAGAGCTCCATTAATACGGTTATAGGGGGCTTAATACCTTAGTGAGTATATATTACGTTCAGGCATAGCCATCGTATAGATTTCATCAGGTGGTTACTATGCAGCATGAATTAGTTGGAACAATCAAATTGCAGGATAGAGCTCCTGGAGACCATCTCGGCGTATGCCTCTATTAGGTATAGCTCGAGACTCAGGATTTCTAAGGCAAAAGCCTGTGATGGTGGGTGATCAAACTCGGGCCGGCTATTGAGACTTGCGGGCTGCTATCGGGCGCCCACTTAAGCCAGCCGTCACATAGACGTTTAGGTTATCGCAGGGTCACATCACGATACCTTTGTGACCCCAAGTTTGTTCCAGGAGACTCAACTTGCTAACCGGCACGGCTCTTTGTCTTTGTGAGCCTACGTCAGGGGCCTGTTGTGTAAGCTTTATAATACAAACGCTGTGGTTGACTGGCCCAGCTGATTTCGAGGCAATGGGAGCGCTCGAGGGTTCCAAAGCCGTTCTTGTTTAGCCCCGAGCTTCATCGCAAGATATGCTGTTTACCTTGAGAAATGACAGCCTTAACCCTTAAAACGTCGCTTGGCCAGCTACATCCGCGACTCCGCGTAGGCAATTGTGGATTAATTGACGATCCACTCAGCCAATTGTTCCCTGACCAAGTCCACGTGCACTATCAATAGACAAATGTCTATGATAGGGAAATCGCTGAGGACCCGTACTGTAGGCTGGATGCCCTGTATTTCATCAGAATGCACAGAATCCAATCCCGCATTGTGTCTTCGGGCTACCTTCCCAAAGGAGTTCATGCGACCCTCTCAAAGGCTCAAACGGTGCCGCCCCGTGTCCGGAACGAGCCATGCGGTCTATCACACGACAATTGACACAGACTAGATGGCTGACCGCGGTTGGGCCGAATATCCCTGGTGATCTAAGCATTGAGATTCTTGATTTATATCTGGGTCCATGGCGTGACAGGCTTCCAGGGCTTCCAGTCGCGTCTATACTAGTTCACTTAAAGTGGCATTGAAAAGTCAGGGCCTGTGAGGGAGGTAAATAAGTTAATAACAGAGAGCTCATAACGGGTAATAAACCTGAACAGGGGAAGTAACGTGGTTTAAAAGAGGGCAGTGACCACGCGGGCCGAACCACATTGATACGGGAACCGCGCTATAAAGGGCCTTATAGGCGATGCTAAAGCTGTTTCATCCACCAGTGTACCTGTGGTCTGGCTTGGTTCAAGTTTCTTGCTCCTTACTGTCGAGATCAAGCCGCTTCCTCATGCAAAAGGCAAGGACCATCGCCATTTAGCAGGTCGTAGTCAATCATCATACGGCAGCGTGCGTGTCTCCATCGTATATATACCTCAGCCAAATTCCACTCCTTGAGGCAGAAAGTCAAGAGCCGCTCGTTTCCTGGCTGCTAAGGGATATTCTGACCCCATAGTTAACGGTCATCCATCCTGTCTGCGTCACTTATTCTATGATATGAGCGGAGAAGAGTACGGTTTAAGACAAAGCTGTCGATTCTGCCCTTTAGGTCCCGAATAAGACGTGTGAACGGTACAGAAATGCTGAATCCTAGAACTATGACCGCCCTCAATCCCAATAAATGATGGGCTTCACCACCTGTGTGCCTAGTAGTTAGCAAAGAGTATCCAAGATTCGAGGAAAGAATCGGTTCACCTTGGCATGACGCAGATCGTCCAACGCAGTCTCGAAATCTCTCACCGAGTAGACTTTACACAATTTGTCCACGGGAAAGTGCCCTTGTTGGTGAAGTTCCATCAACTTGGGAATAAACTGGCCAGACAAGAAGTGTTAATAGCGAATAGCTGAAGAAGTAAAGGTATAAGTGCTGACCTTTTGGGGGTGCGAACCACCTTCAACAACTCCAATGTACGACTTGTTCTCAAGTAGAAAAGCTTGAGGCTCAATCCTGACGACGCTGCTCGGTGGTGGAACGCCAACCGACGTTGCAGTGCCTCTCGGAGCCAGACATCCAAACAGCGACTCAATGACGGCGATGCTGCCGGTGCAGTCGATGGCAAAGTCAGCCCCTCCGTCGGTGAGCTCTCGGATCTTTGCCCCGACACCCCCTTCTCCACATGTTTTGGAGTTTACTACATCTGTCGCTCCAAACTCGGCTGCAATGGCGAGCTTTTCATCGACGACATCCACAGCCACGAGCTGCTTGACTTGAAGATATGCAGCCGCCATGACCGCGGCGAGACCGACGCTTCCAACGCCAAAAATGACAACTGATTGCGTCTTGTCTGGCTTGAGAGTATTGAGCACGGTGCCCGCTCCAGTCTGGAAGCCACAGCCGAGAGGGGCGTAGTAAGGAAGCGACTCGGGGTAGGGGCATTTTACCACGCTTCGCTCAGCCACGACGGACATGCGAGAGAAGGAGGACTGTCCGAAACATTGGCTGCGAACCGGTGTTCCGTCTTCAAGCCGTGCTGGAGTAGAGCCATCTGAAAGGCGAACTGAGCCGACGTTGACCGGCGAGTGGATGTGGCAGCAGGAGGGATTCTCGGCGATGCACTGCTTGCATTTTCCACAGACGTTGAAGGAGAGAAGAACATGGTCGCCGAGTTGTAGGGATTTGTCCTTGACATCACTGCCCAAGGCTCGTATGATGCCTGCGCCTTCGTGGCCGAAAATTGCCGGAAACTCGACTCCTGGCAACAGGCCTGCTTGAAGAAGGTTATCCTACCAGTCATCCATGAGTAATTGGTCAACTCGAGACTGGCTTGGCAGAACCGACCGTCTGGCAAATACCAGAGTACTTCATCTCCACAAGCACTTCGTCGGAGCGTACTTGATCGAGAATGATGTTCTTCATCTCGAATCTGTCGCCTGGCTTGTGAACAACCAACGCCTCAGTGGCGAGGTTGGTAGGCAGCGCCATGATGGAAGATGATGGTACAAGTTACAAGGCAACAGAAACTATGATCTTGCTGGGAGAGGAGCTTAAGGTGTGCCGGTACGCTAATATCTTAAATTCTAACATAATTTATGGTCACCCAAGCTTGATTAAATAGTAATTTTCCAAGATCTGCACAAGCATGTCCCGCAGGGCAAGTTTCAAGTTGCGAAACACAATGCCATCATGGCAGTTCCGAAGCTTTCCGCCATATTCAGGGGCTCTTATCTCTGTCGGATGAGTTTCAGTTTGTGAAATGGAGAGAAGGGTGACGCGGAGTGCATGAATCTTGGCAGACCCCATCCAGGGATCAGGCGCGGGGAATCTGGGGTAAGTCGGTGCATGAGAGGGTTGAGTCGATTAGATTGTGGGTGGGTGTGAAAGGTTACTTTGTATGCTCGGGTATGCGGCCTCACTTGGGAGTCGTAACAGAGGCTGACATGTCGGAAATGCTTCCAGGGTTCCGACATGGAGTTGTAGGGCTCACCCACGCACCTCGATATCCAACCTGGCTTTGGAACTCCGCTTCCCTGATAAGGCTGAAGCAAGGCGACATCAAACGCTTGTCCCCGTCGTCCATCTTAATCTCCTCACCAGACTCTACCACGCACTCATCTGGCTGCCTCAGCTGCAATACATGCCCTATAAGCCATTCCCTGCCCGGTACTGTTCAAAATGCAGACCGAATCTCGCCGAGAGGTATGTTAGAACGACCTAGTAATCAAGATTCTTCGTCTACGTCTCTGACAGTCTTCGTTCGCAGGAGCTAGAGCAGATCCAGAATGAGCTGGACGTTGAAATCATTCCGGGCACCGAGGTCATGGCGGACCTTGGCAGCCATCACGCTGTGAACAGCGACGACAGTCCCCATCGATTCCTTGTACCCCAGCCCTCGGATGATCCTCATGACCCCCTCAACTGGACTGTGGCGTGGAAGCTTTCTGCTCTCACGGCCGTGTCTACCATGAGCTTCACTCAAGGATTTGCGCCCTTGGCCCTCGGTCCGATGTTTGGATACCTTATGAAAGACTACAACAGGTCTTTGGCCGATGTCATTCAGTTCACCGGAGTTACCATTCTAGTTCTTGGCTTCAGCAACTTCCTCTGGTGGGCCGACCGCGTACATACATCGACGTGAGAGCTGAACTCGCTGACGTGGCACTGCACAGGGTTCCAATATCCACCTCTTTCGGCCGACGTCCTGTTCTGATTGCTTCCCAAGTGGTGTGCTTGGCTTCCCATATTTGGCGAGCCAAGGCAACTACGTACGATAGCTTCATGGGAGCCGCCATGTAAGACGCGCAGTGCAGCCACATGCCCAATACCCCGTCACCTACTGAACGACACAGTTTGAGCGGCATCGGAGCAGGTCCCGGAGAGACAATTCAGCCTAGCATCATTGCCGACATCTTCTTCCTCCATGACCGTGGAAAGTGGAACACGATGTACTGGGTCTTATACACCGGAGCATTGATCGTACGTTGACACCCTTTGGAGATTTGCACTCTGAGTAAGCTAATAGTTCCAGGTGGCGCCCATCGTTGCAGGAGCAATGGCCGATCACGACGGATGGCCGTCTTTTTGGTGGCTTAATGCCGCCATGACAGGCTGCTCTCTCGTCGCGATTGTCTTTGGCTTCCCCGAGACCATGTTTAGCCGCGTAGAGACTTTCGCAGGCGAGCTTCCGAGACCCAAGGCCTCGTCAAAGGTCACCGAGATTCTGCGCGACAAGGGGAGTTCGAGTATAGGCCCCAAGGGAAGCCAGGTAAACGTAACCTCTGAGCCAGATGCTTGCCTTGGAAAAGGTACGCCGAGTCGTCAGCAGTGGTGGCCGTATCAACCAAACCCGTCTCCGTTTCGATCAATCATGCGCGACCTCTGGATTCCCTGGAAGCTCTTCTCCTTTCCGATCGTTCTTTTTGCGTCCTTCGTCGTCAGCTGGAGCTGCAGCTTTATTCTGATCCTCAATCTTACCCAAACCCAAGTATTTTCTGCGCCTCCGTATAATCTGAGCTCACAATCGATTGGTATGCTCGGGAACTTTGTGGTTATAAATGCCAGGATACTAACCCGGTGGAACAGGCTTTCTCAACTTCTCGCTCCTTGTCGGAGCCCTGATCGGCCTTGCCACGGCAGGGCCTTTCAGCGACTGGGTTTCTGCCCGTGCAACGCGGCGCAACCACGGCATTCGCGAGCCGGAGATGCGCCTCCCTGCCATGGTTCCGTATGTCCTGCTCATGGCCTTTGGGCATATCATTACGGCAATTGGCTACCAACGCAAGTGGCCGTGGCACGTCATTGTGATCCTCGGCTATACATGCGCGGGTATCCAAGTTGCCGGCTTGCCTAGTATTAGCAGCACCTACGCCGTGGACAGCTACAAGCCCGTCGCTGGCTCGCTCTTCGTTGCCATCACTGTTAATAAGAATCTGTGGGGTTATGGGATGGGACGATTTATTACGCCTTGGACAGAAGAAAGGGGGTAGGTCCATCCAAACTGTCCCCGGCTCCCAGTCAAAACCCCTCCCAAGTCTAACGTCATGTTTCAGGTTTATCGAGGCCTTTATGGTGAACATGGCCCTCACATTTGCGTGGTGCCTGTTTGGGGTGATTTTTTACTACTATGGAAAGACATTTAGGAGGTGGACCAAGGATAGCATCATCCATAGGCTGTAGCCGGCTAGCAGCCTCAAAGAGTTGGACTAAAGAGACCATTGTTGCCCCCTGTTCAAGAACTATGGTGCCAGACCACAATAACCAGTCATCTTATCCGACACAAACATAGGTACCGTCTGGTTGGTAGGTGCAGTGCTAAGGTGGCATGACTTATCAGAACGTCGTTCAAACGAGGCCAAATCGGAGCTCACTCACCGGGACATTGTTGCAGTGCTGAACGCCGTTCTGGTCAATGTAGCATTGTCGCTTGTCGTGTTGGGCCTCTTCGGCCGCCTGGACCAGGGCGAATCCGGCGAGGAGGGTGAATAGAGTGCTGAGGACCTTCATGTTGGCGGTGAGAAGAAGCGTTATCGTTGTGGTCGAGGCAAGCAAGTGTCGAGTTGTGCAGGATGGCCGCAGCCAAGTAGTAAGCCAGACGTGGCGAGGATTGTCCGGCTTCTTATACCCCCTCTCGATCACCATCGAACTCGCGGGCTTTCCCAGAATAGAAAGGGCACCGATGGGGCCGAGGGACGGTCGGGTTCGCCGCTGCCAAACATCACGCGACGGCATCTTCGGAGGGGCTTCCAGGCATCGTGTCGGCCCAGTGAGCACCATCGCCAGGGGCTAGACGACGCAGTCATCTTTTCCCTCGCGCGGCGTAAGCTGCCGCTGGCATGCAGGTGGTCCGTCAGGCATGGCTGGAATGTCATCACAAATAGCTCGCCGCCCTCGCAGCGTCGTATGCACGTGTGTTCGGCAGCAGCTTGCGTGGCAATGCTCAACGGCCCTGTCATATGTACACTGCTAAGCGGTACTGGCGAAGGATGGCCGTTGACGCTTGATAATGTGTGACAATGGGACAAATTGAGTCATTTCAGGGCAAGGGCAAGATGGCGGGATCCCTGGTGTCTTGGTTCTGCCGGCCGTGCCCTAGTCGTATACCCAGAGTCAAGTAAATATGTTGATGGAAGAAGAACGGTTTCTACGAAGTAGATATAAACCAATACAGGGACCCGATCCGAAGCACCGCTCGCGCCATCAACCTTGAACACGAACTCAGACAAGGGCGGCCCTGTCGCCCCCTTTCTTGCTTTTTGATACGCCCAACTTTCCCTACTCTGTAACTTACATGCATACTGATTCCTGCGCTCCAGCAAAGTGCTCGCATTGCTGGTCCGAGCCGAGCTTGGCCGTACGTGCGGAGTAGGATTAGGTTGACGACACGCCTGCACGATGAGCGAAGCGGGTTGGGCGCCCAAGCACACCGCAGGGCAAGCATCTGTCGAATGCATACCAAGTCGCGATGGGCCGAACTCACCCTCATTCTTTCCATCTCTCGCAGCATTGCCCGTTCTCGCCGTCCGCCGCTTTTCTTACCGCTGCTGCCGGCTCGGTGGCAGCATCAGCAGGCCAAGACGCCAATATGGGTCGTTTGCCCAGACACTTGCTGCGACCTAGTCATGCACTGTCACCCTGAGAAGCCTTCCGGGCGCCTGATACCGGAGTCTCATTGGTCGGCATTCGGTGACGACGAGGTTTGAAGAGCGGCCCGCACTGGCGGACAGGCCACACATGTCGATTAGTCGCCGAAGCCAGAAATCCAAGCGAGGACGGAAGGAAAACGCGTTTCCGCCCTACTCCAAGCTGCGTCGAGGTCGTACATGCAACAGGCACGTAGCCGGGCGGGAGGCGAGCAACAGTTGTTGTGCTTCTTGCGAAGCCGATACTTTGAGAGCGTGAACTACCAGGAGTATTACCATGTGCCCAAGGCCAAATGTCCATTAAGCCAACGGCACGGCAGGCTGGGGCAGCAAGTAGTCAACCAAGCAGCTGGTCGAGCCGAACAGCCGGTCGAGTAGTTCCATCAGGCCGCCGGCCGGGCAGTTCATAGCAACGACGGCGGGTAAGAAAGCGGCGGGGAGAGTGGCTACTGGTCAAAGAGATTAAGTACTGGGCAAGTAGTAAATATAAACTCAACGACGACGCTTCCCCTATGTATACACACCTAAGACTGTGGTCTCGGCCGTTATTAGCATCGTCGTCCTTACTTATACAAAAGGGGGTCCATGCCTCGCCCCTGTTGATCTACAAATACAGGAACAGATACAGAAACAAATACAGCTAATATACACGGCGTGCCTGCCCAACCCCCAATGGGAGACGGCCTTACGCATGCTCCCGGTGCGTCAGCTCCTCGGCAGGACTCGCATTCTTCTCCCCCGCCCGCCCACTCCCCGCCTGCTGGCCCTCGGCCGCCACGTGCCTGGGCGTCTCGTCGCTGCTGTCCGCCGGACCCGGTTTCGGCTCCTCGGCCACGCCCCTCGCCGCATCCGCCGCCGCGGCCTCGGCCTCGAGGTCCATGCCGGCGCGCTTGCGGATGCGGGACATCTCCTCGGCCGAGGGCGGCTCCCACTTTGCGCTCTTCCAGGGGACGACGTGCTCGAGGTACATGGTGTCAATCTCCTCGAGGGTGCGGTTGCGGCTCTCGAGGACGCAAAAGTAGACGAGCACGGCGGCGGCGAAGTTGCAGCCGGCAAAGACGTAGCCGTAGCTGAAGTCGATGGCGGAGAAGATAAAGGGGGTGAAGAAGCCGATGCAAAAGTTCCACGTCCAGTTGCTGGCGGTGCCCAGGGCCATGCCTTTGGCGCGATAGCGCGAAGGGAAGAGCTCGGCCTGGATGGTCCACACCATGGGGCCCCAGGTGGCGGCGTAGCCGAGGATGAAGAGGCAGGCGAAGACGATGAGGACGATGCCCGGCGTCTGCGTGCGCTCCGGGTGCTCGAGGTCGAGCTGGTAGTGGCCGACCGAGGCGAAGATGAGCAGGCAGACAAACATCCACAGCGAGCCGGCGATGAGGGACTTGCGGCGGCCGTAGTGCTCGACGAGGTACAGGCCGATGAAGGTGGTGAGGAAGTTGATGGTGTTGAGGATGATTTGCGTGATGAAGCTATCGATCTGCACCGAGCGGAAGATGGTGGTGCCGTAGTAGAAGAAGTAGTTGGCGCCCGTCAGCTGCTGCGCCATCTGGAGGAGGATGCCGAGGGCCAGCCGGTAGGCCATCCTCGGGGCGCGCAGCATGCCGACGAACTCGGCGACGGGGCCGGCCACGACCTTGTCCTCGGCGCGCAGCTTGCTCTCAATCTCCTCGAGCTGCGTGTGGACGGCCCAGTGGTTGGTCGACGCGGCGCCGTAGACCTTGCACAGCGTCTCGGCGGCGCGCTGGGTGCGGCCGCGGCGATAGTCGAAGCGCGGCGTCTCGGGAAAGGCCAGGATGCCGAGCCCGAGGGCCAGCGTCCACAGCCAGCCGAGCCCGATGACGATGCGCCAGCTGGCCGAGCTGTCGCCGTGGTGGGTGACGGTGCCCAGGTTGAAGCAGGCGGCCAGGAAGATGCCCAAGGTGATGAAGAGCTGGTAGGCGCACACCATGGCGCCGCGGATCCACGGCGGCGCCGTCTCGGCCTGGTACATGGGCACGAGCAGGCTGAGCCCGCCGACGCCGAGCCCCGCGATGAAGCGCCCGATCATGACCTGGTACCAGGCGCGGTCGGCGGCGATTTGCACGACGAAGCCGACGCTGACGACGAGCGCCCACAGCGAGATGGACGCGCGCCGGCCGAAGCGGTCGGCCATGGGGGCGCCGACGAGCGCGCCGATGAGGGTGCCGATGGACAGCAGCGCGACGATGAGGCCGGAGCGGACGTTGCCAAAGAACTTTTCGCCCTGGGCGTTGGTCTCGCCGAACCTCTGCTTGAAGTCGTCCATTTCCAGGAACCCCGAGATTTGGCCCGTGTCGTAGCCGAAGCTGCCAGGGACGCGGTGAGCGCGGGGCAACGGAGCCGCCGAGACCGGGCCAAGCACTTACATCAGGCCGCCCATGGAGACGAGCATGGCCACGGCCAGCGAGTGGCCCGTCAGGCGCGGCAGGGGCGAGTAGTCGAGGCCGGCGAGCGACGCGCGCACATTCTCCGGCCGGCGCTTGTCCGACGACGGGTCGTGCTCGTCGAAGCGGATCGTCATGAAGCCGCTCCCCATGGTGTCGGCGGGCGCACACGGGCGTGCTCGGGTTCAGACGGACAAGGGAGGGTTCAGTTGCAGGCCAGACACGGTCTCGATCAATCGCGGCACGGCGAAGCAGCGAAATGGTGTAAGACCAGCGTCGAAGGTCGGCCAAAGTCGTCGGCCACAGCAGGTTACCTGGCGAGCCTGGAGAATATAAACCACCGCAAACGGCCAGTCCGTCAGACGGTGCCCGGGTCCGGCCTTTCGTCATGGCGTATGGGACAAGTCGGCAGTTGCAAATCCGCCTGCGCCTTGCCGTCCTCGGAAGAGGTGGTCAGGGGCCGACCCCGGGGCCGCTCTGCTATACAGTACCGCGATGCGGCAGCATACAGTCTTGGCCCTTGGCTGGAGTGTGCGACCCAGCTGTTGATGACGTCGTGCCCGGTTCCGCCCCCACCGACGGCCTACTCCGGAACGCCGGACAGGCCGGGGTCGGTGCGTCTAGCGCGGGCCGGCAAATGACGTCGGCCCCGAGCCCCCACTCGGCTCGCCGCGCAATTGCCGAACATCGGCCTGACTGTTGTCTCTGCCAGGGAGGGAGCTGATGTAAGTGGACATGTCTGCAAATGCGCATCCATGTGGCCTGTGGTCGGAGACACCCCCTCGTTGGCCTCTCCCTACAGGGCCGGCCATGTCACCGTAGCTTACAGCTCATGATGCTCTCTCCACCAGTCTTCGTCGCCCGCCTGTCCATCACCGCCATTGTCATAGACACACTCATAATGGACCTATATCTACCCAATCCCTCTATGCGGGTTTCTACTGAGCCGCGAGGCTCCAAGAAAACAGGAGACGACGAGCCGCGGGCATATCGACTGCCCTGGCCATGCCCTGCTCATCAGACCTCGTCTGCGCCAGGTACTGCATGCTACCACGCCTCGCCAGTCTATGCCGCACCCCCCAGGAACTAACCATGCCCCCAACCCTGGTCTATTACGAACTGTTTTCATCCACCTAACTCTTCTTCCTTGACACTATTCCTCCTTGCTTTGCCCCAGACACGTCCCATCATACTTCGTTCCTCTCACATCTCCTCCGTGGGAATGTGCCCCTCGACGAGGCTCAGCGCGCCCAGGTTCACCTCGCCCATCCTCTCCGGCCCCGCGGCCCCTTCGGCGCCCGCCAGCAGCGCCACGCACTCAACCACGTCCTCGGGCTCCAGCAGGTGCCACTTGGCCAGCGTCACCTTGGTGCTCGCCCCCACCGTCACCGTGAAGACGTGGTCGGCGTTGAGCACCGACCCCGACGCCCCGTTGAGGCTGCGAAACATGTCCTCGTCGGTAAAGTCGTCGCCCATGCACAGCGCAAACTCGACCCGGCCCGGGTTCGCGTCGTCGGTCGTCGGCTGTGCCCGCGGGTTGTGGTACGTCGCAACGAGACGCTTGGCAATCTCGCCCTTGTTGATAAACCTCGGCCGCACCTCGATGTTGGCCTTGCCCGGCATCACCTCGACGTCCCACTTGCGTGCCACACCGGCCTCGAGCTCCTCGTGGCACTCGCGCGACATGTGCAGGCCCTGCTCCGGGTCCGCGAGCCGGTAGTGCCACGTGAGCGCACATCGCTTCCGTTCGATAAATGTGCCTGCAAACATTCACCGTCAACCAAACCGCTCACACGTCGCCCTGCTCTGCTCAACAGCCGGCTCCAACGTGCCTGCCTCGCGTCGCCCAGAGAATTGCAGCACGAGCCAAAAAAAAAACTCACCCGAAACCCTGTCCGTGTACTTCTCAAACACCTCCATGACCTCGGCCTGCCAGCTCATGTCAAACTTGTCGGCCAGGTTCACCCATTCCTCCGTCCCCGGGTACCGCATGAAGCTCCCGTGCTCGGCCGACAAGCCGAGTTGCCGGATGTGGCCAAGGTGCTGGTTGAGAAACTCCTGGTCCCGGCCCGAGATGATCCAGACCCAGTTCCTGGGGTCGGCGGCGAGCTGCCAGAGGCAGTGGATGATGCGGTTCGAGGGAATGGCGGCGCTAGGCTCGCGCACAATAGGCGTCAGCGTGCCGTCGTAGTCGAACATGAAGAGGCGCTTGGCGGCCGAGCGGTACTGCGACAGCAAGACGGCGCGGTCGAGCAGGGGCGTCGTGTGCGCGGCCCCGGCGTCGCCCAGGACGCTGTGGACCTTGCGGATGAACTTGCCGATCCACGACTGCACATTGTGCTTGGTGACGTGCTGGTAGAGGCTCTGCTGCGTGGCGGCGCGCTGCTCCGGCGTCAGCGTCAGCGCGGCGTTGATCTTGTTCGCCACGCCGCCCAGGTCCCAGGGGTTGATGTGCATGGCGTCGCCCAGGCTGCCGGCCGTGCCGCTAAACTCGGAGAGGATGAGGGGCCCATGGCCCTCCTTCTGGCAGATGACGTACTCGAGGCTCGTCGTGTTCATGCCATCGCGGACCGACGTGATGAGGCCAATGTCGGCGGCGCGCAGGAGGGCAAAGTACTCGTCCTGGCTCAGGTACTGCGGGTAGTGCTGGACGGGCGAGAAGCCGAGGCTGCCGTACTGGCCGTTGATTTTCATGACGAGCTCATTGACGCGGCTGCCGACCCTGTTCTCCGGGTCGTCGCGGTCGGCCTCTGCCGACGTGGTGGGCGAGGTGACCTGGATGAGCACGACACGCTCGCGCCACTCGGGATACATTTCAAGGAAGCGCTCAAAGGCCTGCAGCTTCTGAGCAACGCCGCGGACGCTGTCGAGGCGGTCACGGCCGACAATGATCTTCTTGCCAGCGTACAGCTTCTTGAGGGCGTCGTACTTTTCCGTGATCGAGTCAGCCCAAGCAAAGGCCTCAACCTTGGCAGCGTCGATGCCAATGGGGAAGACGCCGACGTGGACGCGGGAGCCGTAGGCGTCGATGCCGAGCGGGTCCGAGGGGAAGCCGAGGATGCGCGTGCAGCAGCTGAGGAAGTGGCGCGAGTAGCTGTACGACTGGAAGCCGACGAGGTTTGCGCCGAGGACGCCCTCGAGAATCTCCTTGCGGCGGGGAAGGCAGCGGACAAACTCGCTGCTGGGGAAGGGGCAGTGGAGGAAGAAGGATATGTACATGTTGGGGACGCGCTGGCGCAGCATGCTGGGCAGCAGCATGAGGAAGTAGTCGTGGACGATGACGATGTCGCCGGGCTTGTAAGCGTCGATGATTTTGTTGGCAAACATCTGGTTCATGCGGTAGTAGTCGGCCCAGTAAAGGCGCTCTCGGCGGCCGTCCGAGGGCTCGTGCTGCTTGTAGTGGAAGAGGGTGCAGAGGTCGTGCTGGGCATAGCGGCGCCAACGCGTCTGGTCGTGCAGGGTGACGCCGGCGTCGGCGTCGGCGTCGTCGGCGAGCCAGACGGGGACGGTGCGGATCGTGTCGCTGTGGGCGAGGCGGTGCTCGAGGCGGGCCTGGTCGTCGCGGGGGATGAAGAGACCGTCCGAGGCCGGGGGCGTGGGCAGGGGGGGGTGGGCGTTGGCGTCGACCTCGACGGGGACGGGGGCCGAGAGGGCATTGAGGGAGGCAAGGCCGACGGTGGTGGAGGGGCGGACCCCGTTGGGCTGCGGCGAGGCGGTGCGGTCGTGAGGCGAGTCGATTTCGCCGGTCCAGGCGACGACGGTGTGGCTCCACGAGGTGGCATCCGAGGAGAGGTAAGAGAAGGAGTCGAAGAGGGCCGACTGGCCGCGACGGGGCCTCAATTCCTGCGAGGCTGGCGTCAGCATTGGAGCTTGTTTGCGGGTGAGGAGGGGGGATGGGTTACCCAGTCGCCATCCTTGCGGTACGTGAGGGCGTGGGGAAGATCGAAGGTGGCCGAGATGATGTTGCCGCTGAGGGCCAGGTCTGGGTTTGCGGCGCGCAGCGCTGACAGGGACTCGCGGCGCGCCATGACTCTTCTTGTGCTGGGTAGCTTGGGACGAGAGTGGCAGAGATGGCAGCTGCGGTTGTGAGAGAAAGGGAGGGGCGAAGAGAGAGAAGTGGAAGAAGAGGAGGAGAGGGGGGCAGAAGAAGAGGGGGAGAGGGACGACGACGAGGAGGCGTTGCGCAGGAGAGGGTCGCGATGGATTAGGCAGGGGAGGTCCGGGCCGGGGCGTCGGGGCAGCGAGAAGTAGCTGCTGCCGTCTCCGTGGGCGGCGGCTGGAGATGACAGAGGAGAGGGGCAGGCGAGATGGCGGGAGGCCGAGGAGGAGGCCGAGCTCGAGGAGGAGGAGGAGGAGGCGGCGGCGGCGGCAAAGACGGCGGGGGTCGAGGCGAGCGACGACGAGGGGAAAGGGTCGACGTAGGTGGAGGGGTGGATGCCCGGGGTGACTGTGCTGTAGTAGAAGCTGCCGTGGAGGGGCCAGGGCTGCAGCAGCAGCTGCTGTTGGCCGCCCGGCTGAGTTACTAGGCCTAGGGGCTTGACATCATCGTCCCACTGGCGGTGGCCCGGCACTGTAGCGGGGGGGCCTGGAGGGGCAGCGGAGGCCTGGGCTGCCTGGAGCGTGGCGCTGCCGAGGTCGCCGTCAGCGTGAGCGGCGCTGCTGGTGCTGCTTGCGCTGCAAAAACCGCTGCTGCCGCTGCTCGCGCTTCCGCCACTTGGGTCCGTGCCGTCGTCATTGGCAATGCGGCAGCGTGCAAACAGGGGCCGCCGCCGCTGCTGGAGCTCCCGGCAGGGGCTGCTCTGCACGGTCGCTGGAGCCGCACTCTCGTCCAGCGGCTTGCCGTTGCTGTTAGTGTCCGCCATGGCTGGCTGTCAGGCTCGACGCCAGTTGGTCGAGAGGAGCCAAACGGTACTGGGCTTCACTCCAGGTATCGGTCTTGCGCGTCGAGGATAAGCTCGAAATCGATGGGAGCAAGAACATTGCCCTGGAAAACAGGAAAACACACATGGACACGGCATCCTTATATACTAGTAGCTCCTTTCTCATCCATCACAAATCCCTACAAGCACCAAAACCTGCTCCCTTCCCGGGCGCATGTCCGCTGCCCCTAAGCCCGGACCAGATGCCCCGGACACCACCGACCGACTGGAGGAGAATTCGGGTGCCCTGTGCCGGCAGTAGGGCCTTGGGTATCACCTCTCATATCACTCCTCGTCCAACCGCTCTGCCTAGCTGCTGGTTGCCGTCGTGATTCGCCGTCGGCACGGTCCCAGAGAGGGAGGGCCCAGAGAGGGAGGGCCCAGAGAAGGGGGGCCCAGAGAGGGAGGGAGATGGGAAAGGCCGCAACCTCCGGGAGGAGGCAATAGCCCAACGGCAAACCGCCACCACGCGCAATCGCACGTGGCCCATTCGGCCGCGTGCTCCGACACTGCAACGCAGGCGGGAAATCCGTCCTATCTGTCCAGGGGAGCCAGGTGTGCGTGCTGCCTTGGAACCGCTGCTTTGCCGTGTGTCGTCATGACGGCTCAACCAACAGGTGGTGAACCCCAACAAGGATGGGAGCCGCCCAGGTCCATTCGTGCAACGTGCGAGATAGAGATGTGGCCAATAGGAAAGCGGTCGATCCAGGCATCAAAGCTCACCAGCTGCTGGTCAGCACGCACACAGTGTCGGCCTCGAATGCCACACAAGAGCTTCAGTGCCGCACGTTGGCGGCTCCAAGTCCCATGGCAGACCTCATGGCTCCGCACGTGACCGCGGATGCCTCGGCTTCAAGTTGTCCCTGTCCGTCCACTACGACCCCTGCACCAGCTCCACCCGTTTCTCACCACCTTTTTCCGAGTTTTTGCCTCGTCTCCTCCACCCGGCGCCCGTCGGCCTCACCTCGCTTCAACGCTCAAGGCAAACACCCGGACATCCGCCGACAATCTGCCAACCGGGCTCCAGGTCCAGGCAAGACGGACAATGACGCCCTCGCCGCCTCCTCCACCCTCGCCGTCCCAGCACGCGACCGTCCACGCCTACGCCAGCAACGGCCTCGAGATTCTCCAGGCCGCCAGCGATGCCGCCCAGGCCATCCAGAACCCCCAGGCTCTTCAAAATGCCGCCGCCGCCGCTGCCGAGGTCGTCGTCCAGCCCGCCATTGACGAAGACGCTGCTGCTGCTGCTGCGGCGGCGGCGGCCCACCAGATGACGGGCTCGACGCCTCCTCCTGCTCCCCATCCTCTCCCTGCCTCTCCTCCTCACCAGCAGCAGCAGCAGCAGCAGCTCCAACCGCACCACCAGCATCCCCAGCACCTGATGCCCGGCCCCGGCGGCGTCATGCGCGACCCGACCATCAACCCCAAGCTAACGCGCCTGCGACGTGCCTGCGACATGTGCAGTATGCGTAAGGTTAAGTGCGATGATACCGACGTTCCCTGTCGCCCGTGCCGCGAGCTGGGCGTCGACTGCACCTACGAGCGTGAGACGAAGCGACGCGGCCCCCCCAATAAGCATGCCGAGGCCGCCAAGGCCGCCAAGAGAGCTCGCGTCGACTTCGGGGCCGCCGCTGCCGCTGCTGCTGCCGCTGCCGTTGCCTCGGCCGCCACCGGCGCGCTGCCCGCCTCCCCGTCGCCGCACAACGCGGCCAAGACGCTCATCAACATCTCGTCCGACGGTCTGCTCGACGCCGAGGCTATTGCGCCGCTGCCCGTCCTCGAGCTCCTCGTCGACGACTTCTTCACCTACCTGCACCCGCTCGCCCCCTTTCCTCATGAACCCACCTTTCGCCAATCGTTTGCCAACCGCGAGGATCGCTCCCGGCCTGACTTTCTCGGCCTGCTCGCCAGCATGATTGCCGCCCTCGTCGCCTCCTTCCCCCGCAGCGCCCGTGAGCATCTCAAGTCGCAGCACGGCGCGCACCTCTTCCCCAAGCCCGTCGTCATGGCCGACCGCTGCCGCGACATTGCCCTGCTTACCCGCGGCAGCAAGTGGGTCCTCAAGCAGCCCAAGACGCTCGACGACGCCGCCACCAGCTACTTTCTCGGCCTCGCCTGCGGCTACTGCGACCAGTGGAACGCCTCGCGACACTTCATGGCCGAGACGCTGACTCTGATCCGGGAACTAGGCTTCGCCCGGCCCAAGCATCCAGGCGATCTGCCCACCTTTGGCAACGACCCGTACTCGGCCGACCCGCTGCCCTTTAATCACGTCAAGGATCAGATCGGCAAGCGCCTGTTTTGGTGCCTCTTGCTGGGTGTCAGGCGAGTGCTCCATGGCCCCTGTTGCGAGCTCGAACGTCGTGCTGACAAGCTGCGTCTCTTGACGCCTTCAGGTCCTTTTCGCAACTTGGCGCATCGCACACGCCCACCGATCTCGTCATTGCGCCATCGACGCCCAACCTCCCGTATCCGGCGTACCCGGAGAACGTTGACGACATCTGCGTGCTGGCCAACGAAATCATCCACCAGGCCGAGGGCAGCGTGACGCTGCTGACGGGCTTCCGCTTCGCCATCGACATCTACACGACCATGAACGGCGTAGTCAGCCTCGAGCTGGCCTACGGCATGAGCACCCTGCCCTGGCCCGACCAGCGGCTACTTCTGCGAGACGGCCTCGTGGCTGCCAAGAGCATCGTCGACAACCTGCCGCCGGAACTGCAGCTGGGCAACCTTGGCGACGACGCCAACTCGCTGGCGGGCCTCGACGAGGCGGGCCTGCAGTACGTGCCGCCCGTGTGGCCCCAGGCGCAGCCGCCGCACGACCTGCGCAGCGTCATCAAGGCGCAACCCCTGCAACGGCGGCAGCTGCAGTACGAGATGCAAAAGGCCAACATCTTTGTGTCGCAGCTGGCCACGCGCTCCTACTTTGTCGACCTCTTCTTCACCCTGCGCGACGTCCACCTGAGCGAGCTGCAGCAGCAGCAGCAGCAGCAGGGCGGCGGCGACGAGGTGGAGGCGCAGCTCGAGGAGATCAAGGCGCTGCAGGACGTCGACGATAAGGACATCCTCGACCTCATGTGCGCGGAGCGCGAGCTGCTGGTGCAGAACCTGCTGACGATTCTCGGGTCCGTCTCGCAGCGCAACCTCGAGCCCAACGGCGGGTCCCTCATCAACAAGATCCGGCAGGTGGCGCTGACGCTGCTCAACGACGCGCCGGAGCGCAAGGGCCCCTTTGCCGTCAAGGCCGAGGAGGCGCTGTCGCAGCTCATCGAGGTGCTGGCCAAGCTCGACAAGTCGGGCTCCGCGGCGGGCTCGGGCCGGGCGGCCGACCCGAGCCAGATGATGACGGTCGAGGACGAGGACGAGGAGCTGCGGCACTGGGCCGACCTGCGCGACTTTCAGCTGCGGTACGCGGCCAACGGCGGCTTTGGCGACGACTTGTGAGGACGGTGCGGACGCCCTTTGCAAACAGCAGCAGCATCGTCGCCCATGCTTGCTGTCTCGGCATCGGCTTCAACCATGTTCCTAAACGATAAGGACCGCGACCGGATCAAACGGGGATTCGCTTGAAGGGCCAGGTCGGTTCCGAGGCGTTGAGGGGAGGGAAAAGAGGGCAGAGGGCCTGGCGTTTGGAGAAGTGATGCACAAAGTTCATAAGTTTCTAGCACGCAGCATGTCGGAAGGGAAACTGTCCACAGCGACGAGGGACATGGACGGAGACTTGGTTGGCGCCCACGTCACGGGTGAATGATGCTTTTTGAACCCACCAGAGCCCGGCAATACAAGTTATACTCCAAGAGCATACAGAGAAACAACTACAAGAAGACGCGGAAGAGGAAAGAGAAAGAGCAGCATCGCACGGCCAAAGAAGCAGAGCCCTCCCGGAGGCCCGATCTCGGCTCGCGAACAGCTCTCAGGCCTCGCGCTTATGCTTCCTCTGCCACAGCCATCCCCACGTCGCCCATGCAACGTCGTTGTACGCAAACAGCCTGCCTCGTCCCCAGGCGGAAGCGTCAGCAAGCCGTCACAGACGTGTGCCTACAGGTCTCTCCCGGCGAAAATGGAAGCGGGCTCTTACACGGCGGTGGCCATAAAGCACACCAGAGTGGCGGCAGACCCGCGCGACATGAGGCGGTGATAAACAAGCCGGAAGACGAGAATGGCGAAGCAGGCGGTTGCGCTGAGGGCGATGAGAGCGGCGAGGCCGACGTGGAGCGTGTAGGGGATTGCGCGGCGGCCGCGGAGGGTGCGGATGACGGACATGGCGACGGCTATGTTCCAGAGCAGGGCGGCGAGGGCCTGGACAATGGTGTTTAGCGGTTTGTGTGCCCCGACGTCTCTCTCTCGTTTTGCTCCGTCTGCGTTGATAGCATTGAATACCACAAGGGGGCGGACGACACGACTCCAGAGCACGTCGAGGTCATCATCCCCTTGCTTCTCTCCCACACCCCCGACATGTATACGGATCTTTTGCATGCGGCCCGGACACGCACAGCGAGCCGTCACCTACCACGGGAAACGTAACCTGCCACACAACCACACAGGAATCGCCGCTGCTCACGTTGCACGTGTCGGCGAGCCACAGCGCGTCGTAGAAGAGCACCGGCAGCGGCGCAGGCACGGCGAGGACGCGCATCATGGCCGAGACGCGGCGGAGCAGCACGGTGCGCGGCGACGGCGGCGGCGGCGAGGCGCGGGCCGTGGTGGTCGCCGCGCTGCTGCCCTTTTCGGCGGCGGCGGCGAAGGAGAGCTCGTCGGATGGCGTGGTGGCCATTTTGCTTGGCTGTGGTGAGACGAGGCGCGAGGGCGTGCGCGAGGGAGCGGAAAGGGGGGAGGAGGCTCGTGATGAATGCTGGTGATGGTGGCGATGGTCTTTTGTTTGGCGTTGAGGCTGTTGGTGGTGGCGGAGGAGACGGGCGGTGCTTGGGGGGGGGGGTTCCTGCTGCCTCTGGTCCAGGGCGTGTTGGGAAGGCCCGAGAGGAGGAGGAAGGGGACGGTTGCTCAGGGGAGAAGACAGGGTGCCTGCTCAACCTGCAAGTGAGCGTGAAGGGGTTCTTTTTTGGCAACGAGAGAGATGTGAGAGGAGATGGCGAGACGGACGGGGAGCGGAGACGGGCGATGGTGTCCCATGGTTCCTCTCGATTGCAACAGGAGGAGCAAGACAAGGCAGAGACACTTGGAGAGCTCGAGCTCCAAGATGGGATGAAAAGAGAGAGAGAGATACACGCCCCAGGGCACAAGCACCCCTCGCCCGCCTCACGCCGCCGCAACAGCCCTCCCGCCCTCCCGGCCCCCCCCGTCCTCGACGTCCTTGGGCCCCCTCGCGCGAAACAGCATCACGGCGCCGACGCACCAGACGTCGACGTGGCGGAACCGGCGGCGCAGCCCCTCGGCCAGCACGTCCTCGGAGTCGGCCGCGTTGCCAAAGATGCCGCGCCGGTTGTACGCCGCCAGCAGCCAGCGCGCCGCCCACCCGAGCGGCCGCCCGACGCCCAGGATGGTGGCGCCGACGAGCGTCGCCTCGTCGCCCAGCAGCGGCGTCACGGCGTCGAGCACCGCCGCGAGCTTGGTTGCGGGCGGGCCGGGCAGGCAGTGCAGGAGGAAGAAGATGCTGGCCGAGTCGAAGCGCGGCGCCTGCGGCTGCGGCTGTTGCCGGTGTTGCGGAGCCCCGCCCCCGCCGGCCCCCGCCGTCGCCGTCTCCGGCTCCCCCGCGCCGAGCGGCAGCGGCGCCCGCGTCACGTCGGCGAGCACGGCCGTGACCCGCACGCGGCGGCCCGCGCCCGCCGCCGCGTGCTCGACCCTGCGCCTGGTGGCCTCGAGGGCGTGCGGGTTGAGGTCGACAATGGTCAGCTCGCGACACGGCGGCGGCGCGGCGGCGGCGGCGTCGCCCAGCGCCCGCGCGGGGAAGTACCCGGAGCCGACGCCGATGTCGAGGTGGCGCCGGCCCATGGACGCGCGGAACAGCGGCAGCAGCACGCGCGACGTCGAGCACTTCCATATGTACGTGCACGAGAACCAGAGCACCCACATGTCGTAAAAGGCGAGCACCCAGGGCGTGTAGACGGCGGCGCCCGGGTGCTGCTCCGGTGCCTCTTCCTCCTCCTTCTGCCGCTGCTGCTGCTTCTGCTGGGCCGCCATTGTGCGCGCCGACTCGGTTGGTTGGCCGCTTGCTGAAGTTGTCGCGTGTTTCTTCGAGTGTCGATATATATATGTATATATATATCAACCGCAGGGCCCAGAGCTGCCGGGCAGTGAGAAGAAAGCAACCGCACAGCAGACCGGGGGGATAGGGAGCCATATATATACGCAAACCACAAGTATTAACTCCTCCCCGGCCCCATCGACCAACGCGAAGCAGCGCAGCAACGCAGTCATCATCACGGCCCCCCTTCCCTCCATGGCTCCACGCATCAATCTCTTGACATGCACAAAGTAAGCCATTGCAACGTGGGGGCCATACACATCAACGCAGGCAAGCGAAGTAACCCAAGCTCGCCAGGGGAAGAGAGGAGGGGAGGGGGGTAAGCGCATCGCCATGATTCGCTCGTCGGCCGACCTTTCCGCATCCTCCCGCAGCTCTGATGCCAGGGCATCACGAGAGAGAGTGTAAGACGCCGGCCGGGCACTGTCAGTCAAGGAACAGGGATCTATGAGGGGTCCCGAGGAATCAAGTTGCCCATACTCAAACTATCCTCTCTTTGCAGTCCTTCCAGCGTTACCAAAGGAGGCTGCGGCCATGATGTGCAAGACCGCGTCTCGGAGCCTCCAAGCGTCCACTGCAAGAACCCGTAATCACCGTCATCACGCAGGCATGTACCTGCTACACCAGCCAGAGGTGAAGCCCGAGCCTGCCAGAAACAAAGCTCAATAGGAAGGCGTCTCGTCGACAAGAGAAATATCGTGCCCTCGCCAGGTCCCTCCCTCCCCGGCTCCAGCTCCGCCCCTTGTCCCCACGCTCTCGGCTACACACAAGACTCGTTGATAGATGATACCCAGGCACAAATAGAAAGCCAAAGCAGAGAAGAGCAGCTGGGTTAAAAGGGGGAGGGGCTTTTGTGCCCCGGCTCTCGTCAGTTCACGATACTACACATCGCACTCAAGCACTTACACGCACCCACACCACATACAAAAGGAGTAACGTCTCCGCGCCTCACAAGGCAGCCAATAACCCTCTCCACCGCCTTGTTCCCCCGCGCGCTGCACAGCCGACGCCACATACATCCCTCGGCGGTTCATGAGAGGCCAGGTTCCAGCAGCCGACATGTTCCTCGCCACGCTACATGCCAGTCTCCAGACGGCCTGCCTCGACGCACGAGTCAAGGCTGACGACGGTCACACAAGCATCCGTGCCACCGGACGTCGTGGCACGCTCGGGTCATTGTGCTCCCATCCTTGTTCCTGGCTTGACTTCTCTCATTCACGTGTCCAGGTCCGTCGAGGAAATCAGAGACTCGCCGGATATGCTTCAATTTCAGGCTAGACTTGTCGTCGCAGCCGGCGCCCCTCGCGGGTCCGTCCCCTCCGGACCGAGACGAGGGACAAGGGGAAGCAGAGCCGTCCTATGCCGCGCCGGGCCGCAGCCCGCAAACGTGAGTCTTCCGACGTCCTCTACCACTGCTGGCGAGCCCACCGCCCGTTCCTCCGCCTCATCAACCGTGGACCGCCTTTATCCCGTCCATCTCACAATTGACGGACAGCGGGGTATCTCATGACATCGTGACAATCCTTGCTGCAAAACATTCCCAATCCAATCACTCGCCGCAGAGACCAGGGGAAGAGGGGGGAGAAACTCGTAAATGCATCCAGTCCGCCGCCCGTAGTTTCCTTCTAGAAAATTCAAACAGCCAACCGAGTAAATCTGAGTCCCAGTGTCGTCAAAGCAATGGCACAGGGCCAAACACAAGAGAAAGGAAAAGGAAACAGCCGGAGCCGGAGACGGATGCAAAGAGAAGAAAGAATGGCCCTCGCACAGCCTAGCCCGCGCAAAGGCCAAGCTGCGACGGCCATGCAATCCACGCCACGCAATTACCATGGCATATCGAGAGGGAAACAATCGTCGTGACCGGGAAAGAAACGTCAAGGACAACGCCAAGTCATCATGAGCACGCCGTAGCCACAAATCTGCCGACCAGGTAGACGCAAGGGAACTCGTTGAACTCGTCGAATAATGCAAATTCATACTGGGCAAGGCCGAAGCCAAGAAAGGAGAAAAGGGGAAGGCGGCGAGAGAAGAGGCTGTCGAGGTGCGACTAGTACGCCGTGGCTGTCGACCCTTCGCTGGTTGCGACGGCGACCAAGGCCTCCAGACGCCGGAGTGACTCGGCATTTGCAGGGCGATCCTGCTGTTGCGGCGCCGGGGGCTCGCGGCCGGGGAAGCCGTTGAACCCCGTCAGGTTGGGATGGACCATGCGGTCGACGTGCGCCACCCGAGGATCCTGCGGCGGCGGCGGCGGCGGCCCGTTGACCCCGCGGGGCACCGGCGGGCCGTGATACCAGCCGTGCCGCTTCGGCGCCGTCATGGACGGGGCCGACATGGTTTGCTGGTGCAGGGAGCGCGCCGAGGCCCCCGCCGGAGGGCCCGCGTGCGAGGGCGGCAGCTGGTCCTCGAAGCGGACGCTCGGGCTCCGCCGCACGCGCTCCGCCTGCGCCTGCACCGCCTTGTTCACCTCCGAGGCCCACGCGCCGGCGCTGTCGCGAGGCGGTGTCTTGCGGCTGATGTCGAGGCGCGTCAGGCCGCGCTGCAGGCTGGCGTCGTACATGTTGAGGTTGCGCCGCTCGTCGGGCTGCATCGGCTCGGCCGGCTGGTACACGGGGCGCCGGGTCGGGGCGTCCGAGTCAATGGCCATGGGCGACGGGTTGCGGCGGGGGACGGGGTCAAACGACTCGATGCCGGGCAGGCGAAACGACGACTGGGCGCTCGACGGGTTCGCAATGGGCGGCGGGGGGTTCGGCCGCGCCGACTGGCTGCCGACGGCGCTCAGCTGGTGCTGGGCCTGGCCGTTGAAGGTGCGGCTGTCGGAGTGCCAGGTGCGCCTCCGCCACGCCTCGTCGGCGGCGCTCGCGTTGGAGTCGCGCCGCCCCGACCAGGCCGCCGCCGACGCGGGCGACGTCACCACACCGCCGCTGCCCGGGGGCGGCAGCGCGGCGGGGTGGGAGCTGTTGAGGAGCCCCGGGCCAAATGGCGAGCGCCCAGAGGCCGACAGATGGGCGGGCTGGAAGGGGTTCACGCCCGAGGGGACGCTGAGGCGGCGGCCCGGGGTGCGGCTGCCCGCCGAATAGAGGCTCTGGGACCTCGAGTGCGACGAGGTGGGCGACGCCATGCCCGAGGCCCATCGCGGGCTGCTCTGGGCCGTGGAAAAGGTGGCCGAGGTGGGTGTGCTGTAGTCGCCGGGCGACGAGTGGCGGTAGGGGTACGGGCTGTCGATGTTGCTGCGGTACGATTCGAGCGACAGCCTGGAGCGAGGGTCGGCGGCCATGACGAGCGGCGGCGGGCGGCGGCGGGCGTCGGGCGCCTGGGAGCCGTACGACGACGACGCCACCGAGCTGATGCTGGCGATGCTCGACGTTGAGAGCGACTTGGAGTGGCCGCGCGCGGGGCCGCCGGCACTGCCGCCCGTCGAGGCGCGGGCCCTGTTGCCGGCTTGCCTGACGCGGTCGGTGCGGATCTGGCGCTGGAACCTCGAGCCGGTAGCGGCGAGGGAGTCGATGGGGATGTCTTCGTTGACGTGGACCGTCTGTGCATGCTGTCGCAGGTTGTCGAGCCTCGAGAAGCGCCGAGAGCAATGACACTGAAAGGGCCGCTCGCCCGTGTGTTTTCTGCCACGACGTCAGCCGGTCATTCAAGTTGATGGTGCGGACAGACTCACCGGATGTGCCGGGCCAGGTGCTCGCTCCTGGTGAAGCTCAGGTTGCAGGGGGGATAGTCGGTGCAGTAGAAGCGCTGCGACTTCTTCTTCTTGCTGGACCTGGAGCCATCGGCGTTGACGCTGTCGTCGTCGGAGCCATCGTCGCCATTGCCGCCTTCGGCGTCCGAGTCGTCCATGTCGACATCCATCGAGTCCCTCGTCGTCGACGACTTGGCCGAGTGTTGCGAATGGTCACTCGGTAGCCGATCGGCGGTGTGGGGGACCTGGACGGCGTGGGGGAAGGGGCTCGAGGGCAGAGGCATCTGGCCGGGAGCGGTGGCGAAGGAGGCTCTCGTCGGGGTGGCGGCGGCGTCGTGGGGAGCCATGGCGGCGAGGAGTTGGGCGTGAGGGGGCGTGTTTGGCCGGGGGGTCGGGGCGGATGATGAGGATGGGGCCGTCGGGTCTTCCTCGATGGTCTGGGCGATGAGGTTGGGGTTGACGGGTCGAAAGGTGGCGGCCATGGCGGCCGGGGACAGGCCGGGGTGCGACGGATGACGGACGGGTTGCCAGCAGCACGAGGCGTCAAAGTGAGGCGCCGAGTGGCTAGATGGGCAGGATGCGGTGACGAAGCGGCGACAGGTTCCGGCGGGCCCTTTGCTCGCTCTCGCGCTCACACACGCAAGCGCGCTGGACCTCGGGGGCCTTCTCTCAGAGTGAGGCTGAGAAAATGGTGCGACTGCCGCGGCAGGGGGGGGGGGGGGGGCGACAAGGCGACCCCGGGAGGGGAGAGGCGGGGGAGAGACGAGGGGGCGGCGGTTCTGCCAGCAGTTATCTGGAGACACGGGCGGGCCAGGCGGGGAGGAGCGGGCGAAGCGAATGCCTTGTCGGCGGCGGCGGCGGCGGCGTGGGGGTTGTTCTCGTCGTCGTCGTCGTCGTCGTCGGGGTCGGAGTCGGTGTCGGTGTGATCGATGGGCGACTCCGTCTCGTATTGGTCGGCATGCGATTCGTGAGGGAAGGCTGGGGGATGTGTGCGATTATACCCTTTCTCGCTTGGCTTTCCCGCTCTTGCCTTTCGTTCTCTTCAAGCTGCTCGAGGCCAGCAAAGACGACGAGGGACGAAAGGAGATGAAGATGGGGGAATGAGCGAGGAGGAGAATGAGGAGCAGTGGGATGAAGATGGGAGGAAGAGAAGGAGAAGGGCCGCAGATGAAACGCGATGCGAGTATACAAGTACCCGGGCAGGCACAACGAGTTGCGGGTGCGCGGGCGGCGGATCCAGTTGCATGAGGGTGGTGGAGGAGGAGGAGGAGGAGGTGGAGGAGGAGGTGGAGGAGAGGAGGAGAGGAGGAGAGGAGCTGGAGAGGGAGGGGAACGAGTGGTTGGGCTGGCGGTGCTAAGGCAAGGAGGTAGCTGAGGTACAGGTAACAAGTCAGATGGCCCGCCCGGCGATGGAAGTACTCGTCATGTACTTTGCGCCTAGCAGCTGTCCCGGAGGGTCCCCTGCAGCCGGGGTCGCCACGGGCCAAGGTACCCGCAAGTACCTTTTGGACCAAGGATGGCCAACCGTCGCTCCCAAACGCGCCTTGGACACTACTAGTAATGTCTCTCGAGCGTTGCGCTGTCAAGGTACCTGCCTTAGCCAATTGCGAGGCAATTGTAACCAGGCTGAGAAGTGGTCGCAGGCACCGCACCGACCAGCGGGTCCGAAGGGTGGCGGAAGCTCGCCCACAGCGCTGCGCAGCACGCGCATGTACTATACATGCAGATACATGCATCCACACACTCTTGCATGACACAGGCTCTCTCTTCGTCCATCCACATTCACACCGCCGGCCTCGCGGCTCCCGAAAGCCCAGCCCAGCCCAGCTCATCAGCGCAGCCCGAGTTTCGAATCGGTTCCCCCGGGCAGAGAACATGTCTCTGCTCCCCCCTCCCACCCATTTTTTTTTCATGCTGTTTTGCCTCTCTCTTCCGTGCGCCGGCCTGAGCTGACGGGTGGTGGTGCGTCGACTTGCAGCCAACTGCCATCCCATGTACTACAAGGTACCTCTCCCGGTGGATCCTCAGGTACACGTCCCGGCACCAGGTACCGCAAAGACCAGGTGGGCGCTAGAGTAGCGCTGCCCCGGCCTACGCGCTGTCTCAGTGGCGTGTGGCTGCACCGCCCGGGGTACATGGCTGTACCTTGAAGCGCGGCCTCGCCCTCCCTGCTTATCCACTAAGGCCTGGGCACCCCCCAGGAACGGATGGACAGCCCACGTCGTCTCTCGTTTCGCCTGTCTACGTCGAGACCGATTGATCCTCGCCTTCTCCGGTTCGCAACAGCGGTCCGGTTTGTCGCGCGTTTGCTGGCTGCGACGGCCAAGTACTGCAAGGTACAAGGTACCCAATGCACCTGGCGGCTGTGCCTGCAGGAACCGGAAGCGACCAAAGGCGGCCTGAGCGGCCGGACAGTGCGGGGTATCCACTGGACAAGGCACCGGTGCACAGCACCGCCCGGAGCAGGCACAGGCACGAGAATCGGACGGAGAGGCATCAGCACTGCATATAGAAAGGGTGTGGTGCATGCCTGGCTGCTTGGATGCCATGCAGATGCGCTCTGTTTCAGGCCCCTGGCGTGCCCTGCGCACGTCGTGGTCGAGAGAGCCCGGGGACGAGAGAGCCCGGGGACGAGAGAGCCCGGGGACGAGCCCCGTCTGCCTGTGGCCGCGGCTTCAAGTCCGCGGCCGTCTCAAGCCAGCACTGCAAGGTCATGGCAGCCAAAAGCCAAACCAAAACAAGCAAGCAACTCGCGCTGCAGTGCGGAGAGGCGCCGCGCGGGGCTGAAGAGGCCGCCCGGGGCGTGACAAGCGACGCACGGTACGGACACTGTACGGAGTGGGACAGCTGTGCCACTAACGAGGCACGGCTGTACCTGGGCCTGTACCTGCACCTGCACCTGTACCCGGGCCTGTACCTGTATCTGTACCTGTAACTGTACCTGTACCTGTACCTGTACCTGTACCCCCCCCCCCTCCCCCCGAGACGAGCCAAGACGAGCCAAGACGTGTGTGCTGACGACGTCTGCTGCTGCGCACCAACGAGAAGCAGCGAGGCCGGTTGCGTTTCTTGCCTCGAAGCGTTTTTCCCCTCTCTTTTGCTTCCCGTCTTGCTTACAAACGGCTTCGTCGCGTTTTGCTGCTGCTTTTCCCGCCGTGGTTGGGCAGCCCTCGTGACGCACACGAGAGACTACTCTGCCCGGATCCGGCCTGGACGAGCCATCGTCCCGAACCGACAGTCGAAGCTCCAACGGATGGAGAGTTGCCTGGATGGCCGACGATTGGTTGGTTGCTGTGAAAAAGCCCAACCGTGACTTGGTGCATGTTTGCCTGTGCTTGCTTGCGTCCCCATCTCTCCGCACAGGACTTGCAGCCAGACCAACAAATAGAGCGGATCCGTCGTCGAAGCCAGCCTCTTTCTTGGTCAACCCGCAAAGCCGCAAAGCGGGCGCGGGGCAGAACCGAGGGGATCACGAGTCGGAAAATCAAGACCACGCCAGGCCCCCCCAGGCATTGATTGCAAAGGGTGCCCGGTGTCGGGTTAGCGCCGAGGCTAGACGTCTTCATCTGCCGGACGTGGCGGCGTCGACGGCGACGGCAAAGAATGTCCCGAGTCATGAAGAGGGGCGACGCTGTCGACGTCTCCAGGCCAAGGGAGGCGAGGCGTCAAGCCCGCTCCACCGACAGCTCGTTGGCTGATGCAGCCTTTTTTCCTCAGCCGTTTACGCATGACACGGGCCCTCGACACACACACACACACGCACACACACACAGGGATGATGAACTCACAGCTACGGGTACAAATAGCCGCGAAACCGAAGCTGTGTCCCTAGGGAGTCGTCATGCGTGTCGAGTATCCGTGGAGACGGGCCCTTCGGATCACGCCGCCAGCGGAGCCCCGACTCGGCCCCGGGCGGGTGGGTCCGCCACCACGCAAGGCACCGGCCATCGGTACCTGGCATGGAGGTATCTGAAGTCCTCCACGTTTGCCGCCGCCGCAGCCTACGCCGCCTACGAGGTACCTGGCGAGCACGTCGTCCGTCGCCCGGCCGTGTGCACAGCAGGCCCGGCTCAGCCACCGCCCCCGCACCACCACGGCGGCCCGGGTTCCTCGCTGTACCTGTGCCGTCGTGTGCCTCACGTACGCACCGAGTAATGGATATATACCTACGCGCCATCCAACTTGTACATCCATGTGTGCGTATATACAGAACATGTGTGTGTTCAAGTGTATATCAGGTGCGGATACAGCATCTGCATGTACAACTGTAATTATGTCGTGTGCGCGCCCCCGCCATCCCCAGTCAGCCCGTTCCTGAAGCTTCATCAACGGATGCGTCGCATCCTCCTCCCACCCGACCAGGTAGCCGGCGACGGACGGGGGGCCTGGTGCCTGACGAGCACCTACCGCTCTGTACGACGTCTCATCCTTTCATGACCTTGGGCCCATGTACAGTATATCCCATGTACAGTATATCTGTCGGCCGTGGCCTGAAGCTCACTACTCAGGACCCATGGGTATTACACCGTCTGCAAGACAACAAGATGCACGCAACCCACTCCTTCTGCACGCAATGCCTGCCCGTCATCTTCTGTAGACGCGCGCATCCCGGCTCGGCCTCGACCACAGGCGCCACATGCCGCCCAGTCGCCATTGCCCAGGTCGCTGGACCCCGGGTGATGCGTCCACGGATTTGCATTCGACCTCGTTCATCTATGTACCAAGCAGCTACAGTACTTGCAGCATGCAGCCGTCTCACTCAGTCTCCAACGGTATGTGTGTGTGTGTGTGTGTGTGTGTGCGCGCGCGTGCGTGTGTGTGTGTATGCGTATGCGCATGTGCGTGTGCGTGTACGTGTGCGTGTGCGTGTGCGTGTGCGTGTGCGTGTGCGTGTGTGTGTGTGTGTCTGCCTCGATTTACTAGTTCCGGCAGTGCTGGTGTCCAGACACGAACCAGCCGCCGAGTCTGGCGGCTTATATGTTTCTGCCGTCGAGCAGCATAAAAATAGCAAGCAAGGTGTTTCCTCAAGGCGTAAAGAACCCTCCAACCCCCTCTCCCCGTGAGACACCGTGTGCCGTGACAAAGACGCCCTCGACCACGATGCGCCGGCAACAAGCACAAGCCTGCAGCGCCCATCACCTGCGTCTCGCTAGTCCCACGGCAACATGCCGAGTTCGAGGTAGTGCGAGATTCGTTCCTGGGCGAATGGACTGTGGGGAAACCAGGGGGGGTGGCACCGTGGGCCGCGCGAGGCACCCGAGATGCCATGCTCCGCCGTCCGCTGTATCTCCATGTACGCGCTGTCTCGGGCAACATTCATCCTGATGTATCCTTTACGCTGGCCAAGGTCGCCGCTGCACTGTGCTGGGGTGTGGCGGGCCCGGGGGGGCCCTCTCTCGCGGGCAGGGCATGCTGCGAATGGGTGCCTCGTCTAAGTTACTGCTTGGCCTCGTCATTCATGATCCTCTATATCATTCATGGCTTTACCGTCTCGCCCTTCTCTTTTGCTCTCTCTCCTCTTGCAAAGCATCTCTCGTCCCCGTCTCCTGGGTCCTCCCGCTTACACACAGCCGAGGTACGGAGCAGGCAGACGCAGCAGCTGAGACGAGACAAATCGCAGAAACCCAACCGCACGGTTTTCAGCTCGACGCCCGCTTCCCCCCCACACCCCGTCCGTCCGCTGCCTCGACCTGCCAAGTGCCAAGTGTATTACAGAGTACCCACAAGCTGCAAGGCACGTATGGGCGGGCAGCCGGAGGCAGACGGTCCCTCAAAGTCTGCTCGCATCCTCCCCGCCCGAGACGGCTTCCCGAGGCGCCAACGCCTGCTCACCACTAGGCCTCGTCCCGCAAAACTCTGTTGGTGCTGAGCAAGAGTCGCCGCGGGATCCGACGGGCGGGGGATACGGACAGTTCGGGCACACGGCGAAGGCTCTTTGTTTTGTTTTTTCCCCGGAGCCCAAAAGTCGTCACCTCGCCTTCCCCCGGCCGAGCCCCGCCGCCGCTTCTGGCACAGCCGCTGCCGTGTCTCGTCTCATGCTCCCTCGCTGTCTTTGAGTTTAGGCCGGGCATCTATAATTACTTTTATGCTTCGGCAGCGGAATACCTGGCTGGATCAGTGGCAAAGTACAGCCATGTACCTAGAGTCTCTTGCTGATCGGTGGGTTGGCATGGTCCATGACGTCGCTCCCATATCTCAGCTTTGGCCCCCCGCGCAAAGGCAGCACGTCGTCACCGTAGTGGAGTGTACGGATGCAGCAGAGGTGAAAGAAGTACATGAAATGGGCGCCGGGGCCTCGGCGGGTCGCGCTTCCCCGGCCCGGCACAGGGGGGGTCGCCGGCCCGGGCCCTGGATCTCCGGCGACCCTCTTGCTTGGCCGAGAGTGCCGAGAGTGCCGAGAGGACTACTTTGGTCGTGCCGCAAGATGGGAGACTAGAGCTGTAGGACTCAACACCGGACTCTGTGCGAGACGGGCAACCCGATGCGCATGGCTGGCTTGGTACACTGGTGATAACACAGGAAACTGCGCACCTGCGCATGGCGAGCAGCCCGGTTCGGAATCACATGCCAGGCCAGCAAGCCGGAGGCTTGAGGTTCGCCATGGCCAAGCGGATGGCCCGGGAGGAAGGCCAACGGCGGTGCGGCAGTGGCTCCTCGAAGGATCCTAGTGGAAGCAAGGGGGGCCAGCCTTTGGTTTTTCTCTTGCTTTCTTTTTGTTATCCCTTCTTCAAAAGGATCCAACCTTGTTGCCTTGACTGACAGCACCAGCCATTGCTTTTCCGGCTGGGACACACTGTCTCGTCGCCGCCATGTGTTTCTGCCCTCGTCTTGGCCGCCTGACGTACTAAAGCTGGCGCAGAGATGGACACGGGGTCTTGATCTACAACTGGGATTTTTGTCCAACTTGTCTCTACGCTCTCCTCGCTGCATGCAGAATTGCTTTTGGCTCTTCTCCCACCATCGAGCGGCAAATGGCCATTGCGGCCGTACAGTAGTGTGCCTTGGCCGATAAGGCAGGGAGCCCGCGCACGTGTGCATGCAAGAGGAGCCGTGAGCCGTCCAGACGCAGGGCTTGGGCGTCTTTGCCTTGACGGACGCCTGTGATATACTTCCTGTACAGAGAAAGATATGCCGAGCACCTCCAAAGGGGCTCCGTTCCTGGTGGTTTGTTCCATGTCACATGCCAAGCTACGACGGCATTGAATTCCCGTCTATGCCTGGCGATAGTCCCATTCTGTGTCCCCCGTGCAAAGTATATAAAAAGTCCTCGGACGCCCGGACGCCGGATGGGGAGGGACGGGCAAAGCGCACCGGCCGGAACGGGGAGATGCGTGGGCGGGGAGGCGAGAGTGGGTGATGCTTTACACACAGCTGGACGGACTGTCGTTTTCATCCGCAAGGGGGAGGGCTCATCCTTGGTTCGTCCTCGGTCCGTCTCCGTGCCCTCTGACCGTGCTGCTCCTGTCTCCTGGAGCAACGAACGGTAACAAGAGTCCCCTACCGAGAGCTTCATGCCAGGAACCTTCCCGTTTCCTGTGTCTGGGCCATGGCTCGTCCCGCGGAGCCGTCATGGCCTCGCGTCGTCCAGGTCGGGCGCGTTGGTTGGACGAGAGCTCGCCTCTGCCCAACACCACCATCATCAGCCTCCTCTCGGTGGGTGTCTCCTCGTCCCCACCCTCCCTCCGTTCATCGAGTGGGTGGGTGGGTGCAAGTCGCGTCTCCTGTTGTTTGCTCGGCCGTTCCCAGCCTTGCTCCTCCCATCGGCGTCTGCAACCGTCGTCCAAGGCGGTCCTGCCCGCTGGCAGTCGTGTCCGGCAGCCTGCAGGGTCCGTCCGCCCGCCCACAGTCGCCTGGGGCCAGTTGGCGTCGATCTCCCTCCCCCTCCCCTCCCTCCGCAAAGGTATCCATCCGTAGTCCGTGCCATGTACTCGACGGGGAATAGTTCAACCTTGCATCAAAGCACACACACAGCGCCAGAGATGTGCTGCAGGCGGCTCTGCGTTGCCACAGCGAGGAAAGATAGGGCTCGTGGTCCAATCAGCCCCCTGTCTGCCTGTCTGCCTGCTTCCCCCGCCCCCCTGCCCGAGCTGACGCGATGAATTCAGCAGCAGAGGCTTCCCCGGAAATAGAAGCTAGATGGCAGGATACAGAGACTTTGATGTGACGTGTCGGGTTTGGGCCCTGCATGAGGGAGGGGCCGAGAAAGAGGGGGAGGGGGCTGGTGGAGGAGGAGGGCGTTCCGGATCGCCTTTTTCCCTGGTTCTCCTATTGTTGTTTTCGTCTTGTCTTCCTGTTTACTCTGCTGGGGGTTCGCGGAAAGAAGGGAGACGGGAGAAGAGAGACATGGGTCGAGTGAGGAGTGAGTGTCAGCAAAGGCAAGGGGGTCAACCGGCCGGCTCCAATCGCTCACCAACCCCCATGCAAGGCCGGTGATGCGATTCCATCTTGTGCTGTAGCTCGAAACCATCTGTAATTACGTTACCCCGCCATCTTTCATCTCGTCTCGTCTCGCCTCGTCTCGCATCCCCCCCCTCTTCCTCCCTCTGTTGTTCCACCTTGGTCCCAGCCCCTCGGCTCCGGCGTCGTCGTCGAGACGGCACCTCCCCAGCGTCGAGCCACAAGCCAAGAGACATTGTTCACACGCCAAAGGGTGACGCCCGTGCTCTTACCGGGTACGAGGCAGATTAGACAGACTGATAGACGCCTCTCTCGGCGCCGCTTTACGCACAGAGGGTCCGATCCGGTAGCGGTGACCAGCCGCGCCACGGCGACCATGTGAGGAGGTGGCAGGCCCTGTCTTGTCCTTTGCTGACCCCAGTCTTGGCCAAGGCAGCAGCAGCAGACAGACAAGATAGTACCTACGGCTTCTAGATGGGGTCGCGGCGCCGAGAGGGTGGCGGCAAGAGATCCGACCACCAGCACCACCACAACAACAGGCCATCTCTTTCCTTTGTTTGCCTTACCTTGTTTACCGCCAGTTGTCCCATTCGTGCACGCACTCCATCCATATGATCTTCTTCTTCCCTCTGTTTGCTCCCATCCTTTACCCACTTGTCCTCTCGTCTGTCTCCTCTCGCCTCCTCCCATGTTGCAACGGGCCGCCTTGGCACGGCCACCTCATCACGGTGTTGAAGATGATGCACCACCATCAGGGCACGGCATGCAAGTTCCTCGAGGCCCTCTCCCCTTCCACTCTTGGGCTGGCCTCGACGTGTCCTCGGTCTCGTCGCGTAGCATTGCGTCCGACGGGTGCACCCCCTTGCGGCCCCGCAAAGTTCCTTTCTTTTTCTTCTTTTCTTTTTCCGCTCCAACCGTTGATGTTTTCCTCGGTGTTTTTCTCTCCTTCTTCATCATCGATGGTATTATAAGCTACGCCCAGTTGAAACGGAGTGGAGAGTCCAGCGCCATCCATAGTCCAGTGTCGTTGCCCTCTTGTCAAGCATCGTTTCACGTCTCCATCTTCAATACGGATACTGTCCGGTACTCCTACCCCAGTACCCAGAGGGATGCAAGACATTCAAGAAATGTGCTTCGTGAAAAGTACAGCACAGTAGAGCACAAGCAAACCTTCTCGTCGCTGTTTCATCTGCATGTGGCCGCAGACGGAATACAATTATGAATATTATTATTTCGTCACCCATTCAACTCACCGTCCTTTCGAGGCATCCGAATGCGACACTACCCATCCATCATACATACAGCGCTGTACACTGCTGCTGCTGCCGCCGTGAACAGCTTCCGCTTCGGGGTAGTCGGTCGAGCCTCTATTCCGCGCCGCCGTGTAAGCGCGATGCTTTCGTGAGAAGGCCCATTCCAGCGTCAACGGCGGCGTCAACGGCGGTGTCATCGTCGTCTCCACTTACCAGACCGGCTGCCGTGTGCCATGGCCGCTTCGCCTTGCACCGGCAGCAGCAACAGCCCGGCCAGCCAGGCTCAAACGCCCCGGGATGCTGACTCGGTGCATTCGTCGACAAATGTCTCTGTTGCTGCACTCGGTGGCATCACGTGATTGTTTCTTCTCCGTAGATGTCCTTGTCGACGCCGGCGACGTGTTTGCAAGAGCCGGAGGCATTGACGTGTGGCTGCTGCTGCTCGGGACGGAACAAGACTCAGACGGAGAGTAAGAAGCAGAAGCAGCACGGGGAACTGACGACCAGAGCGAGGTTCCTTGTCCTCGACAAAGAGATATCGTGGGCAACGTCCCCGAGTTGTCCGGGATGCCTTCACCCATTTTGGCGGCGACGCTGCAGGCCGCTGCTCTGTCGACGGCCTCGAACCTGTGCGCCCAGTTCCTCGAGGCGTACCAGAACAAGGTCAGCAGCGTCTTTCCTCTCTCCTCTTCCCTCCCTCTCCCCCTCGGCGTGTGTGGGCTGCACAAGACCCTTGGTGCTGACCCCCCGGCCAACAGCACGCCTTCACCCTCGACATGCAGCAGCTGGCCCGCTTCTTGGCCCTGACCTTCATGACGACGCCGCCCAACTACATGTGGCAGCAGTTTCTCGAGCGCACCTTTCCCGCCCACCCGTCCCGCCTGCCGCGCAAGGACCACGTCGAGCTCAAGTCGCTCGAGGAGGCCGCCGTGGCACCGGCTCAGCCCGGGGCCGGGAGCGGCGCCGGCGACGCCGTCGGCGGCCTCGACCGGTCGCCGCGCCTCAACCTCCGCAACACCCTGACCAAGTGGTTCGTCGACTGCATCGTCGTCGGCGCCATTGCCAACACGGTTGCCTTTCTCGTCATCATGGGCGTCCTCAAGGGCCAGCCCGGCGCTCAGATCTGGCGCAACGTCGAGACGGTGAGTCTTCATCACCCAAGACGCCGCAGGGGGCCGCCGTCACTCGGCCAAATCCCTCCCCGCTGACTCCCTTCGTCCAGGAAACCATTCCCATCATCCTGGCCGGCTACAAGATGTGGCCCATCGCCTCCATCATCAGCTTTTCCTTCATCCCCGTCCACCGCCGCGTCGTCTTCCTCAGCTTCGTCGGGCTGCTCTGGGGCATATACATGAGCCTCGTCGCCGCCAGGGTTTAGGCCGCCGCGCCGCGCGAGCACGGCCTATTCATCATCAGGTCCAACAGAGGCGGCGGGAGGGGGTATATACCAAGCGCAAGTGAAGGGGTTTATCAAGCGTGCATAGATCGCTTTCACCCCATGGACTGGTTTTTTGGAATCCTCGAGCATTTGGGTATTTGGTTGTCAATTAAGAGGCTCGCCATGTGCTGGAGACGCATGCATCTAGATGGCTCAGCGAAGAATAGAGAGGCTCACGGCCATGATAGCGATATCCCGACCGACGCGGATGTGTAAATGTGTGCGTAGGCCGGCTGGAAAAGAAACGATTCTGTGGTCAAGGATCCCCGATTATCAGGCGAGTGGCAGTGACTGCGCGCCGTGCAGCCAGATTCCTCAAGCCGCGTTGTTTCTCTCCCTCTCTGTCGCAAGAAACCGCTGAACCAGGAGGCCATAAGCAAAGGACATTACAACGTATATTTGTGTGAGGGTATATATACATGAGCAGCCTCCGTCACAGGCTCATCTCACCAAAAGGCCGTGCTGGCCGGCCACATACATGCATCACGTTGTGGCCTCCTGACATAGTCTTGTCCCTCCTCTTGGCGCCTCGGCGACGGAGGCATCATTACTGGGAAAAACCACTCAGACATCCAGCATGCTGCGCACCTGCTGCGGAGGAGCGCTTGTCGAGTTGGTCGTCGACGTGCTGTTGGTCCTTGGACCCGCCATCTGCGTCCTCGTCTCCGACCTGTGCCTCTCGCCGTTGCTATAGGGCGGCGGGGCCACTCCGTCGACATCTTCCGTCAGGTGGGCAGCGCGCTGGGCTCGCTGGCCGTCGGCGTCGTTGGGGAACAGGACGCCGGCCGCCGTCTCCAATATGCGGTCCGTGTGCCGCCGATCCGACTTGCCCGGATACCGCATCGACGTCCGCACGCTCCCCACGCCCGCCCGGTCAACCCGGGGGTCGGAGGCACCGCCTCGCGCGACGCGGCCGAGCTCGATGCCGTCGTTGTCGAGGGCAGAGCGTTCCGCCTCTTGCCGCGCATGCCGCTCCATGTCATCCTCGACCCTGCGCCCGACGCCGCGCTCGCCGCCCACCTCGTCGACGTTGCGCTTGATCTTGTCGCGCAAGGTGCCGAGGTGATCGCCCCGCACGCGCCGCCACCACGCCGGCTGCTTGACGATGCCGAGTTCGCGGTTGACCATTTCACCCCGCTCTCGCCTTTGCCGCATGAGCTCCTTGTCCTCGTTGGGGCTCGCGTAGCCGTAGGCGATCTGGATGTACAAGATGAGCACCGACGGGCCGTAGCCCCAGGCGAAGATGACGGGCACCATGCCGTCGTATTTTATAATGGAAAACTCCCAGGCAAACGACATGAAGGCCTGGTAGGCAATGAGAGCCAGGCACAGGGGGAGAATGAGGGCGAAGCGGAGGGGTACGGCCCGCATCAGGCCCACGCCGCGATTCCACAGCCCGCGGTGGCGAGGCTTGTAGTGTCGGATGGAGTGGTGGAGCGAGAAGACAATGGTGAGCCAGGCGATGACGAGACAGAAGGCGCCGGCTTTGAAACGCGTGCCGGTGGCTGCGGGGATGGCCTCGGTGCGAATCTGCTCGGGCGATCGCTGCAGCTCGACAAAGGTCCAGTTTCGAGGGACGACGAGGAAGAAGTTCTGGACGAGGGCGTTAGGCGGCCGGGGGCATCTGCAGAGGGAGAGACAAGACATACCAGCCAGACCCAAAAGTAAAACCACAGCGGCAGCCAAAACTCGACCTGGGCACGGCGGTCGTCTATGCGGTAGACAAAGGGGTTGGGGTCGATGAACTGCCTCTCGAGCCAGCTGCCCCAGTGGCGGACAGCCTCCCAGGTCAGGGCTAGGGTACCCTGGCAGAGCAGGAACCAGAAGAAGATGGCGAGGACAATGGGCAGCTCCTGGAGGTAGTAGCGGTCAATGTCGACGTTGGAGATGAGGCTGACGAGGGCGCAGGCGCAGACGAAGCAGCCCCAGTACCATTGCCAGCGGCGGCCGATGGGGTAGAAGCGCTTCTCGACGGGCAGGTAGCGGGCGCCGTGCTTGGCGAGGAGGGTGAGGGAGAGGATGAGGGCGAGGCCGTAGAGGACGGCGAAGCCGATGCCGACGTAGCCGCGGGTGCCGATGTGGTCGATGGCGACGTAGCACCAGGTGGCGTTGACGAAGGAGCCGTTGGTGTAGACGAAGGCGGGCTGGTAGGGCGCAAAGGTCAGGAAGCAGTGGGAGCCGTTGGAGAGCGTCTCGTTGCTGTAGTAGGTGTAGTTCCAGTGCCGCAGCGTCGTCTGGTTCAAGTGGACGCCGGCGAAGACGGTGTCGGATGCGTTGTCGCCGCCGGGGAAGTCGAGCAGCCCGCGGACGCCGAGCCAGGCCGCCATGTGTGCCGTGGCCGTCGCCGACGACCCGAGGAGGCGAGAGGAGAAGACGAGGATGCGGCGCGCGCCCGGCTCGTCCGACCGACGGGCGTGCCGGTGAGCTGCCGGATCGCGTGCCGCGGCTCTTTGGCGGAGCCGACGACGGGCGTCAACAGCAGACGACGATGGCGAGGACGTGCGAAGCAGAAGCAGAGGTGCGTCGACTCGAGACGCGGGGTGGTGCTGCAGCGAGGAAACGGGAGTGGAAAAGAAAAAGGTTGATAAGCATTATAAGTCACGCCACCGTAAAACAAAGACGGGCAGAAGGGAGGGAGAGACGGGCGTTGGGGACGAGGCGGGCTGGAGGAGAGACGGGTGGAGAAAATGCGCGGCATCGACGGATGTCACCAGAGGAGACACCGAGAGGCGGGGACTTTACGGATACCTCGATGATGCATGCAGACACACCGCTTGGGCATGTACTTATTTATTGCTTTGCACAGCGCGCCAGCACTGGGGGGCCGACATGCAGGCCTACGTTGTACAGTGTCCACCCTCCTGCGTTCGCACATGCGCAAGCTTCACTAAAAGACGCTGTGCCGCGTGCTGTCGCAGCAGTCCACCGAACGGCAACTCACCTGACGAGCCGAGGCCGAGGTGCCGCTGATGTCGCGCTACGGGGGTCACTAGGCAGCTAGACCTCTGTCGCACAGTGCGGGGCGTTGAATTTTTTTTTTCCCGTGGCTGACAGGCGAGATTGCTCTGGATAGCCTCATGCTCATCGTCATCATCACGACGGCCGCGGCGTTGCGCGCGCACCTGCTCCTACACCTTCACTTGGCAGAGGAAACTGACAAAAAGAGGCGGACGCAACGTTGAGCGCGAAAGATCTCGACTCCAAAAGTCGAACCCGAGCTCGTCGAAAGCCCCTCGCCGATCCGGTCAACCCTCATCGAGCTCTATATCGACTCAATCGAGCAATTGGCTGCCTCCTCGCGTCGTTCATCAGCGGCAACAATGCCCGACATGCCCCCCGGCGACGAGGCAGGCGCCGACCAACCCTCGTACATCGACTACGAGACCTTCCTCGCACCCGACTTCACCCCGGCCGCCTTTGCCAACGCGCTCGTCGTCGCCACAAACAACCCCAACGACTCCCCCCTCGATCTCTCCACCCCCCTCTCCCGCGTCCTCTTCGATGCCCAGGAGCTCGACTCGCACCTCGACCTCCTCACCACCCGCTCCGCCGTGCCCCTGCTCGAGTACACGCAAACCCAGACCAGCGCCAGCAAGCGCATCATTGCCGAGCTCGACACTCAGATCCAGAGCCTCAACGATAGCTACAGGCAGCTCGAGAAGGAGGTCATCGACAAACACGCCGAGGCCGACGAGGTGCGCCAGGTCGCCCTGCGCCTGTGGGACACGCTTCGCCTCGGCCGCTCCGTCGGCCGCTGTCTCCAGCTCGGCAGGCAGCTCCAGCTCCAGCACTCGGAGCTCGGCGCGCCTGGCGCAAAAGAAGACCACGGCGCCTTGGTCCGGTGCTCTTACACCATCCTCTCCCTCCGCGAGGTCCTCGACAGCAAGGCCCCGGGCGAGGAGGGCCACGGCCTCAACAAGGTCGACGCCATCCACAGCCTCGCCGACACCGTCATCGCTCCCATTGAGCGCTCCGTGCGCGAGACGGCCGAGCGCATCGTCGCCGACTTTTCCGTCCCCAGCAGCTTGACCTTTGCGCAGGGCGAAGAGGTGCGCCTCAGGATGGAGTCGGCCATGACCGCCCTCTATCTGCTGTCGCCGACGGCCGGCGTCAAGGCTGACCGCTGGACGCCGCGCCTGCTCCTGCAGGCCCTCGAGACGTACGTGCGCTCGGCCCAGCAGGCGAGCATCTCGACCCTCTCGCGGTCCCTCGGCCAGCTGCCCTCGCTCGACCGGGCCCTGGCCGAGGTCACGGCCAAGTGCCAGAGCCTCGTCTCCCTCGAGCTCATCCTCGCGTCGGCCAGGCCGCCCGCCCATCCCCTGCTGCCGCCATCGACTGCCCACAAGCACCCCAACCTGATCCAGCCGCTGCTGGCCCACCTCGAGACGGGCTCTCTGCCATCCTACTTTTGGCGCACCATGGCCGTGGGCCTGACGTCGCGCGTGCAGGACATTGTGGCCCGCGCCGGCGTCGTGGCCCGCACGCTCAGGTCCAACAAGAACGCCGTCGGCGACGCCATCCGCCAAGCCGTCGTCAAGGGGTGCCAGCCGCCCACCGCCATGGCCGGAGGAAAGGGCCGCGGCCGGGCTGCCGACGCCAACTGGGACCGCGAGGTTGCCGTCATGGTGGGGAGCGTGGTGAACAACCTGGGGAGATGAGACGAGGCATTCATTTTCCGTAGAAGAATAGGCGAACCGTGTACACCACTCCCGTCCACCATGCGCCGAATGCCGCGGTTGGTATTACTTTGGCCCACGCAAGATGAGGCAGTGTTCGGCCGCCTTTCAGCTTCGGGGGTGCCGGGCGGGGCTGACGCCTGCCGCGGCAGTACAAGTGGAGTGCCTCGGCAACTGTTGGCCGGTCCGTGCCCCGTGCCCCTCACGCCCGAAACGCCGCCACAGCCAAGGCGAGCGCTGAAGAACCCCCGAGGCCGTCACTGGGCCTTTCCATCAACACACTCGCCAACTGCATCGCAAGCCATTTGTGGAACCACAGTCGCGCTGCATTCGACGGCTACACTCCATCCAAGCTCCTCGAGACAAAAGACGGCCATGGCGCCTCACGAGGGACTCGTCCACCCGAAAGAGTACGACATCAAGGACAGCAACGTTGAGCTCATCGGGACGGACATCGACCACCGCCTCAAGTACAAGTCGGCCGCCACCGAGCCCGCATGGAACGACGGCGGCGTGGGCCAGAAGCCGGGGCTGCGCGTGTGGCGCATTGAGCAGTTCCAGGTGGTGCCGTGGCCGGCGCAGCGGTACGGCGAGTTCTACGACGGCGACAGCTACATTGTGCTGGACTCGCAGCGGCTGGAGCGGGCCAAGGACGCCGAGGCGGATCCCAAGAAGCTGCGGCACGATATCTTCTTCTGGCTGGGCAGCCACACGACGCAGGACGAGGCCGGGACGGCGGCCTACAAGACGGTCGAGCTCGACGAGTTCCTGCACGGGGCGGCGACGCAGCACCGCGAGGTGCAGTGCGCGCCGTCGGACGAGTTCCTCGCGCTGTTCCCGCGCATGTCGATCCGCGCGGGCGGCGTGCGGTCGGGCTTCCGGCACGTCGGCGACGAGGACAAGGCCCGGGAGCCGGTGCGCACGCTGCTGCGCGTCTTCAAGACGGGCAGCGGCGTCGTCGCCCACGAGGTCAAGCCGACGTGGCGCAGCCTCGACGACGGCGACGTCTTTGTCTACGAAACGGGCGACAAGGTCTGGATATGGCAGGGCCAGCGGTGCAGCCCCATGGAAAAGGCAAAGGCGGCGCAGGTGGTGCACGACCTTACGCTGGCCAAGCACCTGGACGTCGAGGTGCTGTCGCAGACCGAGTCGCGCTCGCGCCGCATCGTCGAGCTGCTGGGCGGCGACGACGACACGCCGCGCGACGGCTTCTCGCAGCCGCGGCCCCTCGCGGTGCCCGCCGGGGCCTCCATCGCCACCGCGTCGACGACGAACCCAAGCCCGGCAGGCAACGGCGGCGGCTCCTCCTCCCGCCCGCGGAGGCTGTTCCGCCTGAGCGACGCCTCGGGCCAGCTGTCGTTTGACCTGGTCAAGGACGGCGGGCGCATCTCGGCAGGCGACCTCGACGGCAACGACGTCTTCCTGCTCGACGACGCCGGCCGCGCCGTCTGGGTGTGGGAGGGCGCGGGGGCCAGCCGTGCCGAGCGGGCGCACTGGCTGTCGGTGGCGCAGGCGTATATCCGGCGCGTGCAGGGCGACGGCGGCGGCGGGGATGCGCACCTGGCGCCGCTGGCGAAGGTGGTCGAGGGCAGCGAATCCAGGGCTTTCCTGCGGGCCATTGAGGCGCGTTGAGGGCTTTGTGTGCTCTGCTGTCCGCGGTGCTGGGGCTGCTGGTCGGCTCCTGCTTCACTGCGGTGTCTTGAGGTAGAGCATTGGGTTTGAGTGTACAGTAGTGCGATTGCTAGATGGAGAGGTATGGGTTGAAAGTGTTGGGCAGAGCTCGTGAGAGCAATGAGAGTCGAGTCCTTGCAAGTGTTGTCGTGATGAGTGATGAGCCCTGCTTGTGCGGCCAGCTTCCAAGCCACCACGAGCGTTTTCCCTAAATATCGAGCACCCTTGGTATATGTATATATATATATATATATTGCCTGGTTCCTGCCATGAACACCTAGCACGCCTACATTTATGCCTCGTAGCTGTGCCTCCGGCATGGCTCCACGTCGAACGAGGATTATAACGGAATACGATTTAGGTCTTACGGCCTCTGCGCTTGCTGCCAAAGAGAGCATTTCCCCTGGCCAGAGCCGCAGAGCACTATTCTAGAACAAGATCCAATGAGTGCTCCGAAGCCTCAGCACGCTTGCCATGCAAAGACACAAATAGTTGTGCCGTTGGCCCTGGCCGACCCCAAGGCCCAATCGATCCGAGAGCTCAGCCTCTCATGCCCTTTCTGGCAAATAATAACAGCAATCAGGGGGTAACTAATAACATGAATGGGAGGCGGCAAGGCGGGCGGCAAACCTGGGCGTGTCGACTTTCCACTTGTCGTCCGGCGCCTCCTCTGGCCTTGTCTCACCGATAAGTTACTGGTTTTACCGTTCCCAGCCGCAGCGGGTTCACATCGAATTATATTGGTGCCCTCTTGATCTGCCGCAGCTCGTGTCTGCGGCACGTTTCTCTAGCGCAGTTTTGGCTCTTACTCCTAACCATGTTGAATTATTCGCGCATGTGCCGTCTGAAAGCTGCCAACGCAGGGTGCGAAGTAATAGTTATATATTGTAGCCAGCAATCACAACGGCAGCCTCGCAAAAGGGCTCTATGCAGAGTCCCACCGGCATAGACTGGCTTGCGCGACCATGGATCATCTGCCAAAGTTTCAAAACGCTACTCGGCCGTATCCGACTGTACCATACCTTGGGGTCGGTGACTACAAGGCCAAGCGATTTCAAGAATATGCTTCTAGCCATGGCTGGGACGTCATGGAACTACAGCAAGGGAGGTTTTCGGCGCCGGCGGATAGACTCTCTTCCCGCGCTGCCTTTCTGCAGGACTGGCTCTACTTTGGTCTCCTACACGAGCTCTTTGCCGCAGCCAGAAAGAAAGCGCCACGGGTGAAGCAATTTATTCAGGACGCGGATACGGGAGGCGAAAAGACGGTTACCTCGCGCCGGCTAGAGAGGCTGATCCAGAAGAGCGTCTCTAGCATGACAAGACTGAAGCAGAAGGAGAAGGAAGAGGGCCTTGGGCGCCTCGGCGAGGCCCTTGATATTGCCAACTCGGTGGTGCGGCAGCTATGGTTGCTTGCCAGTAACGAGAGCGGCAAGCAATGCCCTCTTCCTACAGAGATTGTCTTGTCCCTTATGGTCCTCGGCAGCTCTATCGACAAGGCCCTACAGGATGTTGGCTTCGTCTCTGGAGCGACAGCAAGAGACTGGAACCTTGCGGAGGCGGCTAAGCTTTCTATGCAAACGAGCGGCTGGTGTCGCCGCGATATCGCCTTAACCGACAACTTCCTCTCGGATATTTCCATGTTTTGCGCATCGCTCTTACAACGAGGCCCTATAGTCCAGGCTAACCACGGCGGGTGCATAGAGGCTGCTTGCAAGGTAAGGCAGACTGATGAAGCGACCTACCAAACGAAACACGTTACGGACGAGTGTAACTGCGAGTTTTGGCGTGCCGACATAGGCGAGCTGCAGGACATAATCCGACAAGACCGCATCCCGTACATCCAGCTGAGACGAGAGCCGGCCTCCGAGACAGGTCGCGGGCCGTCTGTTAGCGCATCGCTGCAGAGCATGAGGAACTCAACCTGGAACGGACCACACAACGTTCTCGTCATCTTCTCGCACGTTTGGTCTGATGGTTCGTGTCCCCTTTTGCAAACCCGGAAACGGCTGGCGCTTCTCTGCCGCCCCGACAGCTGATGGCGCAGCTTGACTGACGTGAGATGATCGCAGGCCTTGGCAACCCGCGCGAGAATGCCTTGCCAAAGTGCCAGCTCGAGCGCTTCTACAACATGCTCTACGACTCGCCCTGGATTGACGTGTCCGCCCCGGGATTTGTCGCAACTAAAGACAGCGTTTTGGGCAAGAAGACGCGCATGAGGAGAGTTTCAGGCTGCCCACCTAAGATCTGCCGACGATGGGCTCGCAGGGGGCTCAACATGGGTATCAATATCTGGATCGACACACTGTGTGTGCCTATAGACAATGAGATGCGAAAAGCGGCTATTGGCATGCTCAAAAGGTACTACTCGTTTGCGACTATGACGATCGTCCTAGACAAGGAGCTGTGTGCGCTTAAGCATAAGCAGTGTTCGCAGAGCGAGCTGCTTCTCCGCATCGGCTTGTCCGGCTGGATGAGTCGCTGTTGGACTATGCAAGAGGCCATTGTCGCCGGCGGCGCCATCGCCGTGCGCTTCGACGACGGCTGGTGCTACCTTATGGACGTGGTGGCCTTTGTGCTATCAAAGAGCAGTAACATTGGCTTCCATGTCTTGACTGAGCAACAGAGAGCCAAGCGATCCAGGTCTGCCGGGGGATTGGTCGCCGTGTGCGCGCTGCTTTTCGCGGCTGTCCTTGGCTGTTCGGATTCCCAGGACTGGAATATGAGTTCGCCTCGCGTAACCATGAAATGCTTTCCGGACCCAGGTGACGAAAACTACTGGTGCACTCTCTTTTGCAACCTCTTTTGCTTTTGCTGCTGCGATTACTGCTGCAACCGCTGTCACAATTGTTTCCGGACCATGTGGAGAGCCGTCAAGCCAAAGCGAGTCAAGCCGCCTGCTACGTTGGAAACCCTCCTGGTCGACTGCAAAGACATATTTGGATCGCTATCAAGTCTCTGCCAGGATGCGAATACCGACGGGCCCGAATACGCCGCCGAGGCCGTCGAGCGCATCGAGTTATCGTGGCATGGCCTCCGCTTCCGCAACACGAGCCACCAGCCCGACCGCTTTATCAACTTCGCGTTTGGGTGCGCCATGGATAACGACGGCTTCGACCTGATTAAGAACTTGCTCGGCTTGCCAGCGCCCGCCCGCCTGCGAGGGTGGCTGTTGAACCAAGTTGCCCTGCCGAGCGGGCTGCTGTTCCTCGACGGCCCAAAGATGGACGTGCACGGCTATCGATGGGCGCCGAGCGATATTCACCCCGGCATCCTTGAAGACCGCAGCCCGGCCAGGTGCGTGAGAGGAGGCGATGGCACTGATGCCCCCGAGGGCTCACTGCGGCTCCATAAGCCGGGCCTATTCTGGAAGCAGCCCGACACGAGGCCGCTCGGTTCTAGTCTGGTGGCGTGTGAGTTGAATTCGGTCCTGCTGCATGCTATAGAGCTCGACCTGGTCTCGGTGCAGTCCGACGGCCTATGCCAGGTCGGCCAGGGCTATTTCGGCATCGTACTTTGTCGCCCACCGGCACCCGGTCAAACCGTTTTGGGCGCCCTAATAGCAAACGCCGAGAGACAGCCCGACTCCTATACTGGCCATTTTATCTGTAGGGCCCTTGTGAGGACATCCAGTGTCGGCGATGTCGCCGACACGATTGGGGCAGTTATCGTGCAACGCCTAGCTGATTACCAGAAATGGACAGTCTCATAGCGTGCTATAAAACCACATCTTTCTTTAGTAAAGCCTTTGCCATTTCTTATATAAACCAATGTTGCATAGTGTTTCTACATACACTGGGTATGCCTGGAGGATCGAAGTGACGAGAGGTTTTGCCGAGGTAATTATTGAACGTGCTGGTTTCCTAGGTATGCCCCACCCATCGTGTGACACACGTTGGCCTGTAGCACGTGACCCTTGCCGCGGCCACTGCTCGTTGGATCTGACAACACCCAGTACGTAATACGTACATACCAAGTACACCCTAGGTCCATGACTGGCATGGAAATATGGATGATGGCTAGTACGTACTGCGGCGAGGCGAGGAGGCACAAATACTCTGTGCTGCCGAAACATTGCTAGCCGGGCATGTGCTGCCGCGCTGCGCCGTAAGCGCGGCCGGGACGCGCACGCGCTCCCAACGACGCAGTGACATGCCGGCGGCAAGCTCGACTCGTCCGTGAGGCGTCAGGAGTCTTTGTGGCTGCGCTGTCGATCAACACATCACCTCCTCTTGTGCGTGCGCTCCATCTTCCTTTCCCTCTTCCTCAGTCGCGGACCCTAAAGACACAAGCGCTCGATCGTCTTCGCCGTCGTCCTCGTCTCCGCGCCATGGATGGCACGGTACCCGTCAGCATCGACTCGGGATCTCGCCCGCGGGCCTCGTACCCAAAGCGCGCAGCCATCGGCGCCTCGTACCCGCTCCGCGGCATCTGGTACTTTGTGCGCAACCGCGAGTTCTGGCCCCTCTTCGTCGGCAGGCTGCTCCCGCTGTCCCTCATCTCCCTCGTCGTCTACCTCGTCCTCTTCACCTTTGCCTTCCTCCCCCAGTATGCCTTTCTCGCCATCTTCCACGGCTGGGGAGCCTGGGTCAACGCCGTCGTCTTGACCCTCGGCGAAGGCCTCGTCATTATCCAGGGGCTCTTCGAGGGCTTCTTTGTTGACGAGTGCCGAGTCGACGTCTTTGATGTGGGAGCTCGGCCAGTGACTCCCTGTCGCCTCGTCGTCGCTGACCAACTCGGCAGGCAACCATGATCAAGCTTGGCCTCCAGCACCTCGTCTCTCCGCACCGGCTCCTCTTCGTCGACGCGTCCAACGCCGTCAAGATGCTGGGCAAGCCCACCAGCCCCGCCATCTACCAACCCTGGAGCATCATCCAGATTGTCGAGCTCATCGTCTTCCTCCCCCTGAACCTGGTCCCGTATGTCGGAACGCCAGCCTTCATCATCATAACGGGGACCAGAATCGGCAAGTTGTCGCATTACCGCTGGTTTCAGCTGCGCGGACTGTCCAAGCACGAGCAGAAGCGAGAGATTCGGAGCCTCACGTGGGACTATGTGTGGTTTGGGACCGTGGCCATGCTCCTCGAGCTCATCCCTATCCTGTCCTTCTTCTTCCTCTTGACGACGACGGCCGGCTCGGCTATGTGGGCAGCGAGGATGGAAGAGGAGAGGCGCCGCAGCCAGACTGTTGTTGATCCTCACTTCAATGCCCGGCTGCCATCGCACTCGCCGCCATCGCGCTCGCCGCCATCGCGCTCGCCGCCATCGCGCTCGTCACCGCCCCCGCCGTACTCCGACCACGCAGCGTGATTTCTCCTAGCCTCGCTTGCTTGCTTTCGTCCGGGGCGCTGCAGCTGGGAGCGAATCGGTCCGGTGGTGAATCACCAGCCGGTCGTCTTCCTCACTCCCCTTCTTCCCTTCACCGGAGCCTCTACTCCTGTGCCTTGCTTTAACGAAATAATTTCTTCTCGGCACCGCGTTTCCGGCTTCTCCGGGCAATCATGGCTCCACTCCTTCATGCCCACGGCTGATCTACCAGAAAGTACGCAGCAGCCTCTGCCTTATTTCCCATCACAAGGCTGATTGCGTGATCGGAACATCTCCTCCGACCCTTCGACGCGCGCTGGTGTCGGTCAAGCTCTGCTGGAGAGGAAAGAGTCGGCCTCTTCTCGGACCCACCATCTGGACAGAGGCGGCACTTGGTCAGTGCGGGCCGGCTGCCTGGTGCCTGGTGCCTGGCTTGGCAAGCAGCAAGCGAGGCAAGAAGCTCTCAAAGACTGGCCATCAAGGTGCTTAAGCAGGTACGAACTTTTGGTACTTGGTACGCGCGCAGGGACCTCAGTACTGCACTCGGCACCGCAGGACTCGCAGGACGAGGGCATCGCCAGCGCTGATGTGGAGGATGAAGCGCTTTGCGCTCAACGGCGTGAATATCGGCCTCGGTCGTCTGTATTTACGCACAGTTCAACAATCACTTTCCGACTACTTTGAATGGAATTCCCTACGCGCTGCGTTACCCTGCTCTTGCGATCTTGTGACTGCCGAGTTGCCGGTGGCGGTCAGCGGGTGGGTGGCAGCGCGCACCTTCCTTCCTCTTGCCCATGATGTCTTCCGGCTCCTCACCGGTCTGCCATGAACCGACGCTCCTGCTCCCAAAGGCACAGCAAGCTGCTGCCCCTCCTTCTCTCCCTCTTACTCAAACCTTTCCCGCCCCTCATCGACCTCTCCCTCTTCTCTTCCATCCGCCAACTGTCGTCTCTCCTTTTCATCCTTTTCCCATCACGCTTTTGCCCTCCGGAGCACCTCGAACGCTTTCCCTCATCCTTTTTGTGTCATTTAGATCTCAGTCGCCGCAGCTGCTACCCCAGGCTCTCTTCGGTCCATTGTCCGAACCGCGATCAACGCCTCCGCCCGGCTCTCCGCGATGCGTGCCCTCGCGCCTGTCGGAGTCCTGGTTGCCAGTGGCTTCTTGCAGCAGTCGACTGCCCAAGTTGCTGGCTATGGGCGAGTTTCCATCTCCCTTGCTGTCACTGCTCATTGTGCTGACCAGGACTCCAGATCTCCTGATATCGGCTCTGGTGCAGATTCGTACGGCGAGCCAGACAATGCCCCCCGGAACGGCGCCTCTGCCACGATTGATGGCCTCCCCGCTGGCTCTCCTGGTGGCCCGACGTGCGTTGCGCAAGGCACCACGACTGTCTTTGTGACCGTCTACCCTACCAGCCCTGTGTCTCCCGCTGGTGGCTCTCTTTCGGCGGCAGGCGGTCCCAAGCAGACTGCCCATCACACCCTGAACCCGACTCGCACCATTCGCGTTTCTCCTTTTGGTCATTCTCAGGCAACGCGCTCTTCTGTCTCCCCTTTCACGACCATCACCGTTGATCTTTGGGGCCATGGTGCCGATGCGGGAGACAAGTCTGGTGAAGCTGCCACTGGTGCTGGTTCCGGTTCCCCTGCTGCCAACGATGCCTCCCCCTCTTCCCATCCCTCTTCTGCAGGCGCTCCTGCTGGCTACGGGGAAGACTCCGGTGCTTCCTGGCCCCAGCCCGCTGCCACCATTGATTCGGTCGGGTCGGACGGAGATTCTGCCGGCACGGTTGCGGGCGGCGCTCTCCCCTCCCCCACTAGCTTGAGAGCTTCCCCTGACGGGTCTCTCGCACCCTACGGTCCCAGCAACCCTGCCCCAGGCTCGCCCGGCTCTGGCCGTAAGGGAGCTGACGGAGTCACCGCCTGGCCCACTGTGGTGACTGATACCGAGGTTCATTGGGTTCTCGGCTCTGAAGGCCCGACTCCTGTCACCATCTTGTCGGAGCACACCATTTTCGCAACTGGCGCAGCCCAGGCTCCCGCCGGCGGTGAAGTAGTCACCTGTGTGACGAACATTGGTCCCGACGGGCACGCGACTGTCCTGGAGTGGCCAGCTGGAGCTCCGCAAGGCAACGGCGGGCCCGCTGTGTCGACGGTGGCCGGCCTTCCCAATGACCAAGGATCCCTCTCTCCCCAGGCTGTCTCCACTGCCATCAGCCCCCCTTCTCCCCTCGTGACGGCGCTCACGTCTGGAGGCGTGGCGGCTCCTGACGGAGGTGCCTCGACGACTTGCACCACCTACACTGTTCTTGGGGCCGACGGCGTTCCCACTGTTGTCCATTCATCCTGGGTGGTCCCCCACACTGGCCCATTCACTGTTGCCTCTGGTCCTCTGCCCACGGACGCCTCTGGCCCAGTCCAATCCCAGAATGGCCCGAATGGCCCTGGCATCACAACGTGCACCAGCTACACGCTCCTCGGAGCAGACGGAAGGCCGACCGCGGTTGAGTCCACCTTTGTGCTCCCTGGCCCAGCAAACACCCAAGCCGGAGCTCCTGGAAACGCCGCAGGTGGTGTTCCCGTTCAAGTCACTCAGTTGCCCGGCCCTGTCCAGTCTGGCGTAGCCGAACTTCCGGAAGGCGGCCTCACCACCTGCACCACCTTCACTGTCCTCGGAGCCAATGGGCTTCCGACTGTTGTTGAGACCACGTACGTTGTTCCCAGCCCGGATGCCACACCGCTCGCCACCTACGCTCCCGGAGGCGTCATCACGGGCGCGCCATCTCAGATCACTGGCTCTCCTGGGAATCCTCAGCCTGAAAATGCTGGCGCCGCCGGCATCACGACGTGCATCACCTACACCGCCATCGGGGCCGACGGCAAGCCAACCATTGTCGAGTCTACTGTGGTTATGCCTGCCAGCGATGCACTGCCTACGGTGAGCGCGCTTGGCCTCCCCTCTGCCGCTCCCCAGCTCCAGTCAGACTTGCCTCAGGGAGTCTCGCCCTTTTCATTACCCGGTGGCCCCATCACCACCTGCATCACCGTCGAGGTCTTTGGACCCAATGGTGTCCCCACCCCCGTCGTCGAGACTGTCGTCTTGACCCCAGCAGGAGCAAGAACCGTTTTTCCTGCTGCAACAACCATTGGCCGACCTTCAATGGTGCCTCAACAACAAACAAATCTTCCCCAAGGCATTCCCCCCTTCGCGTCGAACGGTGCAGTCACAACTTGCATCACTGTGGACGTTGTGGGCCCCAATGGCGTCGCGACTCCTGTTGTCCAGACCATCGTCTTCACCCCAAGCGCAACGGGTCTCGGCTCTCCGGCTGCCCCCTCGGTCGCGAACGCGGCCGGACTCCCCGCCCAATCTTTTGGTCCCCTTGGCCAGGGTGGCTCTCTGAATACTGCTGTCCCGGGAGTTCCCAGCCTAGATGCATATGGGGCCGCCGTGCCCGACTTGCAAACAATTCTGCCTCCGTCTGGCGTGGTCTCGGGTCTCAACGTGGAAACACCGGGCGCTGCTGGTGACTCTGGGCTTCCCTTTCCCTATGGCAGCAGCTCCGGAGATCTGGGAGCTTTGGGATCCGGTGCCGGAGAGCCTGCCCCGAACGCCTACGGCTGGAGCACACCTGACGCTGGGTTGTACGGCTTACTGTCCGCGCCGTCTGTCCCACAAGGACGCAGCACATTGACGACGCTTCGAACCCTCACCTGGACCAACTTCATTCCCGAGCCGACGACGACGTTCACCATGAACTTTCCCCTGACGACCCTGGAAACCGTGACTGTTTCTGCGCCGTTTTATCCCCAGAAGCGCGCGTTCCGACGCCAGGAGAGGTTTGTTGCCCTGCCCACGTTTTCTCTCGCACCCACTGATTTGATGCAGTTTCTCACTGTCGAGCTCGGCGTGGAGCAACGCCAGTGTTGCCGTACCGACCGTATCGACAAGCGCCCCTCCGGAGGTGACCCCTGCGCCAGCTCCCCAGGGCGCCAGCGTCTCTGTCTTGTTCCCACCGACGACGTCTCAGGTCTTGCCGGGTGCTCCGAGCGGTCCTTCTGCAATGTGCTCTTCTGGAGGCAAGATCGGAAACACGACTGTCAATGTAAGTCTTCCTGGCCTTCACAGTTTCTTGAACACTGGCTGACAGACACAGTTTGACGACGTGAAGCCTGGACCACTGTTCAATCCCTCTGGTGACATTTGGTTCTCTGAAGGCTTTCTAGTCGCCCCCCCCGCGTCGCAGGCAGCTCAGTCATATCTCCCGTCTTCTGGTGGCCAGCTCGTAGAGTTTGTTCCCGCCTCACTCGCAAACCCATCAGCCAGTCACCAGGGCACCGGTGACGCGGCGGAGGTCGGTGTCGGCCCCAACGCGGCAAGCCCCTGCTTCAGATTCGACTTCTTCGGGGCCCAACTTGGATGTGCCGCTGCAGGCAACGAGGAGTGGTGCGAGTTTGAGGTCTCGGCCTACACTTTCAACGAGGGGCTGTCTTTTGAGCAGTCCATTGCCTGGTCCGAGACGAAGCGCGTCCCTGCTTGCCCCAGCTTTGCCAACGGCAACTGCCCGCTGACTCCCGTCGACTTTGTCGGCTACAAGAACATCACGTCGATTCTCGTCACTCTGCGCGTCGGCATTGAGCTGCGGGCCTGGTGGGGCGACGACTTCAAGTTTGGCTGGACTGACAATAGCTGCGAGGCGGCGAGCTGTCGCGCGAGCGCCACTCCCCAACACGTCAAGCGCGAGACTGTCGAACTGGCCCTTCGTCGGGGAGTCTGGCACTGGACTCCGGCTGGTCTTCAGCGGCTGGATGATGAGTACATCTGGGACTCTGTCTACTGATTGAGTTTCGCCATGGCGGTCTTGATGTAGCATGTTGCTATGTGGTAATCTTTGCTCCGTTGTTGACTGAGACTATTTGACACTTGATTTCTTGGAACGGCAGCACATGATTGAGAGCGCAGGCTCGGGGTAATATGATGAAATGGCTGGAGGAATGGCAATGTATCTTGATAATGCCGAATCAAACGAGTGCAACATGGCATTGTCTTTTTGCGTGAGCCCGGCAGACAAATGGAAGACAGCGCAGCTGACGTATGCAGAGCAGGTTAGGCGATGGCTGGACGATGAAGAGTCGACGGACGGCGGCGCAAAAGGCGACGGTGCACACTGAACACTGACATGAGGCTTTGGGTGAGGGATATCTGGACAGGCGTACTGCCGTGTCGGGTGTTGATATTGATGAAGCTAACATGGATGAAGAACAGGGGCTGAGTTCATGGGCCCAGCTACGTGAGAGCGCATGGCCCGTTGTCAGGGGAAAACACCAAGCGGTAAAGTCGACTGACGGCGAATGGTGGAGGCATCGAGGTGGTCCTGGTAGCCGGACAGGGCACAGCCGTCGTCCCACGGCCCGCAGTCGATATGGCACGTCGTCTCTTCGGACGGGACGGCGCCCGAGTCAAAGTAGTCGGCGACGATGCGGGTGAGGCAGTCGCTGTCGGCGGTGGCGAGGGCGCAGTGGCCGAGGCCCTCTTGGACGACGAGGCCGGCGCCGGGGTGGTTGGCGGCCATGGCGCGGGCAGCGCGCAGGGGCGTGACGGGATCGAGGCGGTTGGAGAGGAAGAGGATCGGAGCGGCCGGCTCACCGGGGACGGGACGGCCGGCGGAGCCGAGGCGGGGCTCCGGGGTGGTGAAGGGCCCCTTGAAGGACCAGTTTGTGCGGAAGGGCCAGGCGGCGCAGGGCATGCGGATGGCAGACCAGTAGGCGCCCATGACGGACGACTTGCGGAGCTGGGCGTCGACGTAGCGACGCCACCACGGCGTGTCCTTGTCGCGGACGCTGTCGCCGTCGGAGCAGAGGACGCCGAGGCTAGCATCGCGGGTCTGGAGCTCGGAGCGGTTCCCGTGGCCGTCGACGGCGCAGGCGTCGTGCAGGTGAGGCACGGAGGCGCGGCGGTCGAGGAGGCGGACGACTTGGGTGGCGTTGCCGGCCATGGCGGCGTCGAGGGCGCGGGCGAGGGGAACGAAGAACTCGATGGGCCTGTAGATGGCGAAACCGAGGAGCTCGCGGATGTCACGCGAGGTCAGGGCGACGACGGAGCCGGCGGGCGAGATCGAGGCCGTCAGCGGCGACTCGTCGATGGCGGCGAGCCAGGCATCGATGCGGGCGCGGATGTCGAGGCCCGACTCGTCGGAGGAGCGGGCGAGGGCGCAGACGTCGGGGCCGGCGCGGTGGCAGCCGGCGTAGAAGCGGCTGACGATTTCGTCGGCGTCGACGATGTTGGAGAGCCAGCCCTGGCAATGGTCTTGGGCGTCAGCATCTGACGGCGGAGCACGCGTTGACGGACAGAGGTGAAGTCCCCTACCGCACCGGTTGCGTAGTCGACGGCGTCGACGACTCCATCGAGGACAAGACGGCCGATGCGCTCCGGGAACAGGGCGGCAAAGTAATTGCCGAGGACGGTGCCGTACGAGAAGCCCATGTACTGCAGCCGGGCCACATCCTCACGGTCGCGCTTCTTCCTCAGCTCGGGCCGCTGCTGGGCGGCGTCGCGGGCGCGCAGCTCGGCAATCTTGTCGACCATCTCGACCATGTCGCGGGCCACGCTCGGGGTGCTCATGTACTCAAAGATGTGCTCGGCGGCCTCTGCGGCGCTGCAGCGGCGGGCGTAGCCGTGGTGGAGGCCGAGCATGTAGGGCACGGCGTGGCGGCCGGCATCGAGGGCGCCGGTGCCGCGGGCCTCGAGCAGGAAGGCGTCGCGCTCGAGGGCGGCGCCGGGGAAGCAGTCTGCGCGGGGCCGGCTGTTTGCGACGCCGCGCGGGTCAAAGGAAACCAGCTCATAGTGTCGGCGGCCGGGCTTGTCGATGACGCGGCGCAGGCGGCGGGAGCTGGCGCGCAAAAGGTCGACGCCGGAGCCGCCGGGCCCGCCGGGGTTGAGGAAGACGGAGCCGGCGAAGCGGGGGTCCTCGGGCGGGACGAGGGCGGGCAGCTTGATGACGGCGAGGGAGAGGGTGCGCGGGTCCGAGGCGTTGGCCCAGTCGAGCGGGAGGACGAGGCGGGCGCAGCGGTAGGCGGCGTAGCAGTCGTGGTACTCGAGGTCCGGCGAGGGCGCGAGGGCGTCCCAGTCGAAGCTGTCGGCCGGCTCTTTGGACGACAGGGCGCTGCCGGCGAGGGCGGCGGCGAGGAGGAGGATGTCGGGCTTCATGGTGTGGGGTTGAAGAAGACTGGGCAGATTCAAGAGGATGGAAACAGGGACAATCAGGTGTCAATGCACGCAAGACAAAGGAAGACGCGCCGGTCCACAGTGTCTCAACTTTTGTGAATGCGACATGAGGGTTAAGCGAGGAGGGGAGGGGAGAGGAGGGATGATGACGACGACTGGTTCCAGCAAGGGGCTGCATTCGACGTACATTCTGCCGTGGTCTGATGGGTATGGCGGAGGGTATGGCGGAGGGCATGGCGGAGGGTAGGACGTAGGGCGTGGCGACGGAGCGGAGCGGAGCGGGGCCGGCGGTTTGTCTCGGGGCCGGAACCTCGACTTGTCGGAGCCAGGGTGAGTTGTCGGTGCCCGGACATGCCGCGGAGCGAAGGGGAGGTGGACAGCTGTGAACTGAGCTGCGCCTGGAAAATGCTCCGACAGCTCAAGCCGACCATTATCGAAATGAGGCTGTTTATCAGGGGAGCAGGGTTTCAAAACCAAGGGCGTCCGCCATGCCCGAGTAATAGCTCGCTCAGCAAGTGTCGATGGCTCGGCTTCACTATCCCAAGTCCAGTTTCAGTAAGCGCCCGGTTCCCAGGCCAACAGTGAGTGGTCCATGGCCTGGCAAGGACGGGGCATTCGACCTGGATATTCAATATTGCAACGTGTGGCGCACGCAGCCAAACAAGTTGGCTAAGCCGTACAACACGCTCCGGCACTTACATGCAGCATTTACGTGTGATTAGGACAGATGGCTCGGGCTGGATGACTGGAACCGACACTGGAAAGATCATCGTGGGCCGTCGTGGTGCTTCTCGTTTTCGCGGCCGAGGCTTGCTCCAGGCCATGCAGAAGCGACGGGATACAAGCCGCCATTCAATGTTGCCTACATTGGGGCTGAAAAGGACCCGGCCATGGGACAAGGACGGAGCCAAGAATCAATATGGCGAGAAGAGGCTGGTTGAGAAGAGGGCAGGAACCCTTGGCAACAATAGCAGGTGACAAGGGCAGCATTGTGGCTCAAACGGCAACCATCACGCCCATCGCTATTCAGAGCCTCACGAGCCGATTCATCTGTCACTTCTGCATGTGTCCGGACATGTTGATAGACGCGTTGTTGGTCCTGCAGGCCAAGGCAGCTGCGGCCAGCCGTGATTCACTCTCCCTCTCCCTGCGGCAACGGCCGTGGACATTGATGCAGCAACCAACGCAAACGCCTCAATGGCGAACACCGCTCCTCAACGGCGTGATTCACAGACAATGCCGGACAACCCTAGCCCTAGAGGCGTGCCTCAGGCCACCGGTCCCCCCGCGGGAGACGCATAAATAGCCCTGGCCCTCGGCCCTGCATCTCGACCCTTCTTCTTCTTGGCTCTTTGTCGGTCTCTCCCTCAAAACGCAACCTCTCTCTTTTCTCTTTTTTCTTTTCTCTTCACTCTTCACTCTTCACTCTTCACCCGTCACTCGTCACTCGTCACTCTCACTCTTGACTATCCAAAGTCAGTCTCACTTGGCCTTTGACTCACTCATCAACCCTGAGCCATGCATGCACATGAGTCTTTGACGCTGCGGACTCCAATCTTCACCTGCGACTACCTAGGCAAGACCGGCCGGCTTTTCGACGCTGTCGAGGCAGAGAGTGAGTGTTGGTCCCCCTTTTGAGATTACGGCGCTGACTCGCGGTCCTAGATACTGCCCTTCCCTGTCTCTTGGTCTCCGCGATCACTTCGACAACTCCTTCTTGTCCGGCCGCTTGGCGGGCTCGGTCCCAGCCCTGACCAGGACGAGTATTGGCGAAAGGACCTACACAACACCGCCGCCGGGGAGCTCAACAACGCAAGTCGGGAGTTTCTTCGACTTGTAAAAGGCCGCGGTGGAGCTTCCAAGGACTTGCGCGTGAGGACCTGGTCGGGCAAGACGATGCTACGGCGGGCATCTGGCTTTGAACTCGCTTTGAACTCGACCCGGCGCAGCTGCCGGGATGCGGCCGCGCTCACGCACTCGTGTACGTATCAAGCTACACGTCTCAAGCTCCGTCGTGCTCTGGCACTGACGTCTCATCTCATACTAGGGTGGCCAGGTACCGGTCTGCCGCTCTTCTACCAGAGCTTTGGCGGGCCAGACAAGGGTTGGAGGACAAGTGTCGGCAAGGAGGCGGCGTCCAGGATCCTTCAGGCGCCTTCAACCACGGGTACAGCTCAGACTCTCGGACCTGCAGAGATGACCTTTGGCGAGCATCACTGGCAGCCGGAAATGGCCATGACATTGCACACGACCATCGCGACTCTCGTGGCAACCGACCTTGGTCGACAAGCGGGCAACCCACGTGTCAACGGGGAGGCCCCGGTGGAGAGTGCAGACAAGATACGTTCCAGCGAGCCTTCTTTCACTGGCCGTTTGACTGTTATCCTGGATCTTCCTCCGAGACACCAAGCCCACGTTCACCTACCACGGGAGCGAGGCCGTGAAGCTTGGCCAGGGCCAGACGAGATCTGGGCAGAGCTCGGGCCTCGGCTCGAAAAGGAGGCTGCGGATTGCACCGCGAAAATGCAAGACGACGAGGAGGTGCTTGACCGAGTAGAGAGGGTAAAGAGGGGAGTGGCTCGGAGAAAGAAGGCGCAGCTCGACGCCGAGTTTGTCGACAACCCGGGCTCCGATTCCCGCCATGGAGAAGACGAGGAAGAAGCGGCCGAGGATGGCGAGAAAGGCGGGGAGGAGGTTGCTGGACCTGAGTGAGCGGCCGAGACGCGTGGCCGGACACGGAAGCCGTCAGACAACTTGGATCGATGGGAATCGCCAGGCCACTCGAGTCGGCAGCCCTCGTCGCCGAGTGGGAGTCAACAAGATGGGAACGGACACTCAGCTGGCGCTGCCGCCCCAGCCAGGAGGCGACGCCAAGGTCCTCGTCCTCGCAAGCCCCAGCAGTTCCGGGACGACTTCACGCCTCTCTCGCGTGTACCGACCTTGGGTGCGCACACCATTGCACCCATTTCGTGGCTACCCAAGACGTGCTGAAGGGCTTGGACTCCTGGACGCTGGACACGGGGCGGAGCGTGAACTCCCGAAAGACGGCTGTCGCAGAGAATGAAGAAGCCGAGAGAGACTATGTTGGCGGGCGGCGGGATGACAGCGGCATCTTCTTCGCCCGTTTCGACTCGGGGCGATGGATTGCCTATACCAGATGATGAAGAAGGACGCGCACGTCAGGACGCTCCTGTCGACGTTGCGGTGGGCGAGGTGGCACCTGGCCACCAGCCCGCTCCTCGACACGCCTCGGATCCAAGCAACTGTTGTTACCGCCCCGAAGCATATGGTGGACGTGGCCGACACTCCAGGCCGAGAGACGCGACTCGGGTGTCAACTCAACACGTCGCAGCAAGACCCTGCCGAGGCCAACCACAACCTCTGCTGCCTCGCCCGGCCCAGAAACGACATGATGCTCTCTCGTTCCGGCCCGAGACTACGGCAACTGGCTCCAGCAAATGCACCGCTGTTGCGTGGTCCCGACAAGCCCTCGAGTGCTGGAACAGGGCCTTCAACTTGATCATCCACGCGAGGTGCCGGTGCGGATCGATGACCGGAAACCCAAAGACAAAGGGTTATAATTGCCGACGCCGACGCCATCATGGAGATGCTGGAGACCCGGGTCAGGGTCGTCTGGGAGGGGGAGTCTCTGCCCTCGGCTGACGGCCGGCGCCACCGGCTAATGGACCACGCGGATGCTGTGCCTGGGTGGGAGAGGCCATTGCTTTCATGACGGGCAATGCTGGCGGTGGAGAGGAACCGGGTTCAATGTTGGCCCGCTGTTCTTCTCGTCAACAGGGGAAGACGAGATGGGCGTCTTGCTCATCGACTCGGACCTTGGTGGTTCAAGTTGGGCTCGGCGGTGAGCTGGCAGTACAGACGTGTGACGGGCAGCACCAGACGCCTGTTTGGAGTTTCCGGGCACGGCGACGCATCCCTCTGGCAATGTTTATACCGCAGGCGCTGTCCAGACCCCGGATGAAAGTCGGTGGGCTCGGGTTGCTGGGACCATGCCTTCTACTCTCTCGCCGACGGCGTCATCCGCGGCCGAGAGGCGCAGCAGCAGCGGACCCGAGGTGGAGCGTCTGCGGGCGACAAGCAGGCGCAAAGCCGTGGCCGAGAAGGTCCGGGATATGGCGGGCCGTTCGACTGTGCTTGGCCAAGCGGTCGATGCTGTTCATGTATGGGCGGAATCTGGAGCCGATTAAGTCGCCTCGCCAGACTTTTCTCGGGGAGAGACAAGGGCTAAGCTTCTCATATCTCGTCCAATTCTGTAATCTTTGAAGAAGAGATGGATGTTGCAAATATGGTGAGAGCTAGAAGCTTCAGACGCCTTGTAACATATAGCAATAACCCATGGAACACGACGGCCATTGCACAAGGTCCCACGTCCCCGTGAATGCGATCCATGTAGTTTGTTCTTCTGTCCCAGGCCATCATAGATCCGGCCAGGACTTGCAATCAATGTGCTTTGGAAGCCAGTAAGACTACTCCAGCCGGCAGTGACTTGACATTGCTCTCATGTACCTTTGGTTATAAAACAAATCCATAACAATCCAGTTCATCATAATTCCATAATCGTCCTTGAGGCGTGTCAAGTTTCTGGCTTTTCTACAAATAATCAATATACCAAATGATCGCCCGGGTATAATTACTACATCAGAAAAGACTGCCATCACGCGTCAACAAATAATCCCATCCAAGCCTTGGTAATCAAGCGAAGCAGGCCTCTCCTCTGTCTCAGATGCACGACCTCCCACCGAGGCTCTAAGCGTTTCGAACCCCGGTATAATCATGCCTGGGCTTACTATCCACGGTAGGATCCAAGCGATTCGCCCAGTCGGAGCGATGTTTTCCGGCCGTCTTCGGCGCCGGGCCGGAGCTGACCGCCGACGCCGCCCCCGGGTACGGCGCGGAGCCCCCGTGCATCGTCGCGCCGGCACCCCGCGAGTCCAAGTCCGAGTCCACGCGGGGGTCGAGCGCATTGGCCGCCCGTGAGTCGTGCGGTCCGTACGTACCCTCGCGGACGCCTGCCGCCGGGCCCGACGAGACGCCCGGGACCGATTGGCGCGAAGCGTCGACGCGCGGATCGACCGTGTTGCCCAGCTTCGAGTCGTGTCGAGCGCCGTACTCGCCTGCGTAATCCTGCCGCTGCGCAGCCGACGACGCTGCACCGGCCGTGCCCACGCCGGACTGGTTCACGTGTGTAGAGGCAGGGGTTCGGCCGAAGCCGGGCTCGCGTCCCGGCCCGTGGACCCCTGGGCCGGTGACCTGGACGCCGCTCGTCATGCTGTCGACGGTCGGGTCCAGGCGGTTGAGCCAGTCGTGTCGGTGTGGCCCGGCCGTGTTCGGGGCAGGCCCGGGCAGGTTGGGGTTGTGCTGGGGTTTTGCGTGCGTTCCCGTCATGGCTGGACCGGTGGCGGAGGGAGCTCCTGGAGGAGGCAGGTTGTCGTAGTGGACGGTGCGCGGGTCTTGTTTGTGCTTGCGAGGGAGATGGCACATGAGAGTGCTTGGAGGAGACTTGGGTATCTTGAGAGTGCGTGAGGGCGTTCAATGTGTGAGTTGAAGAAGGGATCACAGGATAACTTGCTGAATGAGTAGAGAGAGACTCTTTTCTTCGTTATCAAGATCATGATGACTGCTTTTATACAGAGCTCCAAGCAGCCAGTCTCAAGGTGGCGAGAGATGATGGCATGTAGTTCCGGCTGTTGATACCCGGGCACCAAATCACAGACATGAACAGCGCCGATCGCCAAGGTGAGACCAGGGCTGAGGCCTTGAGCCTGCACATGTCGTGCCGATCACCCTTGGCCGCTGCACCCCCTCCCGTCAAGAACAAGGCCAAGCCGCGTCGCCCTATGACGACATAAACGTGGCCGACGGTAGACGTGCGCCAGGGTCCCGTCACGAGGAGGGCTGATGACAGGTTCTGGGTGGCAGGCGATGAGCCGTTGGAAGGGGCCTGGTGCGGGATTGGATGGAAATGCCCAACGCTCCCGGCGGGCTCGCACAGCCCTGCGACGCGACGTCATCATGACCTGCGTCGTGGGGGACGTGCGGAGCTGACGGGGGAGGCTTGTTGATGAGCTGTCGGGGCCCCTGTTGAGGATAGTGGCATGAGATATGTGACTTGATGACAGACCTGACGAACCGCGGCGCCCTCATGGACAAACCTGACTGGGACTCGACAGCCAGGTGTCTCGTGTGTACCGGTTAAACACGATCATTCGTGACGGGACCCGAGTGCAGTGCCATGTTTGCCGGTCCACGGATGGCTATGAGAGCGCCACACATGCTCGAGCGGCGAGGGAGTCGAGCTGAGCATCGAACGGCCGACGGTTGGCCGGCAATGCCCACGAGTATGGCCTCGGTTTGCGGGGACGACTCCGGCGTTTTGATATACATTGCTTGCAGCAGCCCGGCCGGGGTCCCGGGCATTGTCTGCTTCCCGGGGCCGCCGCGGTCACTCTCAGTGCAGCCCTGAGCCGGGGATGTGGGCGAGGAACCCGTGGCCCACGCCAGGGCGGCATCAAGCAGTCGTCGATGCAAGACGGGGCTCGCTTGCCTGGGCCCGAGGGTTCGGGCGGGAGCTCCCAAGCGGCGGGAGTCGCTTCAAGTCAGTCAGTGAGGATGCGTAAACGACGGCTAAGCTACAACTGCAGTCCGCAGATGACGGCGTCACCTCCGTCGACGTGCTCACCGGCATCTTCACAGCCGCTCTCGCCGATCCCATCATCTCCGTAGAAGTCAGGCTACATGCAGGGGGACACAACTCGGCATGAGGGGCAACCGAGCAGTGCAATTGCCACGTATTCTCTTGCTTTCAAGGATGCTTCGTAATCCTGTCAACCTATTGCGCTATGTGACCGGATAGAGCATCCACGCTGTGCTCACTACAACCATAACAAACCGCTGGCTCGAGGGCCCGCTGTTCTCGCCGCTCCCGCACCGTGGCCGTTGAGCTTGGCCCGTGAAGCTGCAGCTACGGAAACGGGTCCAGCGTAGGGTGCATGTCGATCTGCTCGCGCGACAGCCTGCCGCCGAGACGATACTCATGGATGATCTTGTCCCAGCCGTTGTAGGCTGTTGAGTCTACACCCATGTCACCCAGGAGATATGCCCTGCGCCAGTTGTCGCTCATGCTAGATGTTTTGAACGACTCGATGCGATTGTCGACGCGTTGGAGCATATCCCTGAATCGGCTGTCGTCCAGTTTCATCAAGCCACAAACCGCCTGAACCAAAGAGAGCCAATAGTCGAACGCGTCCAGGTCAGAGTGCGGATGCTAGATGCCGTATTGAAACAAGATCACGTGGTCAGGAGGCATGGACATGTCGTCCGTGTTGTCGGCCGGGGTTTCGTGTAGCGAAAAGGCAAGTCGGCGTCCGTCGGGGCTGCAAAGGGCCTTCGAGAGGTCGGTGAAACTGCCGCATGTCCAGAGCCGCTGGATCCTCTCCTGCGTTGCGTCATCGTGTAGCCTGGGCACAATCAGGTCCATGACGGCCGCATCTTCGGGGGGGGGTTGGCTGTTCTCAACCCCTTTGAGAGGGCCTACTGCCACGGCGGAATGGGTCGTGACTGGAGGTGGCCGACCGGCCGGGTCATCCTCGCGCCTAGGCCACACTGGGAGAAATAGGTCCTTTTCCAGGAGCTACAGGAGCGTGAAGAGCTTCTTGAAGTCTGTCAGTTCCAACCAAGGGCAGCTTGGCTCGAAGAAGACGTTGAACGGGCAAGTCGAGTTGGCGTGCATCCTGACGGAATTCCGTAATGACGCGATGCCGATATGCGTTTCCGATTTCCAATATTCATGCCTGTCCTCGGCATACAAGGGGCTGCGCAGCTTCAGACCGAACCATTTGTAAACGTCAAGGCAACAATCTTGACCCTTGGCATGGGTGGATGGCCGCAAGACCCAGAACGAGGCGTCCAAGGGATCCCATTCCACCGAAGAGGTCGCGTCCGGGACGCGGTACCATATAATTGTCCCCATGATGCGCCTCGACATGACTTCGGTGCATAGCTCCAGAATCTTTTTTTTAGGATCGTGTTCGTCGGCTGGGCAAGCCCATTGAAACGGGAGCCCGTCGGTGTAGGGGCCGCGGTCACTGTGATTTTCGGAGGAGTATCCCTCGCGCTTCTGTGGAACCAGAAACTCAAGTTCGAAGCCGAAAGCCAGGTCCACGGGGACGGCAATGGGCGGGCTCGGTCTTTGCATGGCGACTCGTCGAAGGGTTGGTGACTGGGGACATGGTTGGGTGGGATCCAAGAAATAACGAATGCTTGCTGGGCTTGTCGCCAACTCCGAGGCGCGGCGATAGCTCGATCCAAGCTTGAAGAGGTGAACGGCTTGCCTCCAAGGTGCGGTGAACAGAAGTCATTCTTTCTGGAGTTCGACATGCTGTTTCCCGAACAAGACTGACGGGAACCGGGATTGACACAGCGGAAGGTGCCACACACACAGGACGCTGAGGCTTAGATGGCCGGGACTGGCAGACTGACAACGAGGCATCGTGATTGCAGACCGGCAGGCCAAACTCTAGCGCGAGAGCACGCAGCGTTGCTTTCCGTCAGGTCACCATGTGCCGTGGCCATCGAAGAGCGACAAGGCGAGAGACGGGGCGTCCAAGGTCCGGCCGGCGCTGAGCCGCTGGAGTATACAGTCGCCTTCCACTGCTTCTCGTCAATGCCAAATGAAGCCCAAAGCCGTAGGGGAGGTGGAGCCACTGAACCAGTGAACAGCATCCGCCTCTGATGGTCCCCCCGGGGCTATGCCTCGGGCCCCTTGCGTTGAACGGCTCTCCATGCCGCTGCGGGGCGGCGACGGGACAAGGCTCACAGCCACGGGCAACGCCTTTCACCGTGTGCTAGCTGAGCGTGCCTCCAGGCTCGCACTTGTACGTATCTCGCACTTCGAATCTCGAAGCGGACTCCGTTTGTTGCTGGAGCAATGCAGTTCGCGCGACGGCCCGCTGCTGAACAACGAGTCGCGACGGCTGACGAGACTGCATCTCGCCTTCCATTGAGGCGTTCACCGGAGCAACAGGGCGACAAGACCAGGGATCGGGGGAAAGGGGTGTTGGGCAGAGCAGAGGTGAAGTCACCCGAATCAGTATTCACCTCGGGTGCGAGGACCGAGGGTGGTGGAGGCGACGGCACGTGACCTGACGGTGAGCGCAAGCAAGCAGTGGATGCACCTCGGTGAAGCCTTGGATCCAGCGCGATTCGAGGCACGGTTTCCACGTCTCGTGAGAAAGCTGAGGCGCTGCTCAAGCGAGAATGCCGCCGCAGCTCTCATTCCTCCCCCTCACCTCCATTTCGTCAGCAGCCGGGCGTTTCCGTGAGCCGAGCACGAAATGAGCCACCACGAGGACGCCGCTGCGGACGCTGCGAGGGAGGACGAGATCCAGTACGGCGCAGTGGGAGTCGCCAAAGAGGAACTTGAGGAAAAGTACCCAACAGCATTCCCGGCCTCGTCACGTCGTGCTGATGATGCTGGCCGCCAGGTATCCAAAGCGGCCAAGAAACCACTCCAAGACGCTGCCGTTCCACGACCTCTTCCTGCATCTCTTCAACCCTCTCAACGAGAACAAGAAGCAGCCGGCCGGAGGCGTCGCACGCAAAAAGGGACCGCACGGCGCCCACAGTCTGTCGCCGCAGGAGCAGCGGAGGCACGTCATCGAGAGGTTCATCGCCAAGTGGCGTAAGCAGGTCGGCAATGACTTTTACCCGGCCCTGCGCCTGATCCTCCCGGACAAGGACCGCGACCGCGGCGTCTACGGCCTCAAGGAGAACGCCATAGGAAGGCTTCTCGTCAAGCTCCTCAAGATTGACAAAAACTCCGACGACGGCTACAACCTCTTGCACTGGAAGATCCCTGGCCAGACCACGGCGGCGCGGCTCGCCGGCGACTTTGCCGGCCGCTGCTTCGAGGTCATCTCCAAGCGGCCCATGCGGACCGCCGCCGGAGACATGACCATTGCCGAGGTCAACGAGCAGCTCGACAAGCTGGCTGCCTCGTCGAGCGAGGCCGAGAACCTCGCCATCTTCGAGACCTTCTACAACCGCATGAACGCCGAGGAGATGATGTGGCTCATCCGCATCGTCCTCAAGCAGATGAAGGTGGGCGCCACCGAAAAGACGCTCCTGTACCTGTGGCATCCCGACGGCGAGACCCTGTTCAGCGTCTCGTCCAGCCTCCGCCGCGTCTGCTGGGAGCTGCACGACCCGCAGCTCCGGCTCGAGCGCGAGGAGGCGGGCATCGCGCTGATGCAGTGCTTCCAGCCGCAGCTGGCCCAGTTCCAGATGCCCGCCTCCTTCCAAAAGATGACTGAGCTGCTGCGGCCGACGGAAGACGACGCCGAGTTTTGGATCGAGGAGAAGCTCGACGGCGAGCGGATGCAGATGCACCTGGTGCAGGACCCGGACCACCCGGGCGGCCGGCGCTTCTGCTTTTGGTCCAGAAAGGCCAAGGACTACACCTACCTCTACGGCAACGGGCTGCACGACAACAACTCGAGCTTGACTCGCCATCTTGCCAAGGCCTTTGCGCCCGGCGTCCGCAACCTGATTCTCGATGGCGAGATGATTACGTGGGACATGGAGGTGGACAAGATTGTGCCGTTTGGGACGCTCAAGACGGCCGCCATCGCGGAGCAGCAGAACAGGACGGGCTCGGACGCCACGGGCCACCGCCCACTGTTCCGCGTCTTTGACATGCTGTACCTCAACGACAAGCAGCTGACCCAGTACACGCTGCGGGACCGGCACAATGCCCTGGAAAAGGCCGTCAAGCCAGTCTACAGGCGCCTCGAGATCCACACGCACTCGCGCGCCACCACGGCCGACGCCATCGAGCCGTTGCTGCGCGAGGTGGTGGCCAACGCGTCCGAAGGCCTGGTCCTCAAGAACCCGCGCTCCATGTACCGCCTCAACAGCCGCAACGACGACTGGCTCAAGGTCAAGCCCGAGTACATGTCCGAGTTTGGCGAGTCGCTCGACTGCCTCGTCGTCGGCGGCTACTACGGCTCCGGCCGGCGGGGCGGCACGCTGTCAAGCTTCTTGTGCGGCCTGCGCGTGACGCAGAACCACGTCCAGGCCGGGGCCAACCCGGAAAAGTGCTTCAGCTTCTTCAAGGTCGGCGGCGGGTTCCGTGCCGAAGACTACGCCGAGATCCGCCACCGCACCGAGGGCAAGTGGATGGAGTGGGACCCCAAGAACCCCCCGTCAGAGTACATTGAGCTCGGCGGCGGCGAGGCCAAGCAGTACGAGCGCCCGGACGTGTGGATCCGGCCGCGGGACTCGGTCGTCGTCTCGGTCAAGGCGGCCAGCGTGGGCCCGTCGGACAGCTTCGCGCGGGGCTTCACCCTGCGGTTCCCTCGCTTCCGGCGGCTGCGCACGGAGCGCAGCTGGGACTCGGCGCTGACGCTCGAGGAGTTTCAGGAGCTCAAGAAGAGGGTCGACGAGGAGTCTAGGGACAAGGCCATGACTGTCGAGGACAGGAAGAGGCGGCGGCCGAAGCGCATCAAGAAGGAGCTCGTCATTGCGGGCGAGGACGCGGCGCCCGCCGAGTTTGCCGAGCCGTCGTCGGCCATGTTTGAGGGCTTCGAGTTTGGCGTGCTGTCCGAGTCCCTGAAGCCGTGGAAGAAGACAAAGGGTCAGCTCGAGGCCATGCTCAAGGAAAACGGGGGGGGCGTCTCGCAGCGGCCAGCCGCGGGCACCAAGACGGTGCTCATTGCCGACAAGAGGGTCGTCAAGGTCGCGAGCCTGATCAAGGGCGGCGACGTCGACATCATCCGCCCGTTGTGGATCCGGGATTGCCTGGAGCATGGCGATGGGACGTCGGTGCTGCCCTACGAGGAGCGGCACCTGTTTCACGCGTCCGAGGGGCTCCGGGCGGCGGCCGCGCGGAACACAGACCGGCTCGGCGACAGCTTTGCGAGGAACGTGTCGGTGGAGGAGCTCAGGGAGATTACCGACGCCTTGACGGCGGAGCCCAAGGGCCGCGAGGCACGGGATGCCGCGGCATCTTCCTTTGTCGAGGAGCTCGAGGCCCGCGCAAAGGGGCTCTCGCACATGCGCGCGTTCATATTTCGCCGTTGCGTCGTGCACCTGCGCCTTGTCGGGGACTCGGGCCCCCGTGACGCTGGGAGGCTGGTCCGTTATATCAAGTACGCCGGCGGCCTGTGTGCAGATGAAGGCCTAGGTGACGAGACGGTGACGCACGTTGTCCTGGTCGGCGACGACGCCGTGCAGCGTGGGCAAGTCGCGGGCGAGGTGCGCAGGGAGGTGAGTGGGCGGCGCAGAATGCCCAGGCTTGTGACGGGCAGCTGGGTCGAGGACTGTTGGAAGGAGAAGACGCTGCTGGACGAGGAGCAGTACGCTGTTGAATGAATGTGTCCTGAGCAGGATACTGGATTTTCTCTAGTCACGCCCTTGCAGCTCATTGTACGATGACGTTTGCCGAGGAGCATGTCACGACACCATGGCATGGCTACTTGGACCCATGCCTTGAACAATAACACGAGCGCTTCTATGCTGGAATATCTCACACTGTTTGCTTGTCCCCCCAGCCTTGCGCATCCAAGTTCCCCCTTGGCAGCATCCTACTTGCCAACAGTCAGGTACAACCGGTCTCCGATATCGCCCAGGCCCGGCTCGAGCATGCCCTTGGGCGTCAGCTTCTCGTCCAAGCCGGCTATCCACAACTCGGTGCCCTGGGGCCACTCCTCGGCGGCCTTGCGGACGCCGTCTGCGGCGCCGACGACGGCGAGGACGAGGACCTTCTGGGCGCCCCACTCGCGCAGGGTCTGGATGGCGGCGATGCAGGTGCCGCCGGTGGCGATGACGGGGTCGACGACGATGGCGAGAGAGCTGGCAGAGGAGGCGGCGGGGTTTTGGGGGTCGGGGACGTGGTTGGGGAGGTTGTTGTAGTACTCGACGGGGGCGAGGGTCGACTGCTCGCGGTACATGCCGAGGTGGTGGACGGGGACGGAACGGGGGAGCATGGCTTGGGTGGCTGGAAGACGTTAGGACGGTTGTCAAGGAGCTCGGCTATAGGTGAATTGGCGGACCATCTACCATGGCAAGGCCGGAACGCAAGATGGGGACAATGCACATGGTCTGCGGGTGGGTGGTGGTGGTGGTGTACTCGAAGCCGAGCGGTGTGTGGTCCTACAGAGAGCGTCAGGACGCAGCCGCAGCCGCAGTTTGCCTCTCGGCCGGCTCACCTTGGCTCCCTCAGCAGGGGAGATGTTTGCGGCGAGGGCCTCGCATGATAGGATGAGGGAGATGTCGTGGATGAGCGACTTGACGTCGTGTGCGGCGGTGGAGCGGGAGCGCAGCTGGCTCAGCTTTGCCTTGAGGGAGGGGTGCCGGGAGACGTGGACGTTGGGCGGGAGCGACGACATGGTGAGACGGATTCAGGCTCGTCTGATTCAGGCTCGTCCGATCAAGGTTGGGGTCGTCGGAGGAGAGCGATGCAGACGAGGAGCTGGTGGAGGCGCCGAGGGATGAACGGACCAAGCCGAGGGAGGCGATGGAGGACAAGATGAGAGCTGGCGCGTCTGAGAAGATGATAGGGGGGAAAGGGCGAGGCTACGCAAGATGGTGATGCACCAGAGGCGGAGCGAGAAGAGGCAGTTTGGCGGTTGAAGCTGCGGCTGCGGACCGGGAGCTTTATGAGACGATGGGGTGCGGGGGCGGGGGCGGGGACGGCTGGAGCTGCTGCCCCGCCATGACCCGGGGTCTAACAGCCAGGCACCTCGGGTACCTGGACCACTGTATCCGTACTTTGGTTAATTAATTACTCCCGGGCTGGTAGCAATAAGCCGAGGATAGCTGCTGGGCTGCCCGCCCATCCATCGGCCGCTGCTACGTTATTACAAACTTGCATCCAACCTGCAGAGAGGAGAGGAAATACATTACACGACAGGTTTGAACGATCTTGCCAAGGCACGGAGGAGCTGGCGCGGTCAGTGCGTGGATCCGGAGGCCACCGAGGAGCCGGTCATTGGACGGGCAGCCAACGAGTCACATTGTCACATTGACACCGTAATAAACCCGGCCGGAAAGACCCGGTTCAAGCTTTGAAGAACATAAAAGGCATTGAAGACAAACCACGTGCTCGTTGGATGGCGCCGAGTCTCGGCGGAATGATGAACGGCGCGAGGCGTGCTCGGGTGGAGCGGACAGACAGCGGCACGGATCATCGGCGCGCGTCGGCGAGCCAATAAAGCTAGTCTAGTAGGTGAGCTGTTTACTCCAGCAAACAAACGTCTGCCAAGAGAGTCATCCACAGGCGCTTCCCAGAGCCTCCCGGATGTCATGTCCGGGCCGGGCGACGTCGAGGTCGCCGCCGACGAGGGCCGCGGCCGGGCCAGCCATGTCGCAGCCGCCAATGGCCACGGCAGTCCTCAACAAGCAGACGTCTTCAAGACGGTGGCCGCCGAGCCGTCGTCGCCGCCGAGGCTGCTCGCCACCCGCGTCTACACCCTGTCCTACCTCGTCTTCTTCTCCCTGCTCGGCACCCTGGCGCGCCTCGGGCTGACGGCCCTGACGCACTACCTCGACTCGCCCGTCATCTTCGACTCGGTCTGGGCCAACTTTGGCGGCAGCCTCGTCATCGGCTTCCTCGCCGAGGACCGCAACCTGTTCCGCCACGAGGGCGCCGTCGACGACAGAAAGGCCCATCTGGCGCTCAAGAAGACGGTGCCGCTCTACATTGGCCTGGCCACCGGCTTCTGCGGGAGCTTCACCAGCTTCTCCTCCTTCATCCGCGATGCCTTTCTCGCCCTGTCCCATGACCTGGTCGCGCCCGGGCACGCGTCGACGGCCGGCAGTCGCGGCGGCGGCCAGTCCTTCATGGCCCTGCTGGCCGTTGTCGTCACCACCGTCTCGCTCTCGCTGTCGGGCCTCTTCCTGGGCGCGCACCTGGCCTGTGCCGCCGAGCGCCTGACGCCGTCGCTGCCGCGTGCCGTCAGCCGCAAGGTCCTCGACCCGCTGAGCCTTGTGCTCGGCTGGGGCTGCTGGCTGGGCGCCGTGCTGCTCAGCATCTTCCCGCCCCACGACGACTGGCGCGGCAGGGCCGTCTTCGCCCTCGTCCTGGCGCCGCTCGGCTGCCTGCTGCGCTTCTCCCTGGCCGTGCACCTCAACGGGCGGCGGGCGGCCTTTCCGCTCGGCACCTTTGCCGCAAACGTCGCCGGATCCGCCGTGCTGGCTGGGGCGTGGGACCTCGCGCACTCGCCCGCCGCGGCCGGCGCCGTCGTCGGCTGTCAGGTGCTGCAGGGCGTCGAGGACGGCTTCTGCGGGTGCCTGACGACCGTGTCGACGTGGGTCACCGAGCTGAGCGGCCTCGGCAGGCGGGATGCGTACGTGTACGGGTCCGTCAGCGTCGTCGTGTCGTTTGCCTTGGTGGTGGCTGTCATGGGCGGGCTGCGGTGGACCGAGGGCTTCAGCCCACTGACCTGCGGCTGAGTCGGATGATGGAGATGGGTTCAACGGCACATCTGTGAGCGAGGTTGACGGATAAGATTGCTGTTGGTGATTGTGTTGACGTTGACGCAGTGACTGGGTGGACAGCTGGTTGCTCGATGCCGCACAATTCAGGCTGCCACCACGTGCTCGGCTGTTTACCTCTTCACCTCACCCTGAAATCTCGACGCGCAGCTGGCTCGTCTTTTTTTTCTCCCCTCTCCCCAGCGACCAGCCAGCCTCTCCATCGGCCTCATTCGACTCGAAGCACATGGCCCGTCCCTCTGCCCTCGGCATGGCTTCGCTTTCTCGCCTCTCTTCTTCGAGGCTCGCCTCTTCCTCGTCGTCGTGCACCTCTGACGGCATGACTGTCGACGAGCCCGCCGCGATTCCCCTCACGCGGCCGTCCTGCTCGGCGCGAGACGCGAACGGAGTACCCTGCCTCAAAGTCCCGCTCATTGCGTGCCCGAGATGCCTCCTCGTCGCGGTGCGTTGATGAGCTGCCGAGAGGCCTGCTGTCACCGGTGATGCTGACAACTGCAGTACTGTGACGCGGCCTGTCGAGAGCGCCACTGGGATGTTCACAGACCAGACTGCACCAGGGACTTTGCCGTCAAGTGCAACGAGGCGTCGGCTGCCGACATGGACGACGAGGACGACGACTTGATTGCCGCCGAGTCCACCAGCTTCTGGTGCAAGTACCCGGCAACAGACGTCCTCAACCTCGACAAGAACGAAGGGCGCTACTATGACGATCGGCTTGACCTTCTCTTCACCGGAGGTTGGTGGCCCCGACGTGCCCGCCACGCCTCCCCAGCTCACTCGCCGTAGAGTCCGGGGTGCGCCACTTCATCTACTCGGTGGTCAAGCTGCCCGAGACGGCGTCGCCCAAGCTCCACGTGGCCATCAACGAGGCAAGCAACCTCCATGTTGCTCGCACCTTTTTCGCCCTCAGCCTGCTCACGGCCCGCGACCGCGATCCCGTCGTCAACGCAGAGGCCTGCATCCACATGTGGTACTCGGCCAGGATGCCGCGGGTCCTGCGCGACCACGTCCAGTCGGTGGTGCGAGAGAACCTCGGCGGCACCCTTGAAGACATGGCCACCATCAGTGCTGCAACGGGCGTCTCGCCCACGCGGCCTTGCCGGCTGACCTGGTCCCTCGCCAACCTCAGCGTCGAGGTCGAGCTGCGGCAATCCCAGTGGGCAGCCATCAGGAACCACCTGGTCCCGTGCAAGAGCCTCGGCTTGGCCCAGTCGCTTATTCTCCGATATGTCGACACGCGCAGGCGCGCCGAGTCGCCGTGCCGCTTCCTGGCCCGGATGACTCGGTCCAGGGCCCTGGGCTTGATGAAGTGGCACGACGACGGCATTCTCTTGCCCTACGGCCACCCTCGCGACGCCTTTAACACGCTGAACCCGTAAGAAAGAGGCCACAACCGCGAGGCCCTTTGTTCTTTCGTCGCCTTGCCATCTCCTTTTCCCTTCTGGCCTGACACAATGCAGCATCTTCTTCCAGGGCAGCGAAAAGTATCCCGCCGGCGCCTCGGCAGAGCCTCTGTCTGAGTGGCCCATGGAGCTTCTCGACTATCGCGTCTCCCCTGCCGTCAATGACGTGTACGGCAAGATGTTTTACTATCTCCGCGACCTGCTCGTCGAGTTTCAGCGCCGGCTGGCCAAGACCTCGCTCAACCTGCAGCTGTCCTGCGAGGCGACGGCCGAGCTCACCGACTGGACCCCGGCTCTGCAGTTTGAGCGGCCCTTTGACCGCATCGAGGCATGTACAGGCGTTCCTTGGACAGGAGTGAAGCTGACCCTTGTAGGTCGGCCATCACTGGGACGTGCATCCCTTCTTGACGCTCGTCGCCTTTTCCAACCTCTTGCGCCATGAGGACGAGAACCCCTTTGCGACCCTGCTCACAATCACCCGCGACTCGGTGATGCACGGCATGCCTTGCCTTGGCGCCAATCTCCAATCGGAACGCCAACATCTCTATCGCCCGTACAACGCAGTCCTGGACGAGCTTGCACCGCCGGCGGCCGCCGGGGACAAGGCAGACGTACGCGACGTCGTCCGTCGCAGGCTTGGCCTGCTCATGTGGCGTAACTGGGACAAGTTTGCTTCTCGGTGCGTCTCCTTTTGGGTCATGGCTCTTGGTCACCGACTAACTCCCCGCAGCTACCTCTTGTTCCCCGGCCACTTTGCCTTTGCGTCGCTCATAGACCCCCGGGCCGTGGATGAGCACCGCAGCGTGGTGCAGGCGGGGTTCCTCGGCCTGGCCGCGAGAGAGAAGCACCTCATTACGCGCCGCTGGCCCAACCGCCTAGTCCACAGCAAAAAGGACAAGCCCAGCCTGCGCGACTTTAACCGCTGGCTCGGGTGGCCGAGCACGGTGCCCCTGCGCTGGCTCGAGTGGAAGCGCTGCGGCGACGTCTCCAACCAGGAGTGGGACAGCTGGATGCGGGTCGCCACGTCCATGTCGCGCCTGGCGACCCGGCGGGCCAGGACAAGTCGGATGGCGGGTCCGAGTCTGGTGGCGAGGCTGAGGGCCAGGGTGATGGGGGGGCGGACGAGGCCGGGGGTGCTATGAAGGGCAAGGGGAAGAAGAAGAAGCAGAAGAGGGGCAAGAAGTCCAAGGGCAAGAAGAAATAGGCTGTCTCGGGGATGGACAGCGTCGGGCATGTGAGCGACGCTGAATGCGCACGAGGTTTCGCGCGTGGGTCGAGGCAGGGGGTTGGTTGGTTGGCTTTACGAGAGCATGGAGAGGTTGACTCGACATAGGCTGCTGGCAACTGAGGATGGGACCGTCTGTTGAGATGTTCGTCCGCAATCCCGAGCTAGCCAAGAACAGGGGACTCTGAACCACTTGCAGACCCGGATCGCGGCCTGTCATGTTTGAAGGTACTAGTTAAAAGGCCACCCCGTCACGCTAAACGGCCACCCAAAAGTGGGTCAATTGTGGCTTGGTCGCGCGCAAGGTCCGATACCGCAAAGTTTGGGCTCCAGAAGATAGGGGGCGAATACCGCGCTGTGGCAAGGAATGCCGCTTCAAGCGACCAAGAAAGCCGCCGCCCGGCCGCTGTGATCTTCTTCATCACTGCGGCTTCAAGTCAAGTCTTGGTTGGCCTTCCTTGCCGTCACGATATTTTCAAGCGGCCCAATGCCGCCGCCGCCGTTCCCTTCGAAATGAATGACGTTGACGAGCTCTGGCATGGCAGAGCACAAGCCCTAACGATGCTCCTCACGATCCACTCCTATGCACGGGAAAGGCCGGCCCAAGGGCTCATTGAACCTCGAGGCAGCAGGAGGTCGTAACGGCCACGCGGAGAGAGCCGTCAGCACACGATATCGCGGAATCCGACGAACGCAGCGAGGCCACAAGGCCGCCGCCGTCCACAGCGCCGGCGGCTCTCCAAAGTACGAAGACGAAGGCTACGGGTAAGAAGCGCAAGGCTGGGGGCAAGGCTGGAGGGAAAGCTGCTGCTGCTACCGTCAACACCGCCGGCAGCGCTGCTGATGTGACCAAACGGGGGTTGGAATACCTTCAAGCCAATGGCGATTCGTACGAGCCTGGCACAGCGATGCCACGAGCGTATCAGCGTGCCGTACGCCGCACGCCTGACTCTGACGATGAGCTTACTGGCCCGGGCGAGACGCAGGGCACGATTCGCTGTGCCACGCAGCCAATGCCGATACCCTCAATTCGTCAGGAGGTGAGGATATAGAGGATGAAGACGACCCTTTAGCCGATTTTAACGAGATGGACCGGCAGGTGGATGAGGAGGAGTCTGTACAGCAGGAATTGTGTGCAGAGGGTCTACTATAGCTACCGGCGTTAACGCTGCATTTGAATTGACGGAAGTGTGTTTTCTACGACCCCAAGAACATGGCCCTACGTACTTGAATTTGCATCACGGCCAGCTTCACTTTGCGGCTTCAATTGCGGCTTCAACATGCCCTCTGGCGCGCACCTCGATGCCGGCAGCGAATGCGCGCACACACCTTTGCGGCATCGGCGCTGCGCGGCGACCAAGCCACAGTTGACCCACTTTTGGGTGGCCGTTTAGCGTGACGGGGTGGCCTTTTAACTAGTACGTGTTTGAATTGAGTCTGGTTCTTGAATGCCCAATTCTTTTGTTCCTATCGAGGCAAACGGGTGTGCTTGGCTGTAGGGTAGCGCGGTCAAGCTCCAGTCGGAAGCTCGGTTGCCATTGGATTACTCGCTGAAATAGGTCCGCTGCAAGTACGTGTGAGAATGGAGTAGGTACGAAGTTCTCCACCGGTGCCTGGCGCCTAAAACCAAAGTCGGCTTCTGGCTTGCAAAACTAGACTATATATACAGATATAATTACCACCGCTTTCAACAAAAGCAATGAGGTCCTGTAGCTCAGTTGGTAGTAGCATTAGACTAATACTAATCGGGAAGAAGCTCTTCCCCCCCGAGATTAGTCACCTAAAGGTCCTGGGTTCGACCCCCAGCGGGACCATCTTTTTGCGTCTCTCCTAGAACCGCCCTTGGTCCTCGACCTTTTTACTCCGTCGCTACGAAGGCTTACGGAGGAGTCTCCTTTAATACGGGTTAGTTTCACTAGTCGGGAAGGTGCTCGCTCCTTCTCCCTGGGTTAGAAACCTGAAAGGACCCTTTTGTCATGTCTGGACCGTGCTTTGGAACGTCGTCAACGCTTGATGATGGCATGATCTGCTATTGCTCTCGAGATTGTGAAATGCCAGAGTTTGGTTCCGGTGACTTGAAGGTTTCTGTTTTGCCGCAGGCACCGGCTCTTGTGCTTCCTCCTTACCCTCTCCCACCTCTTTGCGAGGCACATCGTCAAGTACGGCATTCTATATGTCACTCAAAAATGCCCCCAAGTCCACCCAAGCTGGGAGGCTGTTCGTATGGCACTTGAGGGGATGCAAAGCGGAAAAGGAAACGTTTGGGCTGTCCTGCTCCTGAAAGCTACATGTGCGTGCCCGTGAGAGTGGACGGCAGCCGAAAACAAAAGGCAAACCCCGGTTGGGTATTGCCACGAGGGCATTCGCCTCCGCTCCAAGCGTCTCCCGCCTAGTCCTCCTCCAGCTCCGGATAGCAGCGCCAGATGCCGCCCGAGTAGGCAGCGCGCCGGTCGCTCGCCAGGTACGCCTTGATATTGGGCCGCTGCTTGACCGCGTCGTAGAGCTCGAAGACGCCGGCGTACTTGCCAGACCGCTTGAGCTTGTCCATGGTTTTGGGAAAGGCGTACAGGGTGCCATCGACGGACTGTTTGCCCTTGTCAGTCAAGCGGCGCAGAGACGAGAGGAAGTGGGAGCCGGTGAAGAGAAATGGGGCGCGCCCACCTGGAAGAGCACGAGGTCGGCATACGTGAGCTGGTCCCGGTAGAGCCACGGGCCCTGGCCGCTCGTCTTGGCGTCGAGAAGCCGCTGCAGGTAGCCGAGATACTTGGGCAGCCGCTCGTCCCGAAACGCCCTGCTGCGCCGCTTGGCCTCGGGCTTCTGGTCCTCGTAGACGGCCGAGACGGCGACGGGGTGGTGCGTCTCGTGCACCTCGCTGACCAGGCCGTCGAGGATGGTCAGGACGATCTGGTTGAGGTGCAGGAGGCCAGGGTCGCCGGGGGCGGGCGCGAGGCCGAGCCGGGGGGCCAGGTAGAGCAGGATATTGGACGACTGGTGGAGCACGAGGCTGCCGTGCTTGAGGATCGGGGGCGCAAAGACGGGGGGGTTGTTGGCGTCGCCCTCGTTGTCGGGTGAGATGTAGCCCAAGACGGCGGACACGGCGTCGTCTCTGGCGCCCTTGGCCGAGTCCGTGTAGGGCACGCCGGCCTCCTCGAACAGGACGCGGACCAGCTCGCCGCGGCCGGGGAGCCCGGGCCAGTAGATGAGCTCGTAGGGGGCATCGTCGCCGGCTTTGGCCTGGGACGACATTTCAACGTGGTGGGACGGCCGTGAGTAACTGAGTATGGCTTTTTGATGTCAGATGGAGGCCTTTGCTTGCATGTTTTTGACCAGGCAGAGACTTACCGAGCAAGAGATGCGAGGTTGTGGTCCTCGAGTTCGACGCTGAGAGGAGGAGCTCCGGCTGGTCAAGATGCTCACTTGCATGGCCGCATCCGGACGCCCCCTCATCGACCCGCGGTTCTGCGGGGTTCTGTCGGGTTGACGCTGTAAGCTCCTGACGTAATTCGACTGTGGGTTCTGAGGCTCTTGCTCTTAGGGTGTGAGTCGTCGCGGCGCGAGATGCAGGGAATCGGGGGCGGACGATGACAGCAAGCCGTATTAACCAGGACCTGCTTCGGGAACCGGTGCCGACCCAAGGCTTGACCTCAGCCTGAAGATGTAGCGAACACCAAGGCTATCATCTACGACGATGGCGCCATCACTTGCAATTCCAAGCCAGGCATCTCCCGCACGGGTAGTAGTGTTGTGGAAGAGCCAACGTCACCTGGTGTCGTGGTCGGTTGAGAGCTCATGATGACTTTGTTGCCTTGGAATGGGGATGAATGGCGCTGTATACGATGTTGTTGGCTTAAGCAAGATGTCTGATATGTTTTTCTTGATTCTTGGTTTTCTCCATTCTTCTCCCGCCCTGCCACGGATAGCTATGTGCCTTCTACATCAATACCCCCTGCGATTGGAAGTAGGTATAATTATCAGACATCTTGCTTAAGCTGACACGCTCCTCCGCCGTGTCACGGATAGATGCCTTACATGTAAACAATTGCGAGTCGATAATGGACGAGGCCACCTCTCTTGTCCCATCTCCCTTGCTTTTCTTATAGTCAGTCCATGGTGACTGGACTCATGACTGGGCTCATCAGACGGGATAGGGTAAACGCTCCAAGCCTGATCTAACGCTGCCTCTCCGTGCATACAAGTTCACCAGGTGGGGGGCCTTGATACACCCGTTCATGCAACGGAATGGGGTCCGCCAAGAGGGCTATTCGACCCGAGCGTCTCGCCCCATCGCCCCAACATTAGCCCGAGGCATCAAAGGCTTGGTGTTTGTAGTGACAAAGCGCCATATACTTGATCATGATATGGCCGAGCTCTTCGGAGCCAACGACTTCCCAGTCTCGTCATAACCGCGCGCTTCAGAAGCTGCGTCCCAAGCAAGTGGGATGGCCGAGGGAGAGCGTCAGTGCTGCATGTAGGGAATGTGTCGCCGCCCGCGGGGGCCAACAAGAAGGGCAAGAATCGTCTAGAACCTAGGACCCATGTCGACAGGCTTTGCTCACCTCTCGTACGTGTTTCTCGTCCGGGCTGAGGCAATGTTTTCCTCGGGAATCACCGCCGTCGACGGGTCTTGATCGCCATAATTCAGCGGCCCGACAGGGACAGGGTTGGCTGATTTCGGCGGCATGACAAATGCCCAACGCGGGCCAGGGTGGAACAGTGCGCGCGGCAATGACGAGATGTGGTTATCCAATCACCTCTTGAGTCAGAGGGGGGATCGATCTCTCTCGCCCCGGTGATTCCGAGCTCCCGAGAGCGGGGGCCGGAACTCGTCGGTTCAAGACCGAGGGCTGTTGGAGCCAACGCCGGCATAAGAGACTGTACAGTACATGGAGCCATGGCCTGGGCACAATATCTGCCATCTGATTCGAATCAGGCCCTGGTGCGGAGCTGGACGTGCAGTCTCCGCATGCTGATGTCGAGTACAAAAGCATCGAGCTCCCGCTGCGACGAGGGACGACGCGGAACATTTTCATCGATACATCCAGCATCCCGTCAAGTCCCGGAGGAAGCGAGATATATACATATAAAATATATGTGATCGAGATACCCGAGCAAGCCAACACCACAAACAAGCCTTGCGGCCACGATGCCTGTCGCGCCCGTCATTGCCCTGTCCCACGGGGGAGGTATGTTGCCTCGACCGTGGCTGCACCATGCCTTGAATCCCTGGCCTCTGCTCCCATCCGTCTCGTTCCACCCGTGGAAGCCCCGATGAAGCTCGTGCCGGCCGTGACTTACGCTCTCTGCCCGCATAGGCCCGCTCCCCGTCCTCGACGACCCCGAACACAAGTCCATCATCTACTCGCTCAAGAACCGCGTGCCCAAGATCCTCGGCCTCGGCACGCCGTCGCAGCCCCGCGCCATCGTCCTCGTCACGGCGCACTGGACGACGGGCGACGCCAACATCTCGTCGGGCAAGACGCACGAGCTGGTCTACGACTACTACAACTTCCCCCCCGTCGCCTACACCTTCAAGTACCCGGCGCCGGGAGAGCCCGACGTGGCGCGCAGCGTCAAGGCGGCCTTTGACGCCGAGGGCCTGCCGGCGGAGCTCAACGGCGAGCGCGGCTGGGACCACGGCCTGTACATCCCCATGATGCTCGTCCACCCCGAGGCCGACATCCCCATGGTCCAGGTCTCGGTGCTCCAGTCGGAGGATCCCGAGACGCACCTGCGCATGGGCGCCGCCCTGTCCCGCCTGCGCGCCGACAACATCGCCGTCGTCGGCTCCGGCTTCGCCTCGTTCCACAACCTCGCCACCATGAGGGCCCTGCGCACCGTCTCGGCCGACCAGCGCGCCGCCTTCAAGGCCGAGTCGGACGTCTGGAACGCGGCGCTGGCCAAGGCCGTCACGGCCAAGGACAAGAGCGCGCGCTGGCAGGGCCTCAAGGCCTGGCGGCAGATGCCGCATGCCGACAAGATGCACCCGCCCAACGGCGGCGAGCACTTCATGCCCCTGATTGTGTGCACGGGGGCCGCGGGCGACGACGAGGAGGCCAAGACGTACAAGGACACGTACCTGGGCGTCGACATATATACCTTTTACTGGGGAGGCGAGCAGGTCGGCTGAGGTGGACACGACGTCAAGAAGCCCGAGGCTGGGCGGGACTCTGTCGTTGGAAGCCGAGGGAGGGACGAAGCACAACTGAGCGTTTGAAGCCTTTCGATGCAGAAGCCGTGACTCGGCCAAAAGTGTGTAGAATGTTGGAAGCGGCAGACATATCCAGTCGCCCACCGCAGGGCAGAGTGCAGCCGTGACCACTTGCAGCCTCCAGTTCCAGTAACAAACGCCCTTGACGCAAGCGACATCCCAAGGACCACCTACAGATCGGAAGAACATTTGGGGTTCGCCATGGTGCATGAACATGGCATTGGTGCCTGGCGGCTGTGCCAGCCACGAGACTCACCCGCCGGGTCGCGAAAAGGGGGCAGCCATGGAGGTTTTCAAACAACCATCCGCGACAGGCCCCTCGCCAAGACTTTGACACAAGCCGGCGGATCCCGAAGGCAAACCGATCGTCAGGAACCTGAAGCGCCATCTTAACATTACCCCTTGCGACGCTTCTACCGGCAACTCGGCATCATTACGTTGCCACGTGCGTTCATTGCCTGTCCACTTCAACGGCTACATCCACGTGCCAGGAGCAGACAGCTTCTCAAAGCTAGTCCACGAGCGTATACATGTTCCTGATGACGCGGCACACTAGCAGACCCAATCCCAGGTTGTGGTTTCGAGTCATGCAAACATGGTAGGGAGCTTGCAAAGACTTCTCTTGCGAGAAACTCAGGTTGCTGATCACCTTGGAGAATCTGTGGGGACTCCCCAGTCTGTATTTTGCTCAACATACATGTTACTGCTGTTTCCAAGACTGAAAACATTATGAGGTTAGGGTATGCAACGCCAAGGTGGCTCCTGTAAACGTCAACAACTGGTAACAATGAAACAACCAATGTCGGACTTGTACACAACTCGGCAAGCTGGCCCCTGAGACGGAACAAAGTGCTGATGTCACTGGATCCGAGCCTCTGAGGCCACGCTACAACTCTACGGGTCCTTGTGCAGAAGAAACAAAGGAAACAGACTGCACGAGGTTGACCTGTGCATTGTGTAATACATGCTTCCATGGTGAGCCGCGTCTGTTGGTCGACTCAGAAAAGCTCCACGTCAGGAGGGCCTTGGCGATGAAGAGCTTCAATAGCCAGTCCGTGGCTTGGACAGACGTTGGGGCGTTTTCTTGGCTGCCGTGCTCAGCCCTAGTGTCTTCCGCGTTAGTCTTTAGAAGTCTTTAGAGTTGCCGTTCGAGGCCGAGCACCACGCACCGGCTCTCGAGGGAACCAGCCGTGGTTACGTAGTTGGCGGGTGACCCAGCAGTCGAATGGAGTCAGCCTAGGTTCCCGTATTCTCGGCAGAACGTGTGCGAGCTACATCTCCGTGGTCTGGGGGAGAGAGACAGGAGCGTCTTAGTGCTGCGGAGAAACGGCCACGAAACAGAAATAGAACCCGGGCGGAGGCCCACTCGGCTTTTTTCTGCCGTGGTGTCGCTTTGCTTTTCTTGCTTGCGGTTGCTTCCGTGGACGCAGTGGGCATCTCGAAGACTTCTCACGGCGCCTCAACTCCTGCCCCCAAGTGCTCTCAAGTATGAGCACTGGCACCGTAGCCTCCTTCTTCTGGGCGCCCACAGGGTACGAAGCTGCCAAAGCAGCCAGGGCGTTTATATGACGCGGTAAGAGGTAGCCAACGCTGACTCCAATCCAGCAGAGACCGGCCGGCCAGTTGAAGACAGCAATCGAGTCGTCGTCGATTGCTCCGCGAGAAGGGCAACAGAGCCAAGAATAGAGTTTCTCCGTGCACACAGGGATAAGCCGGTATGTCTGGAAGCGGTTCACGAGGCTACCTTGGGCCGGTCCGTTTGCTGTGGGTCGCCGGCAGCACCGGATGCGTGGACGGCGCTGCGCCGGAAAGCCGAGGTGTAACATCCGCAGGCCCCGGGTTGGCTGCCGAGACAGGGCTGTAACAATGGCTCCGGTGCCGCGTATGCGCTTACAGAATGCGTCGGGGAGGCTTGAGAGGAAGTGCGTAAGCGGTGGCCTCGTCATGTCTATGGTGTTTGTTCGAGTGGCTATACACCGAGTCTCAGGCTTACGGCACGGCAAGTAGCGCAAGCCAGCGAACTCTCAAGTTGGCTAGACAAGCCGCCACTCGGACACTAGACTTGGCCTGATGACCGTTGGATTCTGTGCAGAAAGGGAAAGGGGGAAACGCAGGCACTTGGCTAACGTGTCTTTCGCGATTGGAGGCCACAGTTGCCAGGAGGCTCGACATCTCATGTCCCCGTCCATTCGGAAACAACGAGGTCCTACGTGGAGTCTGTGGCAGTCAGCCAATCGCATCGGCTCGTGGAAACTGACTTGTTCGCGCTCTTTGCCTTCCCACGTCTCGAGGCTGTGCCTCGCAGCCCCGTAAGGCCGGGGGCCCAAGAGCCCCCAGAGGCTTGAAACGCCAGATAGCTTGACGTTGTGTATTGGGGGCTGCCAAACAACGATTCCCCGGCCGCGAACAAGGCTGACAAGAAAAGAAGCCCTACCTCGTCCCCTCCAGGGTTCGTGCCCTGGTTTGATTGCCCAGTCCATGCGGCCCTCCTTGCGGCTGCCAAAACGTCCGTGTGCTTTGCTGTGGCGGTAGCTTCTTCAGGTGAGCGGGAGCTCGATGGAGCCAGGCTGGGGCTGCGGAGATGCGAGGATTCTGTGCTTGATCATCTCAACTGTCGCTGCCCTAACCCGTGGGAAAGGGGCTGATGGCCGTCGACTATGGTGGCCAGGGGAGTTGTTATAAAGCCGGCATCGTGTCCTGGAGAGACGGCCATCTGAAGACTCATGACAATCAGGTTCGCTCGTTTGAAAACACATCCTTCGCTAATATCTCGTCTTCGCCACTAATCTGCTCCCACTCTCGCTGTTTGGACCGACTCTCGCTATTCTAACACCAGTCATCATGAAGTACACGGGCTCTGTGACGGCCGCCCTGGCCTTGATGGCCGGCCTATCATGCGCCTTTCCCGCCATGGAGGAACTCATGAAGAAGATGCCGGCAGAGAAACGGGCGGGGTCGACCGAGTTGATCGGCGACCTCGCGACGCTCCAGGACGGCCAGCTCACGCAGACGGGCAAGGATGTCAAGGCCATCCTGCAGGGCCAGGCCTCGGGCATGGACACGACGTCCAGCTACAAAAACGTGTCGGCCAAGGGCACGCCCGAGTGCGCAAAGGACACATGCTGCATCTGGAAGTACATTGCCGACGACATGCGCAAGGCCATGGTCGGCGATGCCGGCCGGTGCAACGACGTCGCCCGCGGCGCCGTCCGGCTCGGCTTTCACGATGCCGGCACGTGGTCCAAGACGACGGCGCCCGGCGGCGGCGCCGACGGCTCCACCGTCCTGGCCGGCGAGTGCGAGACGCGCAGCGAGAACAACGGGCTGCAGGCCATCTGCTCGCAGATGCGCCAGTGGTTCAACCAGTACAAGGCCTTCAACATCACCATGGCCGATCTCATCCAGATGGGCGCCAACGTCGGCACCGTCGCCTGTCCGCTGGGGCCTCGCGTGCGCTCCTTTGTCGGCCGCAAGGACAGCTCGACGCCGTCGCCCCAGGGCAACATCCCCTCGCCCTTTGACGGCGCAGACAAGCTCATCAGCCTGTTCGCCGACAAGACCATCAACGCCGACGGCTTGGTGGCCCTGGTCGGCGCCCATTCCACGGCCCAGCAGCGCTTCGTGGACCCGAAGCGCGCCGGCGACCCGCTCGACACCACGCCCGGCGTCTGGGACACCAACTTTTACGGCGAGGTGCTCGAGCCGAAGGCCCCGAAGCGTGTCTTCAAGTTCCAGAGCGACATTGCCCTCAGCAACGACTCGCGGACGAGCGGGACCTGGAAGGCATTCGTCGGCACCGGGGGCCAGGGGCCTTGGGACGGGGTAAGTCATATCGCGGCCTGCCGTCGAGGCATTTCAAGAGAGAGCAGCAAAGGCTGACATTTCACAAGGCATACTCGGGCGAGTACGTCCGTCTGAGTCTCCTCGGCGTCAACAATATCAACGACATGACCGAGTGCACCAAGGTCCTGCCCCCCTTCACGCCCACCTTTACCAGCCCGGATCAGCCGCAGCTCTCTCAATTCCTTAACAATAACAACACTGCCGAGACTCAGCAGTCCTCGCAGTTGATGGGCGGCAATAAAATCAATTATGTTTAATCTTGTGGAGGACGGGAGGGATCAGCGCATCTATCTAGTCGCATTGTATAGACACGCCGGCAGACACGACTCTTTGAATAATGAGGCGGGAAAGGAAACAGGACGGCCTTAATGTCTAGAATTAACATGAGCTGCCCGGGGCAGCAAATTATTTACGCAGCTGAGATATACACAGCATAATTAATCATGTTCTCCGAGACCTCCCCCCCACGCATCCTTGGACGGGGCATAGGGCTGGAGTAGGGCTTGAGACATGTTGTTACGTTTTCGAGGACATGTCTTTCCTTCGGCTCACCGGTCAGCAATCCTGAGTCCTGTACAAACGGGGCTTGCGTCTCAGTCACTGCACCCAGTCATATTTGTCGGATCTGACTCTCCGAGGACCTCTTCACTGGTGTCATGATTGACGAGCCTTCCCTTCCGCTCTGAGACCACGGACCGCTCCCGCCTGGGACAGATGATTAGTTTGTACCAAGCCCTGCCGTGAATCTCAACCGCCACTCTGGGGAAGTTTGTCTCGAAATTTCCAATGTTCCCTTGATTGGCGTTATTGAATCCCCGGCTCATGGAGACGTCTGGGCACCGTTACACTCCGGTTGATAGGATATTTATCTTCCGAGAGCAAGCAGTCCCTTCAGCAGCCGGCCGTCCCGTGTGGCCCGCGCGTGATGGCGAGCAGGGCGAGAAGCCAATCATGCCAGCGCGATCCCATGGGATATTTCGATTTTCGAAGTAGGCTATTAATCGCGGATTACAGCCGGTCTGAGACCAAGTCTCTGAAACAAACATTCTGCTCTAATCATGGAAGCCGACGTCGTGGCTTTCCTAAATATCAGGCCCCCCTGTTTTCAAACAGAGTTTCAGCTCGACCTCGCCCCCGAGGATGATGACACTTTGGCTCACGACGAGCTACTTTGATCAATGGAAGCAGTCCGTACTCTCATAGAATGGCAGACAATTGCGCTTCCACAAGGTGTGGTGTAGCGGATGAACGGCTCAAGCGCTCGGGACTCTTCTCAACAGCTGTAGTACACGTAGTCCTGTGCTATCCATCACCAGGACGCACTCATCGGTCATATCGCGTGATTTCGCATCTTTGACGTTTTGTTTCGGTCATAATAATCTAACTATTCTATTTCTAAAATCGAATTTTCTAACAAACATGCATCTCCCGGCCTCGCAGTTGGCATGGAAGACTAATACATCCCCGTTCTGCACGGGCGTCGCGCCTCCCGGAGACGTTAGGCCCAAGCTGTCGTTGGAGCTTATTAAAGGGGTGCTTGCGCGGGTATAAGGGCCTCCTACGCTCTTTGACGTGGCGTAATTAACGTTGTAGCTGGGCGCCGTGAAGCAGCCCGAGCTGAAGAATAGTATGTAGGTCCCGTCGCGGGCCCGGTAGATGGCGGGCGCCTCGACGAGCGGCTCGTCCCCGACGCGGTCCAGGATTTGCCGCGGGCTTCCGATCTTCTCGACGCCGTTCTTGGACACTTCTTGCAGCACGATGGGGGTCGCCTTCTTGGGGTTGATTCCGTTGTTGCACTCGCCGCCAGCGCCGATGCTGTTGCCGTCGACCTTGTATGTAACATACGTCTTGCCGTCCACGTCCCGGAAGCTAGACGGGTCGATTTCGCCGCCGTCTCTCAAGTCACACTGAAAGGGCTCGTCTTTGGGGGTGTACGGCCCCAGTATCCTCGTGCTCGTGGCCACGCCTACGCAGTGGTGCGAGTCGTTGCTCGCCACCTGGCCGCTAAAGTACAAGACGTAGCTGTCGTTGCCCAAGACGCGGACATCTGGCGCCCAGGTGTTGCTTCCGGTAAAGAAACTGTTCGATTTGGGGAGCAGGTCGATGCCATCGATTTTTGTCCACGGTCCCTCCGGAGCCGACGCGCGGGCCGCCTGGACATGAACCCCGGCGTGCTCGGTCGCAAAGGCATACCAAGCGCCGTCGAGGTCCTGGACGATTGTAGGATCCGGAAAGTCGCTGTCGATGGCCGGGCCCCCCTGGCCGAGTGGCGACGCCTGGCGGACGTTCATGGACACGGTCATCCATGTGAGGAAGACGTTGAAAGAGGCAATCATTGCGTCGTCGCAGGCCCGATCTCACCGGCTGTGAGAGGGACATTAAGGGGGTGGGCGACGACAGCAGTGGCGACAAAGGTTTGAGCGTGGCAGTGACAGCCAAGGTTTCTGTGCGTCGACGGGCATTCCAGCCATTATACTCGACGTTGGCGGGACGCACGGCTTTAAACCGAAGCTTCATGTCTGGCCCCTGACTCAATGCCGTGAACACAGGTTGTTCCACGAACCGTCCAAGCCATGGCAATTTTCCCTTCTTGAATCATGCTCCTCGCAATTCCATGCCGGTTTGGCAAACTCTCTGCCGAACTGCCATGGCATTGAGCACGGGGCCCCACACGGGCTTACCATTGAGAACTTGAGACAAGGCCCATCCATCTCGGGGCCATGAACGGACGTTTATGATGTCGCGGTGAATGTCGAAACTCGAAACTTCGAGGTCGCCCAACTCGCCATGTCTCTCATTTTCGAACCTGGTCGACCAATCTCCACCGACAGACAATGACAGCGTTAGTCCGAACAAGGCCTGCTGAATCAAGCCTGTGGCCCCCTGATGAACCGTTTAAGGGTCCGTAGAGTTTAGGTTTGGCTCAAACGGCGGCTCTAGCCCGTTCCTGGCCACCTCAGGGAGGCCCCTAGCCCTTGGAGGAAGTTGGCCCGGACAGGGGCGCCTCACAACCGATGACTAAAGGGGTAGGCAAGTTGCGGTATGCCGTCGAGCCGGGGCGTCTAGTCAAGCGGCGCGCGGGCCTTGGCGGCGACGACTCAGGGGCCGGGACGAAGCTGGCCCGCTATATCACAGGCTGGCAAGCTCTCGAATGTCGACGAGCTGCCAATCACCAGACTGGTTTGGCAGACAACTGACACGTCCCTGTCGAGGAGAAACAATGTCCACTTTGTGCCTGGCCCGGCTTGTCCGCTTACATGGCGTTGTCGGTGCCTGCCATGAGTTGGCGTTTGCTTTAAATTAGTACATTCTACATTATCCCGGGCGTTCGATATTAGCTTTTCCCTGACTTCCACCTCTGTTCTCGAACCATTCGCTAGCCACCGCTTGACAGGGTGTCTTAAGCAGTTACTCGTTTTCATCCCAGCCTCGACTGGCCTTGAGTCGTGCTGGAGACTCAAGGTCTCGTTCCCCCCTTGCGGAGCATCTCGCAAGCCCACACGTGCCGTCGGCGGCGCTTCGCGGACAACATTGGATGGTGAGGGAAACCTGGACAAAGATGAAACAGGACACGGCTGCATGTCCAGACGAGATAACAGATCCGGGCAATGCCTGGAACGCCCTCTGCTCATCGGATATACCGAAACTGGGGTTTGTTCCCGTGTGTTAGATCGCCCCAAGCATGCACAGTCTATTCATGGAAACTCCCGGGCGCCCCTGCGGCCCTGCTCTGACGCATGGGTGCCCGCGAAGCCCGTGATTGCTGTCGCACGAAAGCTGCCATAGCCAAGTTGAGTCGCAAAGACGATGAGGTATCGCGGCTTGTCCCAGGAAAAGAACAGCTGCGGGCCTTGGCACTTATCAGCGCGCGACCGCGTCGGGATGCCCAGCGGCCATCTTACCGACGGAGTTTTCACTTGCCCACGCGATGAAACTGACAGTTACCGCGACACCCTTCTTGGTCTGCCCTGCAACGCTGCGCGAGGACAGAGAGAGCGACAGCGTTCCGGCCGGCCGGGACGAGGGAGTCAAGTCGAAGAGAAGCCCGACCTTGTGGCTTGTTGCACTAATTGGAGCAGTCATGAGGCGTATTGTCCCGATGAACGAGCTAAACACTTGTCAGCGTGAGGGTCTTTCCCCCAGAATGGATGCTCACCATTGTGCTGGTTGCGATTCAGCAAGTAGAGACTCACGGAACGACGAACCCCGGCATCACCAAGAGGTTCTGGCCCGTCTTTTTGGCCAGCCATACCGATGAAAGAAGCACCACGTCGATGCAGAAGCCGAGCGCCGATGACAACAGCCGCGTCTGCAGCGTGGTCAAGCCCAAGCTCTTGATGATGATGCTGCGAAAGGCCACGCGGCCGTGGTGCAGCTTTATATCAGAGCAAAGCCCCAGATCTGCGGATTCGGCAGTCCCTCGCGGAACTGCGTCGGCTTCCACTTGCCGTTCTGGACGCCCGTCTGGTCGTCGCGCACGCGCTCGACCATCAGGCACTTGTCCTCCTCCGAGAAGCACCCGACGCGCATGGGGGAGCTGGGCATATACCAAGCGACGAAGCAGCCGTGGACGACGGAAATGTCCCCGTAGACAAGGACGATTCACTGCCAGGACTCCAGGGGGGCCGATGGTGATGAGGCTGAAGCAGGAGGCGAGGATGTTACCGACAATCTGCTGCGCCCCGTTCATCATGAACCCAGCCAGCAAGCAGCCTAAGCAAAGCATCGTATGCGAGAGCTTGAAACTATTCAAGTGTACCAGTAACTCATGCGGGGGGCTTGCTCGTCTCGTCGGCACCACTGGAGAACAGGATGAGGAACAAAGACTAGCATCCGACGAACAGACCAAGCAGGGTCCGGACGACGACGAGCCCGCCAATGTTTGCGCAGGCCGCCGTACACGCCAGCACCATGCCCCAGGCCGTGATGCTGAAGCCCAAATACCTTTGCTGTTGGGGCCTGGGCGATGGGGCAGTTTTGCGGATACTCGACGACCAGGAAGGCGAGGAATACGCAGGTGCTGAGCCCGCTGTACCGCCCAAGGAATGACGCAGTCAGGAGTAAATCATACATACGTCCTGGCCTGGCAGACCTGCATCGTCAATGATGCCCATGATGGGAGGCATAGGACATTGTTCCCTTGTCGATGGCTCGGAGGAAGTAAGTGGCAACCATGGTGGCCAGCACGCGCCGGTCCATCTTTCGACTGAGCCCGGCCGATTTCTCTGGAAATGACGACTCGAGGCGGGTATTTGTATCGCGCGAGCTCCTCATCAACCTCGTGGGAGGCTGTGTGGCCCCTGCTGTTGGCGTCCAGGGACGTGGGCCGCCCATCCCTGAGGGACTTTTCTTGTACGCTCGAGCCGATCATGCTGTTCGTTGCCACCGTGGCTTCATCTGCTTCTCGATGTCCGGAGCCACGCTACAAGGCGACTGCGAGAGGCCCAAGTGGCTCGAGTTTGTGCTGCGACCCGGATGAGCCCGTATTGATACCAGATGGAACATCTTACAAGGTCGAGCTTCAAGGTAAGCCGTCATATCGAATGCTGGTGCCATCGGTGTAACCACTTTCCCCTCGTTCAAATCCATCACAACATCCAATCGGGACCTGCACGCCGCTCGCTCGAGTTATGATTGCAGGGGATTTCCCAGCCTCGAGCGAAATTACACAGCTTCTTGATTCAAAGGTCCTCTCAAGCCCGGCTTATACGCAGGGCACAACCTGGCATGTAGTTCATGGGCCGACTTGGAGATATGGAGTTTTTACGGTCCTCTAACAGATTCTGCTTCCGCGTGAATACGTATGGCCTGAGCGGAGAGTCATGATTTCTGCAGGGTTCTACAAACGGTGTATAGCTAGTATATACCCTATGGTTAGCCATCTAAAGCTAAAGAGGAGGAAATAAAGGGGCTACTATATAGTCTTTCCTTACGCCCATTTTATATTAGTTTATCATTGGTGCCAGGTAGATGTCAGGCTGAATTTGATCTTTTCTGGGCCGGGCTTGAGCTGATGGGTGTATCCCCTGCATTTACTTGGGTTCGCCTTATTAGGACTGCATTGGTCCAACGCAGGCCTATCCCCCGTGTTTGTCGGTGTGCACTTTAGGCCTGCTGGGGCGTGGTCATTGCTTCCATCGTTGCGCAGCCTATAACAGTATATATTGTTCTTCTGACAATATAGCCAAGTTGCTTGACTCAGCGCCTATCCGCCGCAACCGGACGTGCTATAACGATGCATAACTTGCTGTAACTTGCTGTATATTGTCCTGCCTGTCTTTACATAATAGGTTGCCCCTTACTTTTAGTTGCTACTCCCCTCTTTGTGCACGCCCTCTTAATTTCGCAAGGGCCATCTAATCCACTTGATTCAGGCAATACCAGCCTATCTACTTTGTCAATTGAACTTCTGAAGGCTTCAGTAGCACAACGCTCCAAGTCTTTCAATCTACTCAGTGGCCCCTGCCTTTAAGCAACTAGATTCACTCATCAATTTACTTATTACCTATGCGAACTCTTGCCTTCTGTTTCCGGCCCTTGCGAGATATATGCAAGTTGCAGGTTTGACCCTCCTGAAGCATTTACTCGTGACGCAGTGACCTAGAACCGGCTGATGTACTGCCCCCAAGGGCAATCCTGGGTTCAGTGGCCGTGGAAATTCAAAATGCCATTTCAGCGTGTAAAGCGCCCTCTCCTCCATTAGTCGGTCACGGGTATCAAATAGATTCATGCCACATGACGTGGACTGGCATATCAACAACGGGCATGGGGCATTGGCAAGAACATGACTTATGGCTTCTCCCGTAATGCGGACCAACGGCGGAACTGCGTACTCGGCCAACGGCTACCGGGGAGGGCCCAAGGGGAAATATGGACAGCTGGGGTCCAGACTCAACTGATGCAACTGCCTCGATGTAGTCTGGCCGTGGCCGAACCACCCACAGCTTACCGACAGCACTCGCTTCAAGCCACTCTTTCAGTCGTCAAAAACTGTCGTTACTACTGAGCAACTATTCGTTTATACAATCCTCGAGTCCATCTGTCGATTCAAGACACTAATCATGAAAATCGCACTTGTCATATTCGCGTCCTTGGCCGGTTCTGCCTTGGCGGTGCCATTTTCCAGTCTGGGCAGCAAAGGCTCCCAGGCCTTGAATAGTGCAGATATCCAGGAACCTTGCGAAGATGCGTCCAATAAGGCTGGGGACCAATGCCGTAAGAATGGGATTCTGGACTGGTGGGAATGTTTTCCCCTCCTGCAAGATGCCGTCATGGGGTGCTTCGTGGACCTCGACAAGCTTCCCGGAACGGACGAAGCTATTCATCAACAATGCCGCACCGAGGTTGTCAAGGCTCGAGCCTGCCATGACGTGATCAATAATAGATATAAAGATCCTTGGGAAAAATGTCGAATTGGACAGATGAAAGTCTACCAGGACTGCACCAATCCCCTCAAAAAGATCTGGGAAGATTTCTGCGAAGCGGAATACAAGAATACTGGCAAGGAATGCAGCAAGAGCGAAGATGAATGCAAAATTGCCGAGATGGATGCCGCCGCACGATGTTTGGTAGACTACAGCAAGTCTCCCGAAACAAGCATCGCTATTCATCAGCAATGCCGCGCCGAGGCTGTCAACACCGCCAAAGTCTGTGAATTTCCCAAAAGGGACCTTAACACAGAGATATGTGCTGGAAAACTGGTGGAAGCCTACCAGGACTGCGCCAAAACGGCATCGACGGCATCCGGGCAGGGCTCCGTGTGCACCCCAGCCTCTATGCAAGACATGCCAGGAATCCATTTAGGCGGAACGGGACCCCAGGAATGAAGAGTTTACAAAGTGCGAGGCAAGATTCCATGACAACCGATGCGTCAGAGAGTTGTTCCATTTGCAATGCTCTGGCGAACGATACGACGAAAGATGCAATACTGGCTGGCGATTGGCAAGGGCAACCGCAATTTATCCTCTCCAACGCTTGACCTCCGGATTGTGGAGAGATGCTGGCAAAGCTCGGTCTTGGTTTCCTTCTATCCAACGTGCGTTTTAGAGTCAAAGTCTAGGCATTCTGTCTAGGATTTCGATAAAAGTCTTAATAGGTTACGGTGCTTTAGATCGCAACTTTTTGAGTAGGCTGCAAGCTGAGATAGACAATATATAACTAGACACTTTCTTCGTATATACCGAAATCGCGATCTATGTATAAATTCCTCCTGCATTGCCGTCACTAGAGGAAGTATTTACGGCTGACGAACGGATCAGCCTCATGAGCTCGGAACGCGGCGTCCGAAACAACGTGATGCAAGACGTATGGTCACTGTCAATTACTGGTGTCTGAAGAGTGTAACCAGATTGGCAAATTCACCTACATTAATAGATAATATACAGCTGCAGATAGATATAGATGTACATCTATCCATCGACAAGAGGTCTATATGGGTCATCTATCGATCCATCTGGCCGTTATTAGAACTTTGACTTTACAGCCTGCCTAATCAGGCTATTTATAAGGGAAACGTGAAGCTTGCTAGAGGCTTAAAGAGAGATATATATGATTGACCATTCTATAAGGCCAGCTATAATATATACTGTCAGCTAAAGTGTTTCTACTACTTTTAGGGAGGCCGGTGCATTCTATACAATCTCTCTTAACGCAAGGTCTATATAACCGCAACATAGTCAATTAAGGATCTCTTGTTTATAGTGTCATGTTGCGATACATTTTTGTGTTTTCTTCAATTGGTTGAAACCAGTAACACCCCAGATCCGAGATGATAGAAGCGTAATGCTGGGCCATGTAGGTCTCGACGCGCTGCTCGCTCCACGCCCAACTGGCAAGTTCGCATAGGCAGAAGTCCGAGCCTCGACTGATGATCCTAGCTCCATCTCTTCCCATCTTCACCGGGTATGTGACTCCTCATGAAGAGGGTATCTTGAAGAGGAACGAGCGAGCCACGGAATACCTCGCATGCCCCGGCCTGGGCTCGGCCTGCGTTTCACCGCTGGGGCTACCAGCTTACACCCATCCACATAGAAGCAAACGTGCCACCGTTACGGCCTTCCGCTCCGGTGACGACTGCATCGCTCATCGCCGGCGCGCCAGCATGACATCACGGGGCCAATCCTTATCGCGTAGCGGGACACGGGGTACTCTGTTCGCAGATGGGCAGCTCGTGGGGGTCTGTGGGTGCTTGGCATCGGCATGGCAGGCCATGTTGGCCACGGGCCTCGGCCGGTCCAGTTGAAATGGGCTATATTATGCCCTCATATGTTCCCGCGCATGTGGGCCTGGAGGAGGAGAGTTTTGCAGACGATTGCAGGACTCTGTTGAACTGTTGGATGCGATGCTTGGGACGCAATCTCGCACTGCTCGACCGCGTCGCCATGAAACAGGCCGCTTCTATTCTCAGCATCAAGAAATAAGATGGACAAACTACGGCATTGACGCCGCCTATATCCGCAGGTGAAGTGTCGAGCTCGCCACGTGTACGCTCCTCCCATCCGTCATTAAACGGCGATTGGCTCATTGATATAGAATGAAGTACAGGTCCACTGAGATGCCCCAGCAGCTCTTAGCTTCGGGGCCGAGTTTGCGAGTAGCCCGACATTTCCTATACGAAGCCCTGGTAGGGCTGAACAGGATTCAAGCTAGGAATACAAGACCAAGAGCGGTAAGAAGAGCCCAATGGCATGGGGCCATCTTTCGACCATCTCCAAGCAAGGCCGCACGCAGGAAGCAGCTGCCCCCCCCTGCGCGGATCGCGACGGTTGCCACAACCGGCCATCTACTGCACAGAGCGTGGGTGCCGTGTGGGTCTGTAGCATGAATCCGCCATTTCCCGGTCGACAAGCGCCGCCGCTTGGACGTCCCGGCCCGTCCGAGCGGCAACGTTACCGGCGACCACTCAGGGGAGGCTTGATAGCAGCCCTCTGGAACTTCGACGTTGGGCAGAAATGTTCATCTGTTTGGGGGGAGGGACTGGCCTTTGCGCTGATGAGGCTCATGGGTTGAGGAGAGCTCAAGATAACCCCCCGTCTTATGGACACCGTCTTATAGACGCGCCGGCACATCAGTCGACTTCGGGGTCTGTTACTCCGGCCGCAGTCTGTGCGTTCCTTGGTGAGTGGAAGCGCATAATCTAGCCTGGGCTCTTTGCGCCGAGGCCAGCTTCTTCTAGGTGATGGCAACTCCAAGCCCATCAACAAGATGGAATACACGGAACCCAACAACACATCAACGTTCATCTCTTAATAAAGACATAACTGCACCCCGAAAAGTCCTTACGGCACGCCAAAGACGACAACCCGGCTCTTCCACGAGCAAAATAAATAAAAAGGGGAAGGGGGCAGCGGTTTAAGCATGCATTTTTACCTACCCCCTCGAATCGCCATACAGCCCACGAAACACCCCTGTCCCCGACTCCCTGCCAACCCACAACGCCCGCCCGCCGCGGCCACCGGCACCCAAGACCCCTTGAGTCGGGACGAATGGGCTGGTGGTGCGTCGACTTGGGACGACGGTCCGGCGGCTGTGTTGGGGAACCGGGGGGCTCCCATGAGCGAGCGAGCGCCAAGAGCCGCCGGCGCTGGATAACAGGGCCCCTTGCGCGTGGTGTTTTTGCCCATGGAGATTGGGGCTTGGTGTGTGCGAGATAACGCGAGTGTGTCTGGTTCACCATGATTAGATGGGGGTATCCGTCCAGCGCAACGTCCGAGCACACAGCCGGTGCTTGGCAAGCTCGATCCTCGAGGATATCGTCGGGTGTAGGGGAGCTCACGACATAAATGGGCTGGATGGGTCGCAGCTCGCGGCGTGGGCGACGAAGGCTGCAGAGCGTCGACGTTTGCACCAGCACCGCCATCGTCAGTCTCCAACCGGCGAGCGAGAGACATCATCACCCCCTTCGAAGACTGCCATCGACGAGACGATGAGGTCGACGGCCGGTCCCTTGACGGTGCTCGCCGTCTTGCGGCTCGCAGCAGCAGCGGCAGTCAACATGGACATGGGCATGGACATGGACAACAGCACGCTCCACGGTAAGCAAGCAAGCCCTCTTGTCTATCCGGTGCGCCCGCCATGGCTCCTCGTCCGAGTCACGGACGAAAATCACCAAGTTGGAGCATCAAACTGACACCCCCACCCCCAACAGCCCGGGCCTGGCAAGCCAAAGACTCGGGCGCCGAGTTCGAAGTCTTTGCGCAGTACTCGTCGGCCGCCTACTGCGACGAGCTCTACGACGGCTTCGACCGCACGCCCGTGTGCTCCAACCCCAACGACCGCGCGTGCCCCAACTTCCGCGACACGACGACCGTCAGCGAGTTCCTCAACGACGACTTCTACGGCGTCGGCGGCTTCATCGCCAGCAACCCGACCCGCCGCCACACCGTCGTCGTCTTCAAGGGCACCAACTCCATGTTTGACGTGGGCACCGACATGACCAAGGGCTTGACTGCGTGGTGAGTGCGTGCCGTTGCAACATGTGTCGACTTGGCATCTACATCTATCCAAGGGGGGGAGTTGCGTGGATCAAATCCAGCCCCCTTTTCCCCTAGTTCCCCTTGCTATATACTACATCAACAACCCCTGAGCCTGGCCACATTCACATCTAACACAGGCCATGACAGCGACCTCTGCGACGGCTGCCTCGTCCACTCGGGCTTCTACACGGCCCTCAACCGCATCCGCCCGGAGCTCGAGCGCGCCGTCCGGGCCGAGCGCCGCCGGCCGGACCGCCTGGGCTTCCGGCTCGTCATCACCGGCCACTCGCTCGGCGGCGCCCTGGCCACCCTCGCCGCCGTCCACCTGCGCAACGCCGGCATCCCCTGCGACGTCTACACGTACGGCGCGCCGCGCATCGGCAACGACCGCCTGGCCGCCCACGTCGCCGCCCAGCGCGGCTTCACCGCCCGCATCACAAACGCCCGCGACATCGTCGCTGCCATCCCCAACTACGGCTGGATGATCTGGTACTGGCGCAGCTACGCCCACCACTACCCCGAGTACTGGTACCCCGACGGCCTCGACCGCGGCACCAAGCTGTACGACCTGCCGCGCCGCGTCTGCCTGAGCGACGGCCACTGCTCCAGCGCCGTGTGCAACTCGCCCTGGCGGTGGGCCACCTGGCGCGGCTGCAGCCTGCAGGATCACCTCAGCTACATCGGCCGCTTCGAGCCCTGCGCCGGCGGCGGCCGAGGTCGCGGCGGCATGGGCCGTTCGCGCCAGGCCAAGTCCGGCTTCCGGTCTCGGCTGCCGGATCCGCGATCCACCACCCGATGGCTGCAGTGACGACGAGAGAGAAGCATGTTGTAAGCTGGCGTTGAGTCTGGATTCGAGCCAAAGCTGACCATGTCTGGTTGCTGGCTCTCCGACAACTGTACATTCACTCCTTCATTCCTTCATCCGCCCCCTTTCTAACCTGTGTCATATAATATTCCTTCATCCACATTTATATAACTCCTACTCCCGATGTCGACATCCTACGTTGCCATGTCCCCATGCGGCCTTGTTCCCAAGCTCAGACCCTGAGAGGCTCTCTTCGCGCACACCGGCTTCCATTTATTCGCTTCACCATGCCCAAGGAACAGAGAATCACCAGGTAATTATTACTCAATTACTTCAAAGTACCCGTGTCTGCATCTCTCGATGCCTGCAATTGCTTTTGTCAACCCCGTCTTGAATCCATGACCAATAAGTCGTGTCGCTCGTCATGCTGTCGTGATCCCAACACCAGCCCCTATATAAATAAAAAGAACATCAAGGTTCTCGCCAGCCGTTGCAATCCCTCTTCTAGTTTCCGACACCAAATCAAATCTACTGTCCCATTGTCCGACCCCGTTCTTCAAGAAGAGAGAGCACGTGTATTAAACGGTGGTGTAATGGGCACCGTGTCGCCAAAAGGGGTGGTCCCAGACATCGTACGCTGTTGAATCGCTTCCGAAACACCCCGGCCGTGAAGAGCGAAAAACAAAAGGAAAATGTGCAATGCCGTGTCCCAGAGTCATGTCGAGGAAAAGAGCAAAGAAAAACCACCGAGGAGAAATATCGTGTCCGAGTCCGCCTGGTCACTCGGAGAGGGGAGCCGGCCCAGCTCGAGGCGACTGCTCCGACCGGGGAGGCGACTCCTCGGACAGAGGGGCCAGCCCGGCCTGCCGTGGCAGCTCGGGCGGGTCGACGCTGGCCCGCTGGGCGTCCAGGGGCTCGAGGTCGTCGTAGTCAATGGGCCGCCCGCGGGCCTCGTCCTGCGGGTAGCCCGGGGGGCTGGGTGGCACGTCCTGGTAGACGGGGGGCGCCTCGTTGTCCCAGCTGACGCCGAGGCCCGGGCACTCGGTCAGGACGACGGCAAATGACATGCGCAGGATGCGGCCGGTACCCGACTGCGTGGCCAGATGCAGCCTGCCCTCTGGCGCGTACTCCTTGGACACGATAAGCTCAATGGCAAGCGAATGCGTCACCTCGGTGCCGTCGCGCGTCTTCAGGTCGCAGGCGTACTTGGGGGTGCGCGAGTGCGACTTGAACTGGTTGATGCAGTAGTCAAACTCCATGTCGACGGTGCCGTCGGCGCCCGTGTAGTCCGACTTCCAGCCCTCCTGCAGCTGCTTCTCGCCCAGGAGGCGCGTCTCGGTGCGCGTCTCGCCCTTTTTGGGGCGGTCGGGCGCGGCGGCGTCGTCTTCGTCTTCGTCGTCGTCGTCGAGGTTGCTGTTGGCCTTCTTCCCCCTGCCCACGACGGGGGCCGCGGCCGCGTGCTTGTCGCAGGGCGGGGCAATGGTGTGGATCGTCTCGTTGAGCCTCCAGTTGACCTTCTTGAGCCGCCACAGGTAGACCCAGCCAGGCTTTTCCTCGTCGTGCGACATGAGGCCGTCGAGGCGGAGCGTCAGCCCGTTGGAGCCCGTCGGGTGGATGACGGTGTTGTAGTGGGCGCTGGCCTTGATGTTGGTCGGAGGGAAGACGCGGATCGAGTGGTGAGGGTAGAGGGGCTCCGGGAGGGAGCGCTTGACGTCGAGGGAGCGCTCGAAGCGGACGCTGGCGCACGAGTTGCCGTGGCCGCGGACGACAATGGCCTCGGCCTTGAAGGCGTACGCAATGGACAGCACCGACGTGTCGAGCGAGGCCGGCAGGTGGCCCTCGAGCAGGGCGGAAAAGGGGAACGAGTGGCGGCCCCTGGCGAGCGTCGTGGCCGTGGGCTGGGCGAGCAGGCGCCAGGTCTTGAGGTCGGTGGAGCGGTGCTGGCACGGCAGGCAGTGGCTCTGGCACGGCCGCTTGTGGGTGGTGTGCAGGCTCAGGGTGGCGACGAGGGAGCCGACGTCGACCGTCTCCTCCTTGACGTCCATGATGACCTGGCCCGAGACGAGGGCGCCGGTGCTCTCGTCGGGCGAGCCGTGGAAGACAATGGGGGGGCTCTCGATGCTCCAGTCGAGGGTGAGGGCCGACGCGCTCGAGGCGTGGCCGTGCTCGCGCGAGACGCGGCGGCCAAAGGTGAGGGAGAGGCGGTTGTAGCTGCGGAGGGCGTCTGCGAAGTTGTCGGGCATCTTGACGGCATGGTGGTGGTCGTCCGAGTCGGACGCGTAGGGGCTGGGCGCGAGCGAGTTGTTGCGCGAGGAGCCGGACGAGGCCGAGGACGGGTTGCCGCCGCCGCCGCCGTCGGCCGCCGTCGTCCTCTTCTTTCGGTGGGACGGGTTGGCCGAGGAGGAGCGGAGGAAGTTTGTGACGCGGTGGGGCATCTTGGCTGTTGGAGATGCTGCTTCTTGGAAGGGGGCTTCTTCCGGCTGCCTTTCCGAGTCGGGTCCGCCCGACGATGGCCTGCCTGCTCTTGACACGACCCTGTCGTCGTCGGATTCTTGGTTTGGGCGCCTTCAAGGGCGCTTCTTGGTCGGCTTGCCCTCCACTGCTTGGTGGCAACCGAGATGGGCAGCTTCAGCCTTGGCCGTGAGAGCCGTCGAGGCTTTCGTAGCGAGGCAGTCGTCCGTCGACAGCCAGCTTGGCGGTGATGAAGGCGGCGGGCGGCGACGGCCACGGGAGTCTGGTCACAGCTGCCGGTGTTGCTGCCGGTGTTGCTGCCGCTCGTTGCTGCTGCTCGTCGAGTGCGCGAGCTGGAGTGACGACCGGGTGGCTCGGACGATGCGAGTTTGATCCACGTCGGAGCTTGTAGTTTGGACGAGGCAAGGGAGGGATCGAGGGATAATGAATGTCTCTGTTTTTTTGTTCTTTTTCGAAGAGTGGGAAAATTTATTTCGAGGGGGGGCAAATCAGGCGATGTGACGGTGCCGATGCTAGGGCCGGTTTCGGCCTTTTGTCTCTGGACGGCGGGAGGGGGCTTTGTCGCGGGACAAGAACGGACTCGGGTTGTTCTTTTTTTTTTCGAGGATTCCTTTGCGCGAGGATTGGAGGGTTGGAGGGTTGGCGAGGGTTGTTCTGGATGCGCAGAGAGAGAGGGTGGGAAATTGTCTGCTCGTCGACCGAAGCCGCTTTTGCTTGTTAGTGGGCGAGAGATCCACCACCAACTAGTAGGTAGTCTGGCGGAGATGTCCAAGAGGAGGAGCGGTCAATCGCCGGCGTTAGGGGGGCCGCTGCTGAGGATGCGAAGCAGCTGGCGGACCACTGGTATGTATGATCTTCTATAACGAGCTCGGTAGGAAGTCGCCGGTGGTGGGGAAAAGGAGGGAGCCATAATATATAGCCCACAAGAGGGCATCGTCAGCTACTAATATACCGGTCCTCCCCCTATGCCGTGCAACAAGTACGGATACAGCGAGGTAATACCCGGCTACCGGTGTCATGCGACAGGCCATCGACGGCATAATCCAGGGCGCAAGCCGCCAGTGACTCAGAAGCGGTACCCCCGCTGTACCTGCCGGACACGACGGCGCCACAGTGCGGGCAGGCCAGGAACCCGCGCCAGCAGCCGAGCAAACCTTCCCCCCCCCTTTGCTCTCCAAGTACCTCGAGGTACCTCGGCCTCGACCTCGGCCTCGACCTTGTGGAGACGCTTCGATGCATCCACACACGCATCCCACTCACGCTGCTTGCTGCTTGCGCGCCCATCCATCAACAAGTCTGCTAATTTTCCTCATTGGGGGGGGGGGGGCTTAACCCTTTACTTTAACTGTACGGTAAGTTGGATGACTCCTTTGCCCACGGCGGCTCCGCTTCTTGTCGTGTGCACGGCAGAGTCGTCAGGGCCCGGCGCCGCTTTCAAGGTTCGGTGACTTGTAGGTACAACCTCCGGCGCAGGCGGAAGCTCGGTAACAGCTGACAGCGGCTGTGGTTCCCTGCTTCATGCCATGATACAACAGGCCAAGATGGGAGCTGCCCCTGGGTATTCGTATAATAGAACCCGCCTCTCTTGTGACTGGTGGATACGACGGACGGATACGGATACAGACGCGCTTTCTCACGGCTTGTTGGCAGCTGACTCGTCGCCGACTTGCGTCCTCGCGGCGGTTGTTTGCCCAAGGGCGCGCTGCATGTCACATCTGCACGTCAACACCAACCTCTCCGATGTCGCCCTTTGCGCCATCCGCAAGCCATCGTCGATACAGTACGTACCGAGGATGTACATACAGTCACGCCGCCGTCACTCTCGGCCTTGGGTTGCTGGCCCGGAGTTGCAGAGAATGGAAACCTTGATGGCTGGCCCGCGATACTTGGCCGGTACCTCGCTGCCCGATGGAGTAACATTGACGAGGCGTCGTCATCCGTGTACGGCATTTACTACAGTAGCTACCGGTAGTAGTACCGTAGGTAGGTAGAGGTCGCATACTGTGCATGTATACCAGGGAAAGTGTGTGTGATGTGCCGGTAGATGGTCGACAAGATGACAAGGAATGGCACCACCACGTCGGGTCGGCTTGCAGTAACGGATCGGGCGGTGGCGGCTCGACCAAGCAAACCTACCGCGCCCTACCGCGCCCCCAGCGCTGACACATGAGACGCGGTTGCGACTAACTTGCCTCTTCTTCTTCTTCTTCTTTTGCGCTCTCCAGGCTCTTGCGAGACAACCATTACAAGCGTCGAGAAGCCAGCCCCCTGGAAAAAGGAAGCTGGCCCTCACGCCACAAAAGTGCAAAGTACATGCAAAGTACTCCGTTCCATCCACTCCGGACGGCGCGGGTGGAGCCGCAGCCGCCCCTCGGCCCACACCGAGCCTTAACGCCGGCTTGCGGCGGTGCCGGCGCTCCGAAGACGAGCTGGCTGGCGGCTGCCATCTCCGCCGTCCTTGTCCTCCTTTTTTCCTTTTTTTTTTTGGCTGGGCCGAGCACGCTGGATGTTAATCTCCTCGCTTTCCGCCAAAGACAACACCTCTCCAAGTAAGTTCCAGAGCATGGGAGCGTCGGCAGAGTCCTTGCGCCGGCACAGTGGGACTTTTGTTTCCGCGGGACTACTTGACAGTGCGAATACTCGCTCTCTGCTGTCCTTCATCCACCAATCACCGCTGTGGGACAAGGCACAAGCACAGTGCTTGTGCGACTGAACGCACCAGCTGCCACTCCTCCCACACCGTGCTCCGTACAGGTACGTAACGCACTCGTAATGGCCCGCCTTTTCCCTCTCCACCCCAGCTGCCTTTGTACATACATGCACGGTACGGATCGCACTGTCTGGCAGACGCCGCTTTTGTGCCTGAATACGGAGCCCCTTTTACGTTAAGCAGAAGTAGTGCTTTTTCGTCACTGTGCAAAACGCATCGTCACACTGTACGAAGCCCTCCTGGCATCGGAGGCATGGATCTCGCCAGAAGGCACACAACAGTACAGGAGCAAGCAACTTGTTGGCTGATGAATGCCCTCCTTCTATTCCGGGCGCCTCTTCTAGCCTTTACGCACCTGCTGGCCCCATCGGCCCATCGGGCCCGACTGACGACCGCCTTCTACCTCTGTTCCGCCCTCCCCTCCTCCCTCCCTCAGGCATGGCTTACACCGTCGAGCATGGCCTGGCAAAGCATCGCTCGCCAACACCGTGCCCGCTGGTACCCTGCCTGGTCCCCCGAATGGACTTGCAGACGCCTTGTCGGCCCATCAAGCCCATTCCTCCGGCTCGGCCTGCCCTGTCCGCATCGGCCCGGGTTCTTGGCCCCGGCGCGGACGGAGCCTCTTCCTCTCTTTAGTGCTGCAGCACTCCTCCACTCTCTGCACAGCTTGTTCCTCTCGGCCTTGTCCGAGCCCATCGAGGCTTTTCCAGACTCGGGCCCTCGCTTCCCCCGCCCTTCTCCGTAAGACAAGGTACGGATCGTGGCTTTGTTGTCTGGCTGCCGGTGAAGCCGTAGCTGTTGCACTCAACTCAACTCACGCCCGTCGCCTCATCGTCCCCAATTCACCGAGCTCCCTCGCATGCAATGCGACGCTGGCGTCGCATCCGCCTCGTCTTGCCTTGCCTTGCGGCGGACCATAATCCACCACGCTCCAATCCTGTACCCTCTCTCTACCTGACCGCGTCTCCGACCTCCCCTTTTTAGGAGTGCATCACGGGGCCCCTGCTCAGAGTAGGCTCGATGAAATATCCCGTAGGCCGGATAAAAGGGACTCAAATATTCTTGCATCCACCCGGAATCCAAAAGCTTGGCCCGGATGGAGCCCGAGTGGTGGATTTACCGCCGCTCCTCACATGACTGACCGTGCTCTGCGGCAAGGCAGTCACCGAGCTATGTACTGTTGCTACAATGAGATCGTGTTTCCGCAGAGGCACACCCTACGGCCTAGAGCTTTATTCAACGTCAAGGGGGCAAGTCTGCTGCCACGGCGTAGCATAAAAGACCAACGACAAAGAGACTCCCGCACAGGAAGCAACCATCAGCCGATGATGGGCTACATGCACGCCGTCGCCGCGTCTCTACCGTGGGCCCCGCATATGTATGCCCATCACGCCACTGTTGGCGAGGAGTGTGACGTCGTCGACAACTTGTTTCTCCCCCACGTGCTGCGGTGTATGTATATGATTCCCTCGGTGCCGAATACCCACGGGAGAGACCTGGACAAAGGAGAATGGGAGCAGCAAAGAGAGGCGACGGCGGATCGACTCCTCTCACCTCGGAGTATCTCGGCTTCACTACCGGAGCGCACAAGGACCTTGTCCCTACTTTGAGTGTGCTCGGTGTCTTCTTGCAGGCCGGTGGTTGGGGATCCGCGCCCCGTGTCGGCCGGTCACGGCAACTCTCGGCCGGCTGAAAATACTTTCTGCGGGGCCGGGTCGGTGCGCCGTTTGTACGCCGGGTCTGCATGGTGCTCGCATCCGGACATTAATAAAATAGCCACCTCCCCTCCCGACGACTCATTCCATCTCTGTTCCTCTTCTTCTCCTTTTCTTCTTGATGCCCCTTTACTAACCGGATGCCTGTCTCCATGTTTCCGCAGCCCTCGACTACCAGACCAGCACACGCAGCCCCGACGGTCATTCACGCCACGGCTCGATGACGTCCATCGGCCACGCCCAACGTGATCGGAGCCCAGCCGTCTCGTCAGGATGGGGGGTAGCCGTCAGGGGTGGATGCTGCCGGCGATCATCCATCGCCTTGCTACCCCCAGCGGAGGGCGAGTGCAACCCTGAGTTAAAATGGAATGCCAGCCCAAGGAAACATGCCAACCTCCGTCCATGTGTCGTTTTCCTTTGTTCCTCTTTCGGAAGGGATATGTGGCCCCCGAGATGAAGTTTTTTTCCTGGGTGGTTGGTGTAAACTATCTCGCCTCCCAAAGACACCCCCCCCTCCCTCCTCTGGAACACTGCTCTC